GGTTTGGGTTTGGGTTTGGGTTGTTGTTTTGGTTCAAATTGAATTTTATGAGGGAGTGAGAACCTCGAGCAATTTAGCGGAGAATTGACGAACTTCAATATGCTTAATTTAATTCCCACAGTGAAAAGGACGAAATGCCATGTATTGTTACTCCAAAGTGGTGTCAACATATTTTGCCAGCTTCCATGCTGCTTGTTTCTCCGGTTTCCCTACATACACGGTACCGTACTTGTATTAGTTCCCTGGAAAAAACATCACAGTAACTTTTATGATTTCATTATCTGACGTGCGTCCTCTTCGTTTTTTTCAGCTTCTACCGGTACCCGGTACCGGCACTGTACTAAGCCGGGTTGACCCAAATTCCTCTGTACCATACTTATTTGTATATCTATATTATCCACCACAAAGGGACCAACTTCAATGAACATTGCCGTCTTTTAAAAAGGATCTTCAAAAATAGTAAATAGGATCTTATGCTGTCATTCCCAGTGCCAAATATATCCCGGTGCTGCATTTTGATTGAAGCAATTGAGAAAACAAAAGTCCCTGGAAAAGTAGAGCGAACTTAAAGCAACGATGCCGGTAGAAATAAAAGTGTACCGCTACCAGGTACCAGGTACCAGGTAGGTACTGTTGGCTCGGATGTGCGGGTGCTGTTCGAATTAATCGGTACTTACGTCTGGCCGTCTGCCTGTGTCGGACAAAAAGTGAGGAACAAAAGAAATAACAAAAGTATACGGTAGGTATAGTATTATATGCTTTCGTCTACAGTTGATTGATGCAATCATACACAACATGCTTGGGACCTCATTCTGATGGTACTATCAAGCTGGATGATTCTGCATCGCAGTCTTGCATTTGGTTTTTTTACAGCAAAATGCAGTTTGGTTGAACTATGCGTATGGTACGAGATACATACATATGTGAGTATATAAATGCTGGTATGTTTATAAATATATAATCGAATAACTGGCACTCCCTGATTGCATGTCGGGCACTCCCTGATCTGGAGCGTTTGGCGCATGCCCGGTATGGTGTAAACGCATACGTCATACTGCAGGAAGCAGTATGGACATATCCTTTTTGGATGCGATGGCTTTTATTTTTATTTCGATGATAGCTGGAAACAGTCTGTTGGTCAAGGGTATGCTTTGTTGGCATCGAATGGATAGACACCGCTGGATTTCTGAAGAGGAGACAGCAGCAACAACAACGACGACGATTTCTGAAGAGGAGACAACAACGACAACAACAACAACAACAACAACAACAAGGCCACTGTAGCTGATGCAAATGCTACGCCCCCTTTAGTCCACTTGCAACCGACATCGACCTGAAACCTTGCTCTTCTTCCATGTTGCCTGAAGATCATTCCACGAATAATGGTAGCAATTTGGCAGCATATTTTGCTAGCTGCTCCACGTGGCGGAGGCAATGGGAGTACTCCCCAAGCCTTACGAGTCGGTTTTGGCTGACGCGAAGGAAAAATATGGTCTTGAAAGTGATATTGGCTGGAGAGAAGCGATAGCAGTTTGCCTGCTGCCCCTGCCGTTGCATCTGTTTTCATTGTTAGGAGCGCATCAGTGGCATCGAATTATTCCAGCGTTACGAAAGCAAGAACAAAAGACAAGGAAAACTAATTTGAATATGACAACGGACATGACTATACTTCGACGTTACTCATTTCTGCTGGATCTGGAGTCTGCAAAACAAAACAAAACAAAACAATAGGTAGGTGGGGTCACGAGCCCAGCGAATACTTGCCTTCCTTTCTCATCCGCAATGAAATACGACACAGTGCAATCGTTGATACGCTTTCATCTTCTCATCCGCAACAACTCCGACGGTGTAAATGCTGTACGTTGGTAGATATGCCAGTCTCATGGCAACGTAGTAGTAGTAGTATAATAAATAGTAAGGTGGATTGAAGGTTCACTCCGCTGCTCCCTTTGTTAGATGTTCAGTCCAGTGCCATCCATACGCAAGACGACGTGCTCCACCGAAGTTGCCAATGGCAACGACAGCTGATCACACGGATAACCGATAACACTTGCTCTTCCATGCTTGATGTTTGAGCTACAGTGATGGGCCAAAGATACTGATATTCTGTAGGGGAGACTTCCACATTGTTTGCCTTCGAATCCAATAGGGAAAAAATGAAACCTCCAATAGAAGACCTTGATGATGATGATGATGCTGTTGTTGCTGCCTTTGAATCCAACGAAATAACAGAAAGCTCCACTCGACAAGCTTGATGATGATGAGATGATGATGAATGCTTTGTAAGTGCACCAATCCGAAATACTGTAGAAACAAAGAGTACAATCCAAATCATGTCCCATCCCAACTGTCCTCGTGGACCTCTTGACTCGACGACCAAAAGGCCAGCATCAAAGAGTTGAAGGTCCGAGGGCTCATGATTTGGTTTCCAGAGATCCGGTCTACCTGGGTTCTTGCCAATCTCAGTTGCGTTTATGAGCCTCGGCTCGACCACATTCCCACCGCCGTCCCACTCAACGATTCGATTCGTTTGGGCGGCCAAACACACGATGGAGGGAAGCAATCCAAACTCAGCAAGCCATAATATCGACAGACCAATGCTTCCTACTTGACTCTAGTGAGTGACCAATCCACTAGAATCGCATAGGAAACACTGGCCATCCGAAGGATCCCTAAGGGAGTGTGAGAAAACAAGAGTACGAAGGGAAAAAAATAATACAATCATCCAGACTCGCAGACCCAAAATGCTGTACAAATATCAGTAAAAGGACGGAAGGAAAAAGTGGTGAGGTGGTAGAACAGAAGGTATATTCAATCGATATGGTCAAGCTTACCTGTAAACAGTAGAAATGCAAAGTAACGCCTTCGTCGTCGTCATGTCAAATTGACATTATGGGGTGGATTCAGATATAACTCCTCTTGGTGTGTGTGTTGTTGTTGCACACTATTATCATACTCTGTCTCTTCAAAAAATCGCAAACAAAAATAAACTAGAAGGATAAAAGGTGAGAAAAGAAGGGGCAAAATACGAATTCCGAATCCAATGCATACATCAATGAACTTACGCTTAATCGGCACCACTTATTCTTCGGTTTGCCACACGACGACTGAATCGTCTTCCTTCTTCCGTCAATCCAGATCCCAAAGCTGCCGTAGAAGCATCCTTCTGATCTTGCAAAAGCTTGGCCAATCGAAGGCTATATCGATCGCCCGATGTCCTCCAGCCAGATCCCAATCCGTCTTCAGGAATAGAAAGAATTGGAGATGCATGACTAGTGTCATCATCAGTAGTAGCAAGGATGGAAAGATCGTCGTCTGTTTCAGCTACGATCTCAGATTGCCTGGGTGGTGCTGCAATCTCCTCGTTGCTGACATCGTTGATCGGATCCTCGGCCAAGGTAAGGAAGCTTGATTCACCAGAGTCGATGTCAATGTCGATGTCGATGTCAATGTCAATGTCGTCGTCATCTTCTTCTTCCTCTGGATGTTCCACAATGACAGAGAAGCTAGCAGTGAAAGTCCAGTTTTGTCGCTTGGCTTTTGCCTTCCTCTTCAACTTGGGACGTTTGGCCTTCGACCTCTTCTTCTTGATCACGGCAAGATCGAAAATGGCACCGTTCCATTGCTCGAGATCAAAGCGTAGAGGGAAAGGATCCTTCATCAAGGCGGCGATGTTTGGACCACCTTCAGAGGCAATGGCGTCATCATTGTTGAATCCATCCAAAGAAGACGAGTCAATGTGGCTCTCGTCGTCTTCTTCTTCTTCTTCTGGGTCTTCAATAATGACAGCGAGCAAAGGAGAGAACAGTTGATTCGTTCGTTTGGCCCATTCTGAAATTGAAGTTGGAAGCGTAGATTGCTTCAGCTTGCGACGCTTGGAGAACCTGACCGAGACAAGGTAGCCAATTGGATCGTCCAGTTCATCTAGTGCAGCGGATCGTCGTGGATTGACTGAAGTCCATTCCGTGGAAGGATTTGGAATAGCCGAATCCATCTTTGATCGCTTGGTAGGTCTAGAAGAAGGAAGGAAAGCAGAGGGCGGGCTTCTTTTGTGAGGCCCGGGAGGTGTCCATCGGTCGTTTACCCGTTGAGACCATTCTCGAACCGAACATGGAATGATGCTTGGGGCAGAGGGAACGATGGACAAGTAATCCAATTTGCGGCGCTTGGACGATCTTGCAAAAGAGGGAGCGGTGGAAGCGATTCTCTTGAGAGGAGCCTTGGCCTCTGGAGACAATGGCTCATCGACATCCATTGGATCGTCATCTTCAACGTTGTCGGGATGCTTCAAAGAATAACCTGTTGACAATTCGGGAGTTGCCTCTTCTCCTGAATCTCCTGCTGAAAACGACTGTGGTGGGGCGGAAGTAGCAGCTCGCTTGGCCTTGTTCTTGCTGGACTTGTTACTTGTCCCATCTGGAAGATACAACCGAGTCTCGTTTCGATTGAAGTCAAACCGGACATTGTTGATGGATCGTCGCGGATTGACTGAAGACCAAACTTTCGGAGAACGAAGAACGGACGCAAGGGCTGCAGATCTTGCCTTGTTGCTGTTGTTGTTACTTGTTGATATTATAGTGTTGATAATAGTGCTGGTCATGCTGATAGTTGGTGTAGTTGGTGTAGTTGGTGTAGTAAAGGAGTCCATTCTGAAATCATGAGATGATGCGGTTGGAGATACAACTTTCACACGGATCGCCAAAATCTCAAATTTGCCTCCAAGTTTACTCCGTGCCTTCGTGTTTTTTCAAATTCCACGTAGTTCCGCGTAGCTTTCGTACCAGCCCATTTTTGTATGTGTTTTGGATTCAAATTCAAAATCGATCCAACCCCAATCAGGCCTGTTTTAGCTCTTTTCAAGAATCATTAGAATCGTGTGCCGTCTACCGGTACCCTATCGTGCGCAGGACAAAAATGCTTTCGTCTAAAGTTGATTGATGCAATCATACACAACACAAGAGTCCCATTTCATTCAGACCTGTTCCTGAATTTGGAAAGAAATGTCTATAATAATAGAATCAAAGCGAGACAATGGAAGATCCTCAGTATCATCACTGATTGCCACAACTTCTATGGCTGCTGTCATCAGTCTGGCATCGATGGCTATGTTATTTGGTTTTGGATGGACGCCATGGAAGAACCTGTCACTGTCTTTTCGGAGCAGTGACGACGACGACGAGAATGAAATGCCTTATGTTGATGGACAAGAGGAAAAGGTGGCAGGTGAGACCAGCAGTCGGACAGTAGAAGCCCAAGATTCGAGTGTATTGCCTCAGCATTTGCGTCGGGCCATATGGAAGGAACAAAAACGAAAAGAAAGTGTCCGATTCCTGGCCATGAAGAAACCAATGTACGATAATATTGAAATGTACGATCCCGATGGAGATTTGTTATGTACAATTGCTATAAAGAAAGCAAATTGGTATGTCAAGAAGGATTTGGGAACCTGGAACAAGACCAAGACGGCCATACACCTTCGATTCAAGCCACGAGGCAAGTCGGAAAACGTCTACAATCAATCGCAAAAACAAAACGTATGCGTTTCGTGTGGGGATGACAAGCACCACATGCGACACTATGTTGTCCCGTACTGCTATCGAACCCTGCTTCCCGAAAAGTACAAAACACACATGCCCCACGACATTGTCATCATGTGGTAAGACCCGCAGCTCGTGTATTTTGCCAATTTGCAGCAGCAAAGTCACTCATCTCATATATGTATGGATAGTCCTGATTGTCATTTGACTTGTGAACAAGCCACCCAACGGAGGCAACAAGAACTGGAACGAAAACTCCGCAAGGATCCATCAACCGCCAAAAAGGTCATCCCGAGCAAGGAGTTGTATCATATTCGAAGTTGCGCCTTGGCAATTATGAATCATGGTGATAAATTGCCAGCTTTCAAAAAGGATGAATACGCGGCACTGGTACGCAAACACCACCAACTTGACGAGCAAGAAGAACTATCAAAAGAGATTTTGCAAGCGACTATTGACATGGAGTTTACCATCCCTAATGAACAGTTTATACCAGGAGCTGAACTCGTTATCGACGCCTTGAACCAAGACGATTATAAGATTGCCGAGTTCATCCAAGACTGGCGCTACCACTTTTTGGAAACGTCCCAACCAAGGTTTCTACCTACTGGATGGGATGTGGATAGTCCGGTTCACTGCGACCGACCCAACCAAAGAAACTAACTATTGTACGTATTAGTATCTTTTGACATCATGGTGCGCTATAGGTGTTAATACTTGTTGTTAATACTTGTTGAAGAATGTATTTTGTGATATGTGGAGAATGGAGAATCAGGGTCCCCCGATTGAAAGCCCCCACATTTGGAGTTGGTCATTCTAAATTTGGGGGCGCATCATTGACGTCATTTTTTATTTCAAGCTTGCACGTTCCAACCAAGGTTTTTCTTAGTTCTTCTGTTCATACCGGTATATTGAATTCTGCCCTCGCTCTTTTGTTGCGATAGGAAAATAGAGAAAGCAAGGTATTATATATATATCAATATCAGAGTTGCATCACCTCCTTGAAGACTAACAGCTATTACAGCTATTACAAATCAATAAGAATAAGAATATTCAATCATGCCACCGCGAGAAGAATTGACAGAGCCATTGCTCTCGAATAGCAACGATGAAAACAACGACTTGGAACAATCTCCTTCTCCAACTCCCGGAGCTTGCTGCTCTCCCGACGAACCGGGAGAACAACCGCAAGAAGAAGAAGAGTTTTCAGCTCGTACTGAACTGTGGGAAATGGCTTCTCTAGGGCTACCGCTCGCCGTCTCCTTCTTTTGCCGCATGTTCATGGCCAGCACAGATTCGGCATTTGTGGGACACATCAATGATGGACAATACACTGCAGAAGTTTACTTGGCAGCCGCCGTCTTGTCCGACATGTGCATTGGCGTCTTTGTCACTCCTCCCTTGGCCTTTAATCAAGTTTTGAATGGATTGGTAGGGCAAGCCATGGGATCCGGGAACCCCAAAATGGCTGGTATTTGGCTGCAGCAATCCATGTTTTGGTTGGCAATCAGCATGTTGCCCTTTTTGATTCCCATGTTTTATGTGGAAGATGTTCTTTTGGCATTGGACTTTTCGAAGGATGTCGCCAAGGTGGCGGGGACATATGCCAAGTTCAACATTGTGTGGCCCATTCCAAATGGGCTTTATCAGTGCATGAGATTCTACTTTCAGGCCCAGGGCATGCCTCGTCCAGCAATGTACAATAACATTTGCTTTCTGTTTGTCAATGCTCTGTTGAACTGGATCTTTGTCTTTGGTGGTCCCTTCAAGCATTGGAACGGTCTCGGGTTCATTGGTGCGGCTATTTCACTCTCCATCTCTCGGACCAGTCAATCGGTCGTGTACTTTATCTACATGTTTCTCATCAAAAAGAATCACTTGAATACTTGGCCCGATGACGGATGGTCCTTCAAGCATCACACTTGGGAGCGAACCAAGGAATTCATGAAGCAATCTCTGCCCAACATTGGTACTCTTCTCTTTCAATGTGCCGCTTCGCAAGCAACTACAGTCTTGGTAGGTCGTCTCGGAGATGGGCCCATTGCTGCCTCGTCTGCCATTTCGACTGTTTCCTATCCTTGGTCTGGGACCTTGGGTGCTACTTGTACCACCATTAGTGGGGTCCGTACAGGATTTCATATGGGACGTGGAAAGGCCAATGCTGCCAAGCAGTCCACTTGGTTGGTGCTCTACGCAATTACAGTGGTCAATATCATTGTAGCGGCCATTTTTATTCCATTTGGAGGTAAGGAATCAATGAATCAATTTCTAACTAAAAGAGTTGACTGATGATCGATTGTGCAAGCTTGCAACCTACAGTACTGTATTTTGGCTCACCATTTCTTTTTCTCTTGATCGATTCTTGATGGTTCACAGATACCATTTTGAAATTTGCTACCAATGACGCTGAGGTCCTGAGCATTGCCGGAAAATTGATCCCTGCCTTGTTGGTCGGAACCTATCTCAACCTGATTGTCAGTAATATTACTTCTGGTGTCTTTTCGGGCATGGGTCGGCCCATCATTGCCACTGTCCTCAGCTTTGGATTAGAATTGCCAATGTCCATTGGGGGTGTGGCCATTTACATTTTGGCCATGCATGGAAATCTATTGGGGGTCTACTGGTGGACGGCCATCTCGGGAGGAATTGAAGTCGTCATTGTCGTGTTCCTACTCTTGCGATCGGATTGGTATTATTGGGCTGAACAAGCCCGGTTGCGTCAAGAAGCTAGTTCTAGTACCAATGATGAGGAAGGAGAAGGTGATGGAGATGGAGATGATGACAATGGGGAAGAGTCAAATGAGGAAGCTACAGAAGGAGGCGCTGCAACCGCAGAAGAGAATGCCGGTGAAAATAATGTAGAAGACAACTAAACGCCTAGATTGCGCATTGGTATTTTTAATTTTGTAATTATTTCCTTTCACGTTGCTTTCTATATATTGCTTCGTTACGTTATCATATATAGGATCCGTACGTTTTAATAATTAGTCTGTGTCAGTACTTGTATTCCCATCATCATCTCTTGCCATTTGATCTAGTTGATCCAAATGATCTTTTTGATCAGCCGAGAGCTTTTGTGATGAGGCAGTACGCTCACCCCCCCTGGCTCGTTTACGACCCGAAGCGTTCTGCGATGAGTTTTGTGACAAGGTATCTGACGAGCCTCTCGATGAATTTCGTGATGAGTCCGTGCCTGAGCTTGTATTCCCATCTTCACCCCTAGACATTTTTTCTAGTTGATTCAGATTATCAGCAGAGAGCTTTTGTGATGAGTTGGTACTTGAACTTGTATTTCCATCGTCCTCCCTGGACAGTTTTCCAGCCGAAGACTTCTGTGCTGAGTGATGTGATGAGTCGGTACTTGTATTCCCACTATCACCCCCGCTGTCACCCCTGGCCAGTGCATCAGCCGAAGAGCTTTCTGAGGAGTTGCCCTCGCCACCTCTGGCTCCTTTACGCGCCGAAAAGTTTCTTGATGAGTCGGTGCTCGAGCTTGTATTCCCATCATCAGAACTGCCCAGTTTACGAGCCGAAGAGTTGTTCGACGAGTCAGTACCTGAGCTTGTATTCCCACCATCGGCACTGACGACTGGTGCAGCTGAACCGTCTCGTGAGGAGCTCTGTGATGCGTTAGTAACCTCAACGCCTCTGACCATTTCACCACCAGACGAAGAGTTTCGCGAGGACAAGGTATCTGATGAGGAGTCTCTTGATGAGTTACGGGATGAGTCAGTACCGGAACCTGTGTCCCCGTCATCGTCACCGTCAAGTTTATCAGCTGAAGAGCCTCTTGATGAGTTACGAGATGAGTCAGTAACCTCACCGTCCTCCCTGTTGAGATCCCTGTTCAGGACCAGGTCTTGACCCGCCGGAACGTTTTGTGATGACTTTTGTGACAAGGTGTCCGATGACGCTCTTGATGAGTTTCGAGATGAGTCAGTACCTGAGCTTGTATTTCCATCATCTCTAACCAGTTGACCAGCCGAGTAAAGAGTTGTACACTGGCGACACCAATAGTAGGTTCGTTCCTTGTGTCGGTAGGACAGCAACGCCAGTTCGACCACTTGTCGAAGCTTCTGCCTGTCGAAGTCTTGGACTTCTCCGCTGTTTTGCGGTGTGGTTGCCAGTGATGCAAAGAACTTGCATCCGTATCGCTGAATGCGTTCGCATTGAGGATGTAGGTGCATGATGTTCAATATCAAGTTGGAAAAGTTCTCAACCAGAACATCTTCTCTTCGAGTAACATTCGTCATGAGCTTACCCCATATAGAGATTGCTCGACCAAGGATCACCGTGTCAAATGGCGCACTCTGACATATCTGCATAAGCAATTGTGTGATGTGAAGGCCCTTCACATCTAGGAAGCGAAAAGCTGCCCTTCGGTTATATGCCATTGTGTGGACCAAGAAGCCCAATGCAGTTGATACAAAGGCCGCGGTCTCTTCATCAATGGTATTGTTTTCATTGGTACCCTTATCGACCCATCGTTTGAGAGTATGAAGAATGACACTGCATCCATCAAGGGTTAGAAAGGTGTCAACGAACTGTTGGCCTTTGGGATCATTTGAGCCCATGGTTGTCCCACTTCTGTCTTGAAGAAAGCTTTTCAAGTTCTCCATGAAAAGGTTGACTAGAAGTAGCTTGTCAGCATTGGCAATTTGATCCAGAACCGAATTGACAACCAAACGAGAAGAGTGGTCAGCGGATGAAGAGCTTGGAGCTTTCTTTTCGTCGTTGTTGTGGTTATCTTCTCCATTGTTGTCTAGCCGTCTCCTTTTCGCAACTGGTGGAGAGGAGTTGAAGGATTTAGTGGCAGTCTGTGCGGTATTGAAGTCAGAACACTCCATTGTATTATCCATCGTAGTGCTTCTCGATGGGTTAGAGTTTGCTGCTGTGTGGTGTTTCTGATAAAATGATCGAAACAAGCTTGTTTTTTCACGTCAGTATGTCGGTCGAACACGAATTTTGAGTGCTCCTTACCAGACGGTACCTTTAATTAAGGGAAACGGAATAATAGGTAACATGACCACTTCTACAGAGATTCAGTACCCGTAGGTAGATCGAAGTTTTCATTTGACCGCGCATATTGAATCGAAAATTTGACGTCTCCAGATTTAATTAACAAGTCCTCTGTTTCTTTTCTCCCATCATGACTTTCAATCGATTTGACTGACAAAGAACCTGGCTAAAACGCGGGTGTTAGAAATCGCCTTATCTAATCGGAAATGCGGTGAATGATACACTTCTGTTCTTGCGTCAGTTCGTGCATGAGAGAATCAACCAATTGTATATATTGGTATTGATGTTGATATAGTTACGGGAACTGAAAGATGTATTGCGGGAACTGTCTGCTCGTCGCAACGTAAAAAAACTTAGTGAATACTCGTAGTCATCTCATCCGTTTCCATTCTCCAAACATCTCCCCTCCTTTGATTCACCAAAACAAATGGTAGGTATAAAGTATAAGACCAATATCGCATTACGAATCTTTCTTCACTTCATGCAAATCCATTGGTGACTTAAGAATGTGGTAATATCTGGACCATTTCAAGGTCTTTCGACTTATGATCATGGGCCCAATATTTGTAGGCTGGTGGGCAATCAGAAGGAAGCAGAAGTTAATGACCCAAGGGAGGGATTTGGAGAAGGGAAGGCGACAATAGTGTAGAAGAAGACAATTAAATAAGTACTGCAGGTAGATGAAATGGAGTCTGTCAAGATGCGTATGTACTAATTAGTCAGTGTCAGTACTTGTATTCCCGTCATCATCCCTTGCCATTTGATCTAGCTGATCCAGTTGATTTAGATTGGCAGCCGAGAGCTTTTGTGATGAGTTAGTACTCGAACTTGTGTTACCATCATCATCTCTGCCGGCCGATGACTTTTGTGCTGAGTGCTGCGATGAGTCAGTACTCGTACTCCCACCGTCAACACTGAAAAGCTTACCAGCCGAAGACTTTTGTGACGAGTCGGTACACTCACCACCCCTGGCTACTTTACGAGCCGAAGACTTTTGCGATGAGTTTTGTGATAAGGTGTCTGATGAACCTCTTGATGAGTTTCGTGATGATGAGTCAGTGCCTGAGCTTGTATTCCCATCATCATCCCTGGCCAGCTTACGAGCCGAAGAGTGCTGTGACGAGTCAGTGCCTGAGCTTGTATTCCCACCATCGGCACTGACGACTGGTGCAGCTGAACCGTCTCGTGAGGAGCTCTGTGATGCGTTAGTAACCTCAACGCCTCTGACCATTTCACCACCAGACGAAGAGTTTCGCGAGGACAAGGTATCTGATGAGGAGTCTCTTGATGAGTTACGGGATGAATCAGTACCAGAACCTGTGTCCCCGTCATCGTCACCGTCAAGTTTACCATCCGAAGACTTTTGTGATGAGTTTTGTGATGAGTCGGTAACCTCACCGTCATCCCTATTGAGATCCCTGTTGAGATCTCTGTTGAGGACCAGGTCTTGACCAGCCGCAAAGTTTTGTGATGACTTTTGTGACAAGGTGTCCGATGACGCTCTTGATGAGTTTCGAGATGAGTCAGTACTGCAGCTTGTATTCCCATCATCATGCCTGACCAATTGACCAGCCGAGTAAAGAGCTGTACACTGGCGACACCAATAGTATGTACGTTCCTTGTTTCGGTAGGATAGCAACGCCAGTTCAACTACTTGTCGAAGCTTCTGCCTGTCGAAGTCTTGGGTTTCTCCGCTGTTTTGCGATGTGGTTGCCAGTGATGCAAAGAACTTGCATCCGTATCGCTGAATGCGTTCGCATTGAGGATGTAGGTGCATGATGTTCAATATCAAGTTGGAAAAGTTCTCAACCAGAACATCTTCTCTTCGAGTAACATTCGTCATGAGCTTGCCCCATATGGAGATTGCTCGACCAAGAACCACTGTGTCAAAGGGTGCACTCTGACATATTTGCATAAGCAATTGTGTGATGTGGAGGCCCTTCACATCTAGGAAGCGAAAAGCTGCCCTTCGGTTATATGCCATTGTGTGGACCAAGAAGCCCAATGCAGTTGATACAAAGGCCGCGGTCTCTTCATCAATGGTATTGTTTTTATGAGTCCCCGCATCGACCCATCGTTTGAGAGTATGAAGAATGACACTGCATCCATCAAGGGTTAGAAAGGTGTCAACGAATTGCTGACCTTTGGGATCATTTGAGCCCATAGTTGTCCCGCTTCCGTCTTGAAGAAAGCTTTCCAAGTTCTCCATGAAAAGGTTGACTAGAAGTAGCTTGTCAGCATTGGCGATTTGATTCAAACAGGTATTTACAATCAAACGAGAAGAGTGGTCAGTGCATGACGAGCTTGGGGCTTTCTTCTCATCGTTGTTATCTTCTGCAATATTGTCTAGCCGTCTCCTTTTCGCGACCGGAGGGGAGTTGAAGGTTTTGGCAGGCGATGCGGTTTTGAAGTCGGAACAATCCATTGAATCATCCATCGTTGTGCTGCTCGATTGTATGGGGCTTGTTGCTGTATTAGGTTGGCTTGCTGCTATGTGTCGTTGTTTGTTTGCTGCTGTATGCTTTGTGCGCTGAATAAAATGATCCGAAACAATCTTCTGTTTTCACGTCAGTTCATGACCTACCATAGACACTGTAGTAGTTCGGGAGTCGAAGTTCTTTTTTTCCTTCCAAGAGTAGGGCCAAAATCGACCTTTTAAATCCCCAGGGGGAAGCATACTTCGATTTTCAGTGGTTTTCAATACCGAAGGTAGAACGAAGTTTTCGTTTTACCGTGCATAATACACCGAAACTTTGACGTCTCCAAAAGTTGCCTTGACGAATAAAGTCGTCAGTGTCTCTGGACGGGAACTCGAATGATAGGTTGGCATTTTGAAATCGTAGATAAACAAGAAAGGCGGTGAAGGATTCACACGTCAGTTTTTTCGTCAGTTCGACTAAGAAGAAAAGTATATATTAGATGTATCGATATTCCGCTCTTGCAACGAATTTAGACCGGAGAATCGTGTAGTTGTACACGTGGACCCGGAGGCACATAATCCCTGTTGATATTCTTTACTACTGGTACCGGTACCGGGTACGCAAGTACGGGAACTGCCTTTACGTCCTTCCGTCGAACATAACGTGTGAAGGTTCAGTGGGTGTGACAAGTTGTGGAGAAGTGACGCAAAGGGGAATTGGCAACACTAGTTCACGAATGAAAAAATGGTGCAGAAGACAAATGAAAACACCTAGCTAATTCAATGGCATTTGTCATATTTCATTTTTAAATTCTGCTTGCGTCTGCAATTAGTCCTAGTCAGTGTCAGTACTTGTACTCCCGTCGTCATCTCTGGCCATTGGGTCTAGTTCACCTAGTTGATCAACTGACGAGAGTTTTCGTGATGATACAGTGCTTGAACTTGTGGTACCCGTATCATCCTTCGCCAGTTTGACAATCGAAGCGTTTTGTGATGAGTCAGTAGTACACCACTCGCAACCCCTGACGAGTTTGGTACCTGATGAGGCTCTTGTTGATGAGTTTCGCGATGAAGAATCAGTGCTTGAGCTTGTATTCCCATCATCAGAACTCCCCAGCCTACGAGCCGAAGAGCGTTGTGATGAGTTTGTGCTTGAGCTTGTATTCCCACCATCAAGGCTCACTAGCCGACCAATTGAAGAGTTTCGTGATGAGCTCTGCGAGGAGTCAGCATATTTACCACCCGTGACCAGTTGGCTACCAGCTAAGGGTTTTCGCGAAGAGTTTCGTGAGGAGATTTGAGATGATTCAGTACTTGTGCTTGTGTTCCCATCATCGTATGCGTCAAGATTACCATCCGAAGACTTTTGTGATGAGTTTTGTGATGAGTCGGTAACCTCACCGTCATCCATATTGAGATCCCTGTTGAGATCTCTGTTGAGGACCAGGTCTTGACCAGCCGCAAAGTTTTGTGATGACTTTTGTGACAAGGTGTCCGATGACGCTCTTGATGAGTTTCGAGATGAGTCAGTACTGCAGCTTGTATTCCCATCATCATGCCTGACCAATTGACCAGCCGAGTAAAGAGCTGTACACTGGCGACACCAATAGTATGTACGTTCCTTGTTTCGGTAGGATAGCAACGCCAGTTCAACTACTTGTCGAAGCTTCTGCCTGTCGAAGTCTTGGGTTTCTCCGCTGTTTTGCGATGTGGTTGCCAGTGATGCAAAGAACTTGCATCCGTATCGCTGAATGCGTTCGCATTGAGGATGTAGGTGCATAATGTTCAATATCAAGTTGGAAAAGTTCTCAACCAGAACATCTTCTCTTCGAGTAACATTCGTCATGAGCTTACCCCATATCGAGATCGCTCGACCAAGAATCACTGTGTCAAAGGGTGCACTCTGACATATTTGCATAAGTAACTGTGTGATATGGAGGCCCTTCACATCTAGGAAGCGAAAAGCTGCCCTTCGGTTGTAAACCATTGTGTGGACCAAGAAGCCCAATGCAGTCGATACAAAGGCGATAGTTTCCTCATCAATGGTATTGTTTTCATGAGTACCCGCATCGACCCATCGTTTGAGAGTATGAAGAATGACACTGCATCCATCAAGTGCCAAAAAAGTATCTACAAACTGCTGGCTACCTGTAGGACCATCTTGGAGAAAGCTTTCCAAGTTCTCCATGAAAAGGTTGACTAGAAGTAGCTTGTTGGCTGTGGCAATCTGTTTCAGAACCGTATTGACAACCAAACGAGAAGAGTGGTCCGCTGATGCTGTGCTCGACACTTTGCTCTCAGAACCTTCAATATCATTGTCTAGCCGTCTCCTTTTGGCAGCCGGTGCGGAATTGAAATCAGAACAGTCCATTGAATTATCCATTGTTGTATTTGTTTGTTTGTTTGGTTGGTTTGAATTTGCTTTTGTTTGTGTTTGGTTTGTTTTTGTGTGTTTCGTACCTAATATGATGGGAACTCACATTTTTTGACGTCAGTGCATGTTGTAAAATGTGAAGGGTGGGCGAACATCGGGAGGAATTAAAAGTGCCCACTGTCACTAAATCAAAAACAAGAACTAACAGAGCTGGAAAAGGAAGACGACCAGCAAAATAACACGATCAATGATACCCGTACTTTCGATGGTTTGCTACGAAGAAGGATGTTCGTAAATACATTTATAGCGGCTAGATACAACGAAGGTTTTGTTTTACCGACTAAAATACACTATAATTTTCACGTCACCATCAATGTAGAACAAATCAGTTTGAATGGGAACGTTATGGACAAAACCTACAGGCATTCCTCCGTCAAAGTAGTTAGACAGAAACCAAAACTGACGTAAATACGACCAAACGAATTTACATGCTTCCTATTTCACGTCAGTTCGGACAAAGCATTTCGAATCGAATGATATTAGAAGTACGTTACAGCTGCGGGTACTTTGTACCCGGTACTCTATTGTGGGAACTGCTTCTACAGGAACGAAAAGGCATACCTGGGCTCCCAAATACGCAAAATCTTGATTGGCAAGGAGACGGGACACGCCACGTCAGTCGATAGTAAGTCAGTCAGTCAGTCGCGGCACGACCCAAACAGCCGCTTGTGAGATTAATCTTTTTCCCAACGGTAGAAAAAGAGACGTGAACTTTTCCACTCCTGCCGTCTGTCAAAGTAGATAGATAGTAAAGTAGTAAAAGTCTACAGTAAGATCAAAGGCCAAGATCGCCTTTGCAGCAGCCAAAGGGACCATCCTTGGCTGAACAAGCGCAACTAGCAATGACAATGGAGAATAAGAAGAGACAAGCAAATGAGGAGAAGAACGGGAAGTGGCAACAACCAAAGAGATTGCCGATGACGATGAGAATGATGCAGAAGATAGCTGAAAACTAATAGGTGAAACATTGCTTCGCATTAATTTTATTTAGTGATGAGTAGCCTGCTGCGCGACTAGTCAGTGTCAGTACTGGTATTTCCATAGTCATCTCTGTTCATTTGATCTAGTTGATCAAGTTGATCAGACGAGAGTTTTTGTGATGAGTCAGTACTTGAACTTGAATTCCCATCATCATCTCTGGAATTCCTATCATCATCTCTAGCCATCTGCTCCAATTGATTTAGATTATCAGCCGAGAGTTTCTGTGATGAGTCGGTACTTGCACTTGTATTTCCATCATCGTCTCTGGCAAGATTACCAGCCGAAGACTTCTGTGCTGAGTGATGTGATGAGTCGGTACTTGTATTCCCACTATCACCCCCACTGTCACCCCTGGCCAGTGCATCAGCCGAAGAGCTTTCTGAGGAGTTGCCCTCGCCACCTCTGGCTCCTTTACGAGCCGAAAAGTTTCTTGATGAGTCAGTGCTTGAGCTTGTATTCCCATCATCAGAGCTTCCCAGCTTACGAGCCGAAGAGTTGTTTGACGAGTCAGTACCTGAGCTTGTATTCCCACCATCGGCACTGACGACTGGACCAGTCGAAGAGTTTTGTGATGAGTTAGCAGTAACCTGAACACCTCGGACCAATTGCGCAGACGATGAGTTTCGCGAGGACATGGTGTCTGAGGAGGCTCTTGATGAGTTTCGCGATGAGTCAGTACTTGAGCTTGTATTCCCATCATCATCCCCGTCAAGTTTATCTGCTGAGGAGCCTCGTGATGAGTTTCGTGATGAGTCAGTAACTTCACCATCTTCTCGTCTTCTGGCTAGTTGACGAGCCGCAGAGATTTGTGATGGATTTTGCGATAATGTGTCTGATGAAGTTCTTGACGAGGTTCTTGATGAGCTTCTTGATGAGTCAGTACTCGAACTAGTACTCCCATCATCATGTCTGACCAGTTGCCCAGCCGAATAAAAAGCTGTACACTGGCGACACCAGTAGTAGGTCCTTTCTTTATGTCGATAGGATAGCAAGGCCTGCTCAACAACTAGTCGCAACTTTTGTCTGTCAAAATTTTGGGTCTCTCCATTGTTGTGTCCCATAGAGGCAAGTGACGCGAAGAACTTGCATCCATATCGTTGAATTCGTTCACACTCTGGATGCAGGTGCATACTATTCAATATCAAGTTGGAAAAGTTCTCCACTAGAACATCTTCTCTTCGAGTAACATTCGTCATGAGCTTGCCCCATATCGAGATTGCTCGAGCAAGAATCACCGTGTCAAACTGTGCACCCCGACAAATTTGCATCAGTATTGGTGTGATATGTACGCCCTTCACTTCAAGGATGCGAAATGCTGTCCTTCGGTTAAACACCATCAAGTGAACCAAAAAGCCCAAAGCAGTTGATACAAAAGAGGCAGTGTCCTCATCAATAGTATTGTTTTGACGGGCGCCTGCTTCTACCCATTGTTTCAGAGTGTGAAGAATGACATCGCATCCATCGAGTGCTAGAAAGGTGTCTACGAACTGCAGACCTTTGGGATCATTTGAAGCCATGATTTTCCCATTCTCGTCTTGAAGGAAGTTTTCCAAGTTCTCCATGAAAAGGTTAACTAGAAGCAACTTGTCGGCTGTGGCAATCTGTTTCAGGACAGTGTTGACAACCAAACGAGAAGAGTGGCCCGATGTTGTGCTGGAGACTTTCCTTTCATCATCACCATGTGCAATATTTTGGTCTAGACGTCGTCTTTTGGCAACGGGTGCGGGATTGAAATCTGAACGATCCATTGAACCTTCCATTGTTGTGTTGCTGGATTGGTTAGAGCTGTTTTTTCTGGTAGTTCTGGTAGTTTGTTGCTGTACCTATGAATCTTGTTGTTACTGTGCTTGTTTGTTGCTGTTTTTTGTGGCTTGGGAAATACACGCTGACTGAATACGAACAAAACAACACACTTCTTCTTTAACGTCAGTTCATAACAAGACGGAGAATTGTTCCCATTTTTCATATACGGTCTTTCTCTCAATAATTGAGCGCCAAACTGCAAATGGTTCCGCATACCGCATTTTCGATGTCCTGAGCTGCACTGCCATTTCCTGCCTACAACAAGTACATCTTGTTGGAACAAAATTTTCATTTTACCGCGTATAATGAACCTATATTTTGACGTCACCATTTGTGACATGTAAAATCGTCACTTACCCTAACCATTTGTCACGTTCCGTCAGGTATCCCTGAGACATTCGACCCCCATCAAGTCAGAAATGCGATGAACGATACACTTTCAGTTTTACGTCAGTTCAGACTTATGGGCATTTTAATTCATCGCCTTTCCTATTCAATAGAAACTCAAGGCGTGACACGACATAATTGAAAAGGAATGATTTCCCTCGTCTGAAACTGACGCATGACATCAGGGAACGAACATTTTATTTAAGGCACTCTGCTTTGCCGTCAACTCTGCAAAACGGGAAACAGTACATAGATGTACTCATGCGGGAACCTTCTTTCTTTGAGAATTGTCGACATTTTCTGATGCGGGAACTGTCCGCACGGCCATCCGTCAAGACTTCGACAAAATTGGTCGGTCAGTCTGGCAGTCTTGGTGGGTCTTGGGAATGTCTTTCGTTTCTCCTCCTTCTTCATTCTCCAAACAACACAAGACTTGTTTCACCCTTTTCCTTTTACTGGTGTACATACTGTAGCTTTCATGTCTGGGATCCCAACAAGAAGGACAGCGCCTGTCGTATATGTACAAAACCACAGCCATAATCGCTAGAAGGATCATCGCCTACTTTTCAACAATCGCTGAGCCATCGCATTCATAAGCCAGCAGTCTCATCTTTGATCCGCAATCACATCGAATCGCAGACTTGCAAAATGGCGAAGCGCAGCTTCCGAGTCGCTCTTTTCTGCCTCCAAATGTATTTGTACGAGACAGTAGCACAGGTACAACCAAGACAACAGGGAGAGGTTTGCTTATTCGCTGGAGAAGTCTTTCAACCGGGGGAAAGCTACGGTGAATTATTTGAAATTCCAAGGTGTGTATTTTTCTATTTCATCATTCATGCCTCAAGAGCTACAAAAAGATTCCTAAATCACTCATCATTTTCGCCATCATTTTGTTTATAGATGCGGAAACTGGTTCGAATTTCCTTGCTTTTGCAATCTAGATTTCGATCCACCAATTGATTGTCCATACTGTGGGCTTCTGATACAGAATGGCGACTTTGTATGTGCCAAAGAAAATGAAAGGGTTTCTATCGTGAATGATCGAGGCGTTGCCAAAAATTGTGCTTGTTTGAGAAGGACTCCAGACAGCCTTGGTGAAAACTATCTAGAAGCAATATGCGTTGATGCACCAGTGCCAAATCCACCGCCGCCTACCAATCGTCCCACTATCTTGACCAGTCCTCCCACGACCCCTCCAACCAATCGACCAACCATCAGTACCAACCCACCGACGATACAGGAAACTGAGCCACCAGTCAACAACGATAACGGAAGCAATCCCAATCCCACATCAGCCCCTGTCACTCCAGCGCCAACCACACCCGCACCAACGACTCGGGCACCAGTCACATCAGCACCAACGACGGCTGCACCCACCACTCCTGCACCGACTATTGACACGACGCCAGTGGATCCGAATGATGTGTGTGTCATCGATGTGGACGGGATTTCTCAAACCTTTTTGAATGGCCAGTCCTTTGGGACTGCTCTATTGACACGTTGTATTGATGCAACGGAGTATCCTTGCTTTTGTGATACTAGCTTGGATATCAAGATCCGATGTCCATACTGTGGCTATCTGACAGTCACGGGGGAACTTGCCTGTGCTCGCCTCGACGAGACGATTCAGTTTAGTGATCGTTCCAATACTCCGACTGAATGCACATGCCTGGATGATATATCGCTGGCATCCAACTGCCGAGATCTCTCAGCGCCGACACCCGAACCGACTCGGGAAATAGTGATCACAGCTCAGCCAACTTCGTCTCCAACAACACCAGACCCAACACCTTCTCCCACTTCACCGGCTCCAACAAGACCAACGATTGGTACCCCGCAGCCATCAATATCCACTGTGCCGTCGATAGCTCCGTTGCCAGTGACACCCTGGCCAACTGTGGGCATTGACAAACCTGCCATTGCGGAACCCATTCGACAACCAGTAGCCCAACCGAGTACACCAAAGCCTTCACCAGATGGCTGTTTTTTCAATCGAGAAGAAGATGAATCCCTAGCCTTTGTGGAGAATGGATTTCCCTTTGGGTCGGATGTGGTTGGACCTTGTCCAGTCGATGAATTTCCAGTCATTTGCAACACGAGGCTGACTGGAAAACGAGAATATCCGTATTGTGTCTTCTCCAGTGCCACTCGAGATAGTGGGGTATCCATCAACGGTCGATCAGGTATGCAAAAGGTTTGTGCTAGATCCGGAAGTCGGGTTTTGATCACTCGAACCGACGGCAACCGAGAATTGTGCAGTTGTCTGTACAACAATCCAGCAATTGGGCCTGTGTCTCAGTGCAAAATGGTCGACTTCAATTACACCGAGATACTATTCACAAGAGAGCCTACAATGTCTCCTACCATTGAGACACTAGGGAACAATTTGGGGGTTGACGATCCCGTCAATAACCCACCCATATCCGCAGCTACCTTACCGAGATGGTGGTCCTTGGCCATGATGGGCTGTACTACCATGATCTTGCTGGTAGTGGTCGATCTTCGTATGTAGCATTAAGCCAATGAATTGTTGTCATAAATCAAATAGAATTATATATCACTACGCCACAATTCTGAAAGTGCTACGAACCCACCTATCCTGTTCAAAAGTAGATAAAAGAGTGAGAATGACTGTTGTTGCATTGTGAATCTCTTGATATTATCTTTGGAAACAATATTTATGTTTCATCCTTAATCTAGTTTTTCTCATTCAAAATATGTCCTAGCATGATTGATTGATTGATTGATTGATTGATTGATTGTTACATAATATGCACTCGCCCACTGCAACTCAAATTGCATATTTGTGTTGTAGCAGAGGCGCCGTCATTGCAGTTGCTCTGTATTCAGGATCAGCATCTTTAATGAAGATCAAGAATAAGGTTTCTGGTAAAAAGTTTGCTGCTTTGATTTATGATCTATTCCTTTGTAAAACTGAAGTTGCAAAAATAAGGATTGAAACGGAAATGACCAAATTAGCGAAGGTTATTGCACAGTTGTCGTCCGGTTCTCGGTCGTGGCCGTTTCGAGCTCATTGTCGTCAGGAACGACATAAGCTCAAGCTGGAATTGCAGCGCGAAACCAACCTAAATCGGTGGTGTTTCCCATTTATTGCTGAGATTTGAAGGGGAGAAGCGTCCATAATGGAATGGACGCAAGAGCTTCATCATCATCATTGTCAACTCTGATATGTTACCGGTATGCTGGTTTATTATTCTACTGTGCTGTGCCTGAGCTACCGGTATTCCGTGCCGATGCCGCCGTTGATTGGTTTTTCGATCGACTACTGCGACTAAAAATGAACACGATAATATGAATGATGAACTTATCCGAAGTGAAAGAAACTATCGCACCGTACTACTAAATTGGTAAGTAGATAGTGGAATGCACATCTAATGCAAGGGTTGAGGATATAGCTCTAGCCTTCAATAGTAGTAAGTCACAATATAGTCCCCCTCCGCCTGTTTCTCCTGCTCTACGGTCAATGGACGGACGTTATTCGTGACTACTGAAAGCACGAATGAATTCATCAATCAAGAAATGAAAATATCGCAATCATATCCATCAATCATCGCAAACAAACTCAAACCACCAAACCTTCCACCGAGATGTTTCTTTCCGTTCAAATTTTACTCCAAATTACCGAACACAAGACACACAAGCTAGATTTCACACTCACAAAAACTATCGATAACCGTAAACGCATGCAAAAAACGTCAACTGCCACATCATCATCATCATCATCATCATGACTTTTTACAGCAGCACCACCACTAGTAGCAGTAATCCCTTTGCTAATACTACCACGGCTGTACCAGTACAAACAACCTTCCACAGAGGATCTTTCACCAAGAGACGCTGCGAAGACTCCATGGGCGAGTCATCGTGTCGTCATCATGTGGGACACCAAAAGAAGAAGAACGAACGAACGAAGCCACAAGAGAATCAAGACATCGTCTTTTCAACCCGTGTTCCCTACCCAATCACCACCATCCTCATTCCAAAAATTCCACCACCACCCAGTCTTCGATCAGTCCTTCTTCTGGATCCACCTACTTTACGTTTGGCGGCCAAGCACAAACTTCAAAGCGACAAAGAGCTTAGATTGGAGGGATCTCTTGGCATATAGGAATGGGGAGAAAGATGATTCCATGTTGCGTCGAAAAATTGCAAGGATTCTCAGTAATCAAATAATACAAACCTTTGATAGATGTGTCCTGTTATTTTCGGTTCTAGTTACAAAGTTGATCTTACAGTGTAATAGATCGCTATCATATTAATTAATTGACCAAGGAATAGACTGATACATGACGGCCGCTTTGTTGACGCGAATTGCAAACAAGCAATAGCAATTTATAGCATATAAATGCTGGCCACAATTACCAAGAGGGAAAAAGTGCTGCCAACTGCCATGGCTCCGTCCGCTAATTCCTCCTCGTCTCCTGGCCCAGTAGCTGTTGCCTTATTTTCAGTGGGAACGGCAGAGGGCGAGGAGGCACAAATAGAGTTACCAGAAATGTCAAAATAAAAGCTACCAGTTCCAGCCCCACAGTGATCACCGGAATCGTTGCAATTGTCCTTGACACATGTGACGGCATCGGGACAAGCTTCCAATTCCTCGGCAGTGCATTTTGCGGCAACAAAGCAGCAGTGCTCTTCATTGGAGCAGACATGACCACATTCTCCATTCGTGCACTGGTGATAGCCGGTGCAGGCGACAAAGTTCACTTCGTTGGATGGATTGAGACAATCAGTAGTGTCCGTGCAAAATCCCATGGCCTCGCAACTTCCAGCGGAACAGTAGTGGGTTGGCACAGCACCACTAGTATCATCGTTACAGTCCTTGTCTTGGGTACAAGATTCAGGAAGTGTGAATGGCTCTTTCACGCATTCTTCCAAGACATTTCCGGCAACATCAAAGTGAATGGCGTCACAGCCACCACCACAATAATCGGAAACACATCCGGTCGACTCGGGGCAACCAGTCACCGTGCACGGATCCACAAGGCAATTTACCGGAGTGGCACCCTCCTTGCACATGGAACCAGTGTCACAGTCACGGGTGCATTGACCTTCTTGGCATACAATGGGGCCTACGCATTCGATAATGCCATAGTCATTGGAGGGGTTGACACAATCTTCATCGGTGGAACAGGTTCCAGGTGCTGCACAGAAACCAGCCGCACAATATGGTTGAGCAGCAGGAGCACGAGTATCAAGTTGCATGATATTCGTGATAGAATCGATCTTGTCCTCATCGTCAATATTGACATGGCAGTCGCTATTCGAAGAGCATGGTACAGGCTCTGCAACACCTGGACCAGAACTCAAACTGTCATCATTGTCGCAGATTCGGCTTCCCTTGGCATCAAAGTAAAAGATGTTACATTCACCACAGTTGTTGTTGACGCAAGACACGGCACCTTCGCAGTTCTGGATGTCGCACATCACGGATGGGCAAAAGAGATCCAACAAAGAGGATCCAGGCTTGCACGCGGCTCCGTTGCAAGTCTTGGAGCATTGATTGGCATTACATTCCAAGTAGCCAGAGCAATCGTCTGACGAAAAGTCGTTTTGTTCATTGTAGCAGTCCACTTCCGTTTGGCAAAATCCGATCGGAGCGCAAGCTCCATCGGAGCAGTATTCCGCACCAGCCTCACAATCGGCAGTGCTGTTACAAGTGGTTTGGCCATGGACAGCAGTGTTGGCAAGCAACAAGGATGCTAGAAGTGCAATTGAAAAAGAGGTCTTCATTTCGTTTGTGTTTTGGTGTGTGTTGTGAGAAACTACAAGATTCAAAGTTGTGAGCGAATTACACACTATAGCCTTGAGGTTACCGCCATGGGTTCAGTCATGGTCGTGTGAAATGTTCTGAACAGGATGGATCAAGGATTTAAAATGTTGGTCCTGATGTAGGAAATTTGGTGGTCGCAGTGGTATCCAAGTTCGTGTCATTTATAAATACGTGCCGGCCATTCATGCGTTCTTTCAGACACATTACTCAGATATCGTTACTCAATTCCCACGTTTAAAGCATATTTCCGTGAAGGATGCAGGAATTTGTTGGTCGCAATGTTATCTCAGTTTGAATTATTTATGTGTAACGCCGGCCGGTCATGGGTTCGTATCGTGAAAATACAGACGCATTACTCAAACATCGTTACTCAATTCAATTTCCCAACGGATGAGAAGCTGGTTCCAACTTCCTCATGTGTATGTGTTTCCTCTCTCGGAAAATTGTACTCCCATCATAACGAGATTGCCGGCAGCGGAGCATCCACGCTAGTGGCTATCTAGGAACGAACAATGCCATGACGGCAGTACAGAAAAACTCCATCCAGCAGGGTTGGACACCATCCAACTACAAACCAACACCAGAAGCAAAAAGCTGTCGTACTGCACCTACTAATCGATGGGAATGGGGTCAGATCATGGATGTAGTGAGGATACTAGTACCATTTATAGTACAATGGGGTTCTGTCGAGTTTTTGACTGTATGGATGGCTGGCCCTCCATTCTTGGCGGTTGGAAAGGATCAGACGATGACGACATGGCTACAATTCCTACGACAATGGGTCATCATATGAAAGGCAATGAAGAATGCAATAACAAGTACCGAGAATCGAAGGAAATAACAAAGTCACGACCATTCCGTTTCCGTAATCCATTGGCCAAGAAGATGGTCGAAGATGCGGTAGAACGTTCGAAATACAATACGAAAAGCCGACAAAGGATGTTGAAATCAGTACGAGATTCTGGAGAGAGTAAGAGTCAACATGACAAGAATGATGATTCGATAGATCAACGCGTTGCATTAGCAGCGAAAAAGAAACGACCTGACATGAAACGAGTAAAGCAGCAGCGACAATCTTCAATCAGTTACTCCAGAAAGCAGCATCGACATCATCAACAACAACTGCATCACCAACAACAGAACAAAGAGAATGTACAGCAGACATACAATTCCTTTTTAAAATTTCACAGCAAACAGAAACCGGAACGATCACAAACCCCTATACCTGTGCCTGGTCCCATGAGGCTAGACCCCAAGGCAGCATTGAAATCGAAAAGAGCCAACCAGATTGTTCCAAAACGAAGACAAGCTAGTTCCACAACATTTGCCATTTCAATCCTAAAGCGAAAGGATGCCAATGACAGTAAAAGACAGTCGCCACCAACCTCGTATTGCCCTCCGATATCCACTCCCCTCGTTCCAATTGGAGAGGAAAAGGCAACGAAACTGAAGAAACTGAAACCATCCATCCCTTGGAGTCGAAAAGTCCATGTAACTCCATTTCAACCAGACAAGTACTAGAATAGCACAGTCGAGAATTCTACAAGTGTGCTTTGGCGTGGAAGCGCACAACCATTTAGAAAGAGTAGCAAAATAGTGTACTTTGGTAGTTCCATTTAGTTTTCGTTTCCTACTCGATTCATTCCACCATTTCCATTAGTTTGCCAAATACTTCCAAGTCAATATTGCCCCCACTCGCAATGACAACGACAGTCTTGTCTGTCACATCCACTTGGCCATCCAGCACGGCCGCAAGTCCCAAGGCTCCACTAGGTTCCAAGACCAATCGGTAGTGATCAAAGGCCACTTTCATGCCATTGGCAGCGGATGCGTCTCCAGATGATTCTAATGCCCCTTTTAGTCTAGGACCATTGACGCTCCATGTAATCTCACCTGGTGCTCCGGCCATGAGAGCGTCACAGTAGACGGATCGGTCACTTGGTGGTGGTTCATTGGAATAGATTTCGGAAAGGGACTGCAATTTACCATCATTGAACGATCGAGCGTGATCGTCGTAACCTCTAGGTTCCACTGTATATACTTCGGTGTGCTTTGTAGTAGGATCGCTTCCTTGGTAATGTTCCACAGCCAATTGGATTCCGGCGGTCAAGCCACCTCCTCCACATGGAATCAAGATGATGTCAGGAGGAGATCCTGTCAACTCTTGACATTGATCGAACAGCTCCATGCCGCAAGTACCTTGTCCATGAATGACCTGAGCATCTTCAAAGGGATGCAGCAAAGTCATACCCTTAGTGGCGGATATTTCTTGTGCCAAAGCAGAAGCAACTACCTCTCGGTTCTCGTCTGGTTTTGCAGTGCTTAACACCAAATCTGCTCCAAATTTCTGTATCCTTTCCAACTTTACAGCAGGCGCATCATGTGGAGAAACGATACAACACGGAATCTGAAGGGCTGTGGCAGCTGCTGCCAAAGCTTGACCAAAATTCCCACTGGAAAAGGCCACAACACCTTTGTTCGCTGATTCACTTTCGAGACTGGATAGACGATTGAATGCTCCACGAAATTTGAAACTCCCCGTCCGTTGTAGGCATTCCGCCTTGACTAGAAGCCGACAATTCAGTTCTTCATTGATGAGGGGTGATTCGATAAGAGGAGTTCTTACAACAACACCCGAGGTTGAAGATCTCGCATAGGCCTCAGCAACACCGCCGGACGAAGGCAGATTGTCGGTCGAAAGCGACCTGACTGATGCAATTGATGCAAACAGTAGGAGACGAAGGAAGCATATCATTTCGAAAGTCTTCATATCACGATGCCAAATCCTCTGGAATGCAACTGCGATATGTAGGTAGGCTTGACACGCAATACTACTCGCGCTCGTCTCGACTGATGCTCGTATCTTTTGTTTTGTTTTGTGTTCTCATTTGGTAATGCGGTTTGACATGAGATGAGTCGGAGCTTATTTAGTCATTCCAAATTAGGAGAGGATGCCACGCTGTGTATACCCGGTATGTGACGCGCGCTGGACAATTTCTCATCATCGCCGATCACATTTTTCATTATCGCCAGATCGCATTCGTCAACAGAGTGATTATTTCCGCGGATAGCGACGCACCACAAACTGTGACAATAGCACCATCATCAAAGCTTAATGAATTCAGTTGAGCCTGAAGAAGGGATCCTTGACGTCTTCAAGTTTGCGGCAAATGCATTGGCGGATGCTCCGCCACCACCAGGTTTAGAATATACAACCACGGATTCCTCAGCGCCATCCAGTTCCTATGAGCATGAAGAAACTGCTGGAAGATCGGAGGAGGCAGAAACCACGGAGTCATACACATCTAACAGTGGAACATATACTCGGGGTTCATCTTCCTTCGGCTCTTCGTATGATGAATCATCCGCAGGTGAATACCGAAGGGAGGAATATCATGCGTTCGGAAATCATTCATTTGATACGTTTGCATCATACGAGTCTGGTTCGTATGACGACGATTCAGAATCAGGAGATGAACATAAAGACCGCAATTTAGAAGCAGGCGATGACGACTCAGAGGTATTCGATGGTGTGGTGCAACAAGAGAAAGAATCTTCTACTCATAGCACGCTTAGTCGGATCGCAGATGTCTTCTTCAAGTCGAAATCACCACAGCAGCCTACCACATCGCCTCCTCAGCTGATTAAAGTGGAAATCGGAGAATCAGAGGATGTCGAAGTCACCGCAGAAGACAGTTTCAGAAAGATGCGTACGATTTCAAGTGATATCCAGGAGAAGAAGGTTTCCAATGAAATGGACCATAGAGGCAATCGACGAAATGTCCCTTCCCCGGTTGCCATAGCACCGATGAAGCGCAAATCACCCTCAGCCACAAAAGGAAGAGGAATGGTGGTCACAACAGAGCTTGTGGGAGACATGAAGATGCCGCTTGGCAAACCACCTTTGGCAGCTACACCAAGATCGACACGATCGACGCGGCTGGTAGCAGGAACTCCAACGTCAGTATCGATGGCGGGATTAGGCAAACCTCCATTGAAGCCATCTCAAGAAAAGAGAAAGTCTTCTTTCGCGTTCCGTTCCAATAATGAACCGTCGCCGACATCAACAAAGTCGCCAGCAGATGAAGATGAATCAACAGGTCATTCTCGAGGCTCTTCGTTTTCATTTGGATTTACAAGTCCCAAATCTACAGACAAAGCAAGCACTCCAAAAAAGGCAAGCACTCCAAAAAATACAAACACTCCCAAAAGTACTTGGTCCACTGCACCAATAGAATCTCAAGTTATTGGCGATGCTGCTGTCGGTCCCAGTGCCATTGAAGAGAGGGATCAAGTTGAAAGCGAGCCGCCGCGTAGTACTCGTTCTTCGTCCGAAAGGCGAGAACGTAGTGCAAGCAATCCAGTAAGGCTTGGAGATTCAACTGGATGGCAGTGGGGTTCCATGTTCTCTTCAGACTTCGAGAGAAGAGATCCAACGATCAAAGCAATGAGCCCGCGACCGTCTCGAGCTAAAATAGCAACTCCACCAAGGCCAGTAAGGGTGATGTTTGACGAGCCGGAAACGAGTGTGATAAAGGAGAAATCTAGTACGCCAACGCCAAAGCAGCAGGTATCCCAGCTGCTCAAAGTTGCAATGAGGTCGCCGAAAGAACTCAAACTACGAGACCAGAAGAGGAGCAGCCCAAAAGTATTCTCCCCCACGGCAAGGAAAGCCGATACTACGCCAACAGAACCAGAAATTGCCCAGCCTAAGAGGAAAGAAAGATTATCACACGACCACTCTAGTACAGGTACGGCTTCGACGAATAAGACAACAAAGGAAGAAAAAGTCTCGAGGCTCTTCGGTTCTCCATCAAAACAGGAGGATATTGAACCAAAGAACCAGCACAAGGAGCACGACCCCTTGGGACCAAGCACAGCCTCAGAAGCAGTCGAGATGATTGCCAACCTATTCAAGGTGTCATTGCAAGCCAGCGAAAAGCCAAGTGAACAGGAAAGCAATACCATAAGCAAAACTGTGAGTGCTTCTGCAAGGTCTGAAGATAGCGTCAAGGGAGACGACAATAAGAAAAAGAAGAAAGGAAAGGGGCACAGTCGGACCATGAGCCACATGTCCTTCTTTCGATCGAGCAAGAAGGAGAAGAAAGAGAAGAAAGAGACGAAAGTTGAACACGCTCTGCCCGCCAAGCAGCGTCTTACCAAGAAGAAAGAGAAGAATGCTGAACAAGCTCCCAAACATACCGAGCAGAAAGAAGAATTGAAGGCAGCAGTTGAGGAGAAGCCAGCAGATATCTATGACTTGACAAACTGGCTTTGGTCACCATTCGTATTCCCAACTGATGAAAGTGGAGTGGGACCAAAGGACGAACCAATTGTGGTAATCATGGAGGATGATGTGAAGAGCGACAAGAGGAAGAAAGACAAGAAGATACTGCGAACATGGACTCGTAAAGATAAGAGCGACGAGCGTCGCTCTTCTTCCAGAAAGATGAAAGACAAGAAACAGCATCCAAGACACGGTGTCGCCAAGAATCGTTCCACAAATCAAGACTCTACAAAAAGTGGAAAAGCCCAGAAGCAAATACTCCTTCAGAGTGACCATGACAACTTTGTCCCCTCCATACGTGCCTGGAGTCAGCCAATGACACCACCCCCTGCTCCCAAAGAAGAAGAGGGTGGCAAAAACTTCCGCACCCACCACCGAAAGTCGTCACTAAAGAGCCGCTTGTTCAATCGCAGCAGTGGGAAGAAGACGAAATCCGGTGACGACGACAGCGATGTCAACATTGTTTCTTTCACAAATCCCAAAGGAAAAGGGCAAGAGATGATGCTCGTGACAGATACGGTTTCAAAAAAGTTACACAAGCCACGCAAATCGCACTCTGCCCTCGTCAAGTCCCTCTACGAAAGCGATGATTGAGAACACACATGACAAGCGACCGAGAAGGCATGATAGATGTTTCATAAAAATACAATGTCCCTAGAAGTATAATATGTTATTAAAAATAAATTGATTTCTTTAGACCTATTGAGAACACCGCAACTGTACATTTACATCTACCAATTCATTTTCACAATAAAAAGCAACACTTCGGCACCTGTGAAGCATCACACCATTGTTCGTTCGCTGACCAAGTAAGGTTTCCTAGAAGACGACCTACTATACCACACGTATACATATCATTGGATGAGGCGCAACCAGCGAACTTTTCTTCCAAAAAAAGAATCCATGTCAATTTGTTTGCTTCCCCCTTCTGAAGTTCATTCTGCAGCTGTTATTATAGTCGCGACCTTGACGATGTTTTGTATCAGATTGGTCATCTTTCCATATTGTGGTGGAGTGGTGGCGTAGTAGTGTAATCAGGAGTGTGTTCGAACCGCAGTGCGGCATATTGTCGGCTTGCTTGATGTGCATTTTCAGCATCCTGTCATCACGTTGCGTGCTCATTTAATTTCAACGGATGAGACGTTGTCGACTATCGATCTCCTCAACACGCTGATGGTTCATGCATTCAATTCAGATCAGACCTCAACCTGAAACATTATCAATCGTGTCAAGTTTGTGAGTGCCCGTTTCTTTGTTGACTTTACTCCACACCATCGCCAAATTGAGTTTCCAAAAAAGGTTTCCATTTGTCTGTCATTTTCAGAAACGGTACTGGTAAAGCTTCTACACAGCTCTACGCAGCGAAGAAGAAAATAAACACGGTGTTGGATGGAGAGGGAGCTACAGCTACAGTACTGTTAGGAGAAAAGTCACTTTTTCCACTGAAGGAAGCAATGACACCAATACGTTTACGCAATCAATTGATGGGCATACACTCCATGTGTATGCATTACTGTATGTCATCATCATCATTTGACCGAAGCATAAAGTCAGAAGTCTGTGTCACATCGAACGGGATGCCATTTTCATTTGCTTCATTTGCTTCATTTGCTTCATTTGCATTTGCATTTGCATTTGGTCATCGATATCGAGTTTGGTTTGTTGACGACTTTGAAACATATAAAAGGCCCCATTCCTAGCCTTCCATGCACTAAAATAGGAAAGTTTTGTTCGGTGAGCTCCCGTCTGTGTATCACGGGGATCAATATACGACGAAACGAGGTTTGGTACCACACTACGGCGGACGCTCTCACATTCACGTCTGAGAGGGTGCGGACGGCACGTGCCAGATAACGAGCAGGGATTGCAGGGCTTTTCCATTCACGCGGCTGCTCAGGAGACGATCCTAACCATCGCGTACTCTGTCGGGAGTTAAAATACAGACTAGGTGAACATGCGGCTAGAGTCGGCCAGTTCTCTGAATTACCGGACTTACTTTTGATATAAGATTATTTTTAACAGTGGAAGATCTACTCAACGATCTCAGCTTTGGACTCGGCGATCCAAGGTGTAGAGGTAGCCAAGAAACCGAAGCAGCGCCCATGACGAGACGCACTCCTGTCCGCAGAAGTGCCCTCAGTGTTCTTTTGGACGATGCTTCGAGTTTTATTCATGCGAGCGGCAGCAATGATGATTATGGTTCTGGTACGGAAACAGAGTCTGGTCAACGGCGTAGCTTGCGAGTAGCCCAACGGGCACAACCATCAATGGGATCTGGATGGAATGAATCTGGTAGACGCTACAGTCTTCGAGTCGCCAGAAAAGAAGAACCAGAACAACAACGGTTTTTGTCCAGTGGTGTTGTCGGAGTGGTTTCTTCGTCGTGGTCGTTGCGAAACGAAGGCGCACTTCATCTACGGCGAGAAAGGACAGCATCAGAGGAGGAGGTCTCTGATAGCAATTCTATCGACATTGGCACTGACATTGACATTGACACTGATTGGAGCCCCTCCAATGATCTTGAAAGTCGTCGCATGTCAAATGTACCATTATCTTTGGAACTTTACAGGGCTCGGGCCATTTACTTGGCCAAGCGTGAGCGTCGTCGCCAAGTGGTCGGGCAGTTGCTAGTCCAATGGAAGCATCGTGAGTGTCTTGAACAACACAGATTGAAGCAATCCATGGTGCTGAAACAAGTCAAGGACCAATGGAGTCAACGCGAATGTCGTGAGCAGCCCAAGTTGGAGCAATCGAAGGAATTGGAACCAGTGGAGAGTCAATGGAGTCAACGTGAGTGTTGTGAGCAACACGGATTGATGCAATCCAAGGTACTGGAACAAGTGAAGAATGGCTTCAATGGGATCGAGCTTAGTCGAAAGAAGATCGACGACTGGCTCCAGCGACCCATGGGTAGAAAGCAGTTCAGACAACTGACGAAGGCGATCAAGATGTACACTGGGAAAGATTATGCAATCATCAATTCCTTTCTTCGAAGTGGAAGGATCCAACCCGGGAAGGAGAAATACATTGGCATCACTCAGCAAGCCAGAAGGGCGTTGAACGTTGGCCTTCGCTGGGAGAAGCATTTGAAGGTTTTTGACAGCGACAAGACATTGTACCGGGGATCGGGAAGCATCCCAATGAAGCTGGAAGTCGGAGGTACTTTGTGCGACAAGGGTTTCTTTAGCACGAGCCAATCGGAGCTCAAGGCTTCGGCCTTTTTGAACACGATTGATCGTTCCCAAACAAGAATCCTTTTTGCTATCAGCAGACATTGCAGTGGCGTGGACGTCTCGGAGTTTTCAAAGAACAAACATGAAGCTGAGGTTTTGTTTGCTCCGGACACTATGTTTCGCGTGATTGCGGTTGACAAGGAGAGAATGGTGGACGGAGTTGAGGGCACTGTGACAGTTGTGGAGATCCAAGAGATGGAGCAATCCAAGGTAGTGGAAAAGGTCCAGAGCCAACATGAGTGTCGTGAGCAACACAGATTGAAGCAATCCAAGGTGCTGGGACAAATCAAGGACCAATGGGAGCAACGTGAGAGTCTCGAACAGCACAGATTGAAGCAATCCATGGTGTTGGATCAAATCAAAGACCAATGGAAGCAAAGCGAATGTCGTGAGCAGCCCAAGTTGGAGCAATCGAAGGAATTGGAACCAGTGGAGAGTCAATGGAGTCAACGTGAGTGTTGTGAGCAACACGGATTGATGCAATCCAAGGTACTGGAACAAGTGAAGAATGGCTTCAATGGGATCGAGCTTAGTCGAAAGAAGATCGACGACTGGCTCCAGCGACCCATGGGTAGAAAGCAGTTCAGACAACTGACGAAGGCGATCAAGATGTACACTGGGAAAGATTATGCAATCATCAATTCCTTTCTTCGAAGTGGAAGGATCCAACCCGGGAAGGAGAAATACATTGGCATCACTCAGCAAGCCAGAAGGGCGTTGAACGTTGGCCTTCGCTGGGAGAAGCATTTGAAGGTTTTTGACAGCGACAAGACATTGTACCGGGGATCGGGAAGCATCCCAATGAAGCTGGAAGTCGGAGGTACTTTGTGCGACAAGGGTTTCTTTAGCACGAGCCAATCGGAGCTCAAGGCTTCGGCCTTTTTGAACACGATTGATCGTTCCCAAACAAGAATCCTTTTTGCTATCAGCAGACATTGCAGTGGCGTGGACGTCTCGGAGTTTTCAAAGAACAAACATGAAGCTGAGGTTTTGTTTGCTCCGGACACTATGTTTCGCGTGATTGCGGTTGACAAGGAGAGAATGGTGGACGGAGTTGAGGGCACTGTGACAGTTGTGGAGATCCAAGAGATGGAGCAATCCAAGGTAGTGGAAAAGGTCCAGAGCCAACATGAGTGTCGTGAGCAACACAGATTGAAGCAATCCAAGGTGCTGGGACAAATCAAGGACCAATGGGAGCAACGTGAGAGTCTCGAACAGCACAGATTGAAGCAATCCATGGTGTTGGATCAAATCAAAGACCAATGGAGTCAACGCGAATGTCGTGAGCAGCCCAAGTTGGAGCAATCGAAGGAATTGGAACCAGTGGAGAGTGAATGGAGTCAACGTGAGTGTTGTGAGCAACACGGATTGATGCAATCCAAGGTACTGGAACAAGTGAAGAATGGCTTCAATGGGATCGAGCTTAGTCGAAAGAAGATCGACGACTGGCTCCAGCGCCCCATGGGTAGAAAGCAGTTCAGACAACTGACGAAGGCGATCAAGATGTACACTGGGAAAGATTATGCAATCATCAATTCCTTTCTTCGAAGTGGAAGGATCCAACCCGGGAAGGAGAAATACATTGGCATCACTCAGCAAGCCAGAAGGGCGTTGAACGTTGGCCTTCGCTGGGAGAAGCATTTGAAGGTTTTTGACAGCGACAAGACATTGTACCGGGGATCGGGAAGCATCCCAATGAAGCTGGAAGTCGGAGGTACTTTGTGCGACAAGGGTTTCTTTAGCACGAGCCAATCGGAGCTCAAGGCTTCGGCCTTTTTGAACACGATTGATCGTTCCCAAACAAGAATCCTTTTTGCTATCAGCAGACATTGCAGTGGCGTGGACGTCTCGGAGTTTTCAAAGAACAAACATGAAGCTGAGGTTTTGTTTGCTCCGGACACTATGTTTCGCGTGATTGCGGTTGACAAGGAGAGAATGGTGGACGGAGTTGAGGGCACTGTGACAGTTGTGGAGATCCAAGAGATGGAGCAATCCAAGGTAGTGGAAAAGGTCCACAGCCAACATGAGTGTCGTGAGCAACACAGATTGAAGCAATCCAAGGTGCTGGGACAAATCAAGGACCAATGGGAGCAACGTGAGTGTCTTGAACAACACAGATTGAAGCAATCCATGGTGCTGAAACAAGTCAAGGACCAATGGAGTCAACGCGAATGTCGTGAGCAGCCCAAGTTGGAGCAATCGAAGGAATTGGAACCAGTGGAGAGTCAATGGAGTCAACGTGAGTGTTGTGAGCAACACGGATTGATGCAATCCAAGGTACTGGAACAAGTGAAGAATGGCTTCAATGGGATCGAGCTTAGTCGAAAGAAGATCGACGACTGGCTCCAGCGACCCATGGGTAGAAAGCAGTTCAGACAACTGACGAAGGCGATCAAGATGTACACTGGGAAAGATTATGCAATCATCAATTCCTTTCTTCGAAGTGGAAGGATCCAACCCGGGAAGGAGAAATACATTGGCATCACTCAGCAAGCCAGAAGGGCGTTGAACGTTGGCCTTCGCTGGGAGAAGCATTTGAAGGTTTTTGACAGCGACAAGACATTGTACCGGGGATCGGGAAGCATCCCAATGAAGCTGGAAGTCGGAGGTACTTTGTGCGACAAGGGTTTCTTTAGCACGAGCCAATCGGAGCTCAAGGCTTCGGCCTTTTTGAACACGATTGATCGTTCCCAAACAAGAATCCTTTTTGCTATCAGCAGACATTGCAGTGGCGTGGACGTCTCGGAGTTTTCAAAGAACAAACATGAAGCTGAGGTTTTGTTTGCTCCGGACACTATGTTTCGCGTGATTGCGGTTGACAAGGAGAGAATGGTGGACGGAGTTGAGGGCACTGTGACAGTTGTGGAGATCCAAGAGATGGAGCAATCCAAGGTAGTGGAAAAGGTCCACAGCCAACATGAGTGTCGTGAGCAACACAGATTGAAGCAATCCAAGGTGCTGGGACAAATCAAGGACCAATGGGAGCAACGTGAGTGTCTTGAACAACACAGATTGAAGCAATCCATGGTGTTGGATCAAATCAAAGACCAATGGAAGCAAAGCGAATGTCGTGAGCAGCCCAAGTTGGAGCAATCGAAGGAATTGGAACCAGTGGAGAGTGAATGGAGTCAACGTGAGTGTTGTGAGCAACACGGATTGATGCAATCCAAGGTACTGGAACAAGTGAAGAATGGCTTCAATGGGATCGAGCTTAGTCGAAAGAAGATCGACGACTGGCTCCAGCGACCCATGGGTAGAAAGCAGTTCAGACAACTGACGAAGGCGATCAAGATGTACACTGGGAAAGATTATGCAATCATCAATTCCTTTCTTCGAAGTGGAAGGATCCAACCCGGGAAGGAGAAATACATTGGCATCACTCAGCAAGCCAGAAGGGCGTTGAACGTTGGCCTTCGCTGGGAGAAGCATTTGAAGGTTTTTGACAGCGACAAGACATTGTACCGGGGATCGGGAAGCATCCCAATGAAGCTGGAAGTCGGAGGTACTTTGTGCGACAAGGGTTTCTTTAGCACGAGCCAATCGGAGCTCAAGGCTTCGGCCTTTTTGAACACGATTGATCGTTCCCAAACAAGAATCCTTTTTGCTATCAGCAGACATTGCAGTGGCGTGGACGTCTCGGAGTTTTCAAAGAACAAACATGAAGCTGAGGTTTTGTTTGCTCCGGACACTATGTTTCGCGTGATTGCGGTTGACAAGGAGAGAATGGTGGACGGAGTTGAGGGCACTGTGACAGTTGTGGAGATCCAAGAGATAGTCTAGGCAGAAGGTATGGAGCAACAACCAACCATTGGCTGACTTGAGTGTGGAACTACGGAGGAATGGGAGAATAGTTGGAGTTGGGAGATGATAAATTGATGAATGAATCGTCGGGAGTGGAGAGTTGGTGAATACATTTGAAGACAGTTGAAAGATCGGACTTACCATTTTGTTGTTTTTGGGCATTAGTATCTGTGGTCCATCAGCGATATCCGTGAGTCATGTTTACAGCTGTCGTTGCCATTGGCAACTTCGGCGGTTTCTGCAGTTTCGTGTATGATGGCACTGCTGGACTGAACGTCCAACAAAGGTTGCTTTTGTGTTTGTTCCTTCATTTCTATCCCCGAGAAAGTTTGTGGAACTACGAAGGAATGGGAGAATGGTTTGAATTGAGAGATGATAAATTGATGAATGAATCGTTGGAGTGGAGAGATGGTGAATACATTGGAGACAGTTGAAAGATGGGAGGTACTATTTTATTGCTTTTGGGGTTATGATTGATTGCAGGGGAAGCCTTACTGTACAGAACATTAGCATCAGTGGTCCATCAGCGATATCCGTGAGTCATGTGAACAGCTGTCGTTGCCAATGGCAACTTCGGTGGTTTCTGCAGTTTCGCGTATGATGGCACCACTGGACTATTAGTCGCACCACTCAGTGGTGGTTTCCTTTGCTTTTTTCCTTCATTTCTATCCCGCAGAAAGTTTGAATAGTTGGAGAGGAGTGCTGCACTTCATATTCTTTTCTTCCTTCATTAGTTAATTGTAGTGTAGGTGTTGATCGATACCATAGTAACGACTTTATCATGCTGCTAGATCAATTTCAATCGAGGCAGTCGAGTTCTAGCTCTCGTTAGTAGTAGCTAAATACTATAGTTTCAAGTTGAGGTTTATTCCGTTACGTTACACCGCAGTTGGTTTTAAAAATAAAAAAAGGGCAAACCGCAAACCCGTCAAAGATTTATTGAAATCAAGCTGAAAGCACGTCAACTAGGAACGTAGAATGATGGAGAACGAAGGAGCAGGACAACGAAGCGTATCCCGTATTCGAAATCCAGCAGGAAAGAAGAGCTGTAAATGTGTTGTTACCAAGAAGACTAGAGGAAAGAACGGCAACAACAAAAATGTTGCTGGAAAGCCATCAGCATGCGTCGGAAGGAACAACCAGCAGTACATTATGGTTGCAAAAATTCAGCGGGATGTTGATGTCAATACTTCTGCCGCCAACGGCATGAGCCACATGGGTCCTGGAACTGAATACTTTGTGACTCTTTTGAATTCCTTTGTGGAGAAATACTGGGAGGCCAGGTTGGAAGGAAAACAAAGGAAGCTATGCGAGAAGATTGTCAATACGATCCAGGGACGCGGCGGAGCATTCTATAAGAAAGCAAAGGGAGGATACACAAGACTGGATTTCGAATCAGCGCTAAAAGCAACCGACGAATCTCTCAATGAAATATTGATAGTGAAGGGGAAGAGCAAGAAAAGAGGGAAGGACGACGACATTATTTTCACCGCAACCGAGCGTGTGCCCAAGAAACATGTCGTGTACGGCACCAACAAATGGGAAAATTCACTATTCACACCATCACATTTGAGTCGTTATTCTGATCCCAATACCAGTCCAAAAGAACGAGGTACTATCATTCAAAGTATCTTCGAGGTACTTACGAATAAGTTTGAAAAAGTTCTCGATCCATTGTCCAGCAATCGGCTCTATGTCGTCTCTCCATGCAAGTGGAAAGAAATGATTATGGGTATGTTGGAAGATTACAAGGCCGAAAAGGAGAAGTATCCAAATCTTGTCATTGTCGACGCGATTCAAGACGATGATTTCCGGCCGTGGAAGATCGACGACTCCACAAAGGGAAGCGCAATTGTGATCTCTCAAGTAGCGAAGTACAATGACCCCAGAGCTAGTCAAACTGACAAAACGAACCTGTTGCTTAATGTTTCACGACGAATTGAAGCAGGTGGTGGAAAGATCTTTGAACCTCTGCTTAGATTCAACCAGTACCGAGAAATCGATCCCAGATTCGCAGTTGGAACACTGCAGCGATTTGTGGAAAGGCACACAGCTTTCAAGATGCGCATGTTACGCTCTGAGAAGTACGAGAACAACCTTTTCCGAGCCGAAGCGATTGGAGCGAAGGATGTCTTGTACGGCTCCGTTTTGTGAGAAAATCAATTCAGACAACCAGTAGTGAAACAGTACTCTGATCCGAATACGAAACAAAAACAACGAGATGACATCGTGGAGAGAGTACTTCGACATGTATTGCATAAGTTTGATAATGTTTTGGACTACATCCCTTCAAAACCTGAAGGCTGCCTTCTCGTCCTAATTGAAGAAGGGGTACGGAAGAGAATCAAAAGTACTTTTGACTTGATGCAGATTGCCACTCGAACTGTCGCTTCTGGATCACTATCAATTGAAGAGATGGATGCAGAGAAAGAAAATGACCAACTGAACGGTCATCAAGGCCTTCAAAGCAAGTCCAATATTCTCCAACCTAGAAGCACCGTGACTCGAGTCCTTGTAAAAAGTCGAGACGAGAACAACTAGTAGTTCCGGTCTGGCTGGGTGTTGCTTCGGCTTATGTCAAGAACGACAGCAAATGATTAGTAGCAAGATGGGAGTGTTGCTGTCGAATATTCTACCACCTTGACACACCCGAGTCTTTCATATCGAGAAAGAGGAGTCCTCGTGCTACACAGACACAAAGTCGAGAAGAAAAGAAATGGGCTGTCACTTCTTGTGTTTCAGCCCCAAATAGTAGTGTTTGTGCCTCACTTGGAGATACATAAATACCACTTTGGATGGTACCATAGCCCTAGAGCAGTAGATATCAAATGTGTCTGACTATAGACCACTTGCATTCATGATTCATTCATCGTTCATATCATACCGTATATACTCAGTGGTAGTGACACTTTCAGTCGGGCCTTTATCAGTACGTTTGTTATTGTGTCATCTCACTCCATCTTCCGACTATCTAAAACAAGCTTATTTTCCCGTATACAAGCCTTATTATTGTTAACAATCCTACAGAACTAAATGTCTAATTATTTGTGCGTGCTGACGAGCAAGCGGTAGATCCATACTGTATGTGTTTGTTTTTGTTTCCTCGAAGGGCACGGTTGTTCTGGTTGTTGGCGACATATACTTGCTGTCAACAAGCTCTCGAGAACCATGGGGGTAAAGGTCGTCGCTCATGTCACCACGTTGGGACTTCATATCGGCACACCTCTTGTCGAAGAAAGAGGCAGAGATCATGTGGCACCTTCGGTCGACTTGCCAAGTGATGGGGGAGTAAGCGGAGCAGATTTCGTTGTCACGGGTGGTTCCAGTGGTGGATCCTGTGTACTTGGTGATTTGCTTTCCCATTTCTCCATCGACAATCATTCCACGCATAAGGTCGAGGTAGAAATAATCTTCGTCGTTGACAATGACAATGGTGACGACTTGGCCTATATCTACCGATTCATTCCTTCATTTCATTTCATTTCATTTCATTTCATGTCATTCACAATAAAAAGCAACACTTCGGCACCTGTGAAGCATCACACCATTGTTCGTTCGCTGACCAAGTAAGGTTTCCTAGAAGACGACCTACTATACCACACGTATACATATCATTGGATGAGGCGCAACCAGCGAACTTTTCTTCCAAAAAAAGAATCCATGTCAATTTGTTTGCTTCCCCCTTCTGAAGTTCATTCTGCAGCTGTTATTATAGTCGCGACCTTGACGATGTTTTGTATCAGATTGGTCATCTTTCCATATTGTGGTGGAGTGGTGGCGTAGTAGTGTAATCAGGAGTGTGTTCGAACCGCAGTGCGGCATATTGTCGGCTTGCTTGATGTGCATTTTCAGCATCCTGTCATCACGTTGCGTGCTCATTTAATTTCAACGGATGAGACGTTGTCGACTATCGATCTCCTCAACACGCTGATGGTTCATGCATTCAATTCAGATCAGACCTCAACCTGAAACATTATCAATCGTGTCAAGTTTGTGAGTGCCCGTTTCTTTGTTGACTTTACTCCACACCATCGCCAAATTGAGTTTCCAAAAAAGGTTTCCATTTGTCTGTCATTTTCAGAAACGGTACTGGTAAAGCTTCTACACAGCTCTACGCAGCGAAGAAGAAAATAAACACGGTGTTGGATGGAGAGGGAGCTACAGCTACAGTACTGTTAGGAGAAAAGTCACTTTTTCCACTGAAGGAAGCAATGACACCAATACGTTTACGCAATCAATTGATGGGCATACACTCCATGTGTATGCATTACTGTATGTCATCATCATCATTTGACCGAAGCATAAAGTCAGAAGTCTGTGTCACATCGAACGGGATGCCATTTTCATTTGCTTCATTTGCTTCATTTGCTTCATTTGCATTTGCATTTGCATTTGGTCATCGATATCGAGTTTGGTTTGTTGACGACTTTGAAACATATAAAAGGCCCCATTCCTAGCCTTCCATGCACTAAAATAGGAAAGTTTTGTTCGGTGAGCTCCCGTCTGTGTATCACGGGGATCAATATACGACGAAACGAGGTTTGGTACCACACTACGGCGGACGCTCTCACATTCACGTCTGAGAGGGTGCGGACGGCACGTGCCAGATAACGAGCAGGGATTGCAGGGCTTTTCCATTCACGCGGCTGCTCAGGAGACGATCCTAACCATCGCGTACTCTGTCGGGAGTTAAAATACAGACTAGGTGAACATGCGGCTAGAGTCGGCCAGTTCTCTGAATTACCGGACTTACTTTTGATATAAGATTATTTTTAACAGTGGAAGATCTACTCAACGATCTCAGCTTTGGACTCGGCGATCCAAGGTGTAGAGGTAGCCAAGAAACCGAAGCAGCGCCCATGACGAGACGCACTCCTGTCCGCAGAAGTGCCCTCAGTGTTCTTTTGGACGATGCTTCGAGTTTTATTCATGCGAGCGGCAGCAATGATGATTATGGTTCTGGTACGGAAACAGAGTCTGGTCAACGGCGTAGCTTGCGAGTAGCCCAACGGGCACAACCATCAATGGGATCTGGATGGAATGAATCTGGTAGACGCTACAGTCTTCGAGTCGCCAGAAAAGAAGAACCAGAACAACAACGGTTTTTGTCCAGTGGTGTTGTCGGAGTGGTTTCTTCGTCGTGGTCGTTGCGAAACGAAGGCGCACTTCATCTACGGCGAGAAAGGACAGCATCAGAGGAGGAGGTCTCTGATAGCAATTCTATCGACATTGGCACTGACATTGACATTGACACTGATTGGAGCCCCTCCAGTGATCTTGAAAGTCGTCGCATGTCAAATGTACCATTATCTTTGGAACTTTACAGGGCTCGGGCCATTTACTTGGCCAAGCGTGAGCGTCGTCGCCAAGTGGTCGGGCAGTTGCTAGTCCAATGGAAGCATCGTGAGTGTCTTGAACAACACAGATTGAAGCAATCCATGGTGCTGAAACAAGTCAAGGACCAATGGAGTCAACGCGAATGTCGTGAGCAGCCCAAGTTGGAGCAATCGAAGGAATTGGAACCAGTGGAGAGTCAATGGAGTCAACGTGAGTGTTGTGAGCAACACGGATTGATGCAATCCAAGGTACTGGAACAAGTGAAGAATGGCTTCAATGGGATCGAGCTTAGTCGAAAGAAGATCGACGACTGGCTCCAGCGCCCCATGGGTAGAAAGCAGTTCAGACAACTGACGAAGGCGATCAAGATGTACACTGGGAAAGATTATGCAATCATCAATTCCTTTCTTCGAAGTGGAAGGATCCAACCCGGGAAGGAGAAATACATTGGCATCACTCAGCAAGCCAGAAGGGCGTTGAACGTTGGCCTTCGCTGGGAGAAGCATTTGAAGGTTTTTGACAGCGACAAGACATTGTACCGGGGATCGGGAAGCATCCCAATGAAGCTGGAAGTCGGAGGTACTTTGTGCGACAAGGGTTTCTTTAGCACGAGCCAATCGGAGCTCAAGGCTTCGGCCTTTTTGAACACGATTGATCGTTCCCAAACAAGAATCCTTTTTGCTATCAGCAGACATTGCAGTGGCGTGGACGTCTCGGAGTTTTCAAAGAACAAACATGAAGCTGAGGTTTTGTTTGCTCCGGACACTATGTTTCGCGTGATTGCGGTTGACAAGGAGAGAATGGTGGACGGAGTTGAGGGCACTGTGACAGTTGTGGAGATCCAAGAGATGGAGCAATCCAAGGTAGTGGAAAAGGTCCAGAGCCAACATGAGTGTCGTGAGCAACACAGATTGAAGCAATCCAAGGTGCTGGGACAAATCAAGGACCAATGGGAGCAACGTGAGAGTCTCGAACAGCACAGATTGAAGCAATCCATGGTGTTGGATCAAATCAAAGACCAATGGAAGCAAAGCGAATGTCGTGAGCAGCCCAAGTTGGAGCAATCGAAGGAATTGGAACCAGTGGAGAGTCAATGGAGTCAACGTGAGTGTTGTGAGCAACACGGATTGATGCAATCCAAGGTACTGGAACAAGTGAAGAATGGCTTCAATGGGATCGAGCTTAGTCGAAAGAAGATCGACGACTGGCTCCAGCGCCCCATGGGTAGAAAGCAGTTCAGACAACTGACGAAGGCGATCAAGATGTACACTGGGAAAGATTATGCAATCATCAATTCCTTTCTTCGAAGTGGAAGGATCCAACCCGGGAAGGAGAAATACATTGGCATCACTCAGCAAGCCAGAAGGGCGTTGAACGTTGGCCTTCGCTGGGAGAAGCATTTGAAGGTTTTTGACAGCGACAAGACATTGTACCGGGGATCGGGAAGCATCCCAATGAAGCTGGAAGTCGGAGGTACTTTGTGCGACAAGGGTTTCTTTAGCACGAGCCAATCGGAGCTCAAGGCTTCGGCCTTTTTGAACACGATTGATCGTTCCCAAACAAGAATCCTTTTTGCTATCAGCAGACATTGCAGTGGCGTGGACGTCTCGGAGTTTTCAAAGAACAAACATGAAGCTGAGGTTTTGTTTGCTCCGGACACTATGTTTCGCGTGATTGCGGTTGACAAGGAGAGAATGGTGGACGGAGTTGAGGGCACTGTGACAGTTGTGGAGATCCAAGAGATGGAGCAATCCAAGGTAGTGGAAAAGGTCCAGAGCCAACATGAGTGTCGTGAGCAACACAGATTGAAGCAATCCAAGGTGCTGGGACAAATCAAGGACCAATGGGAGCAACGTGAGTGTCTTGAACAACACAGATTGAAGCAATCCATGGTGCTGAAACAAGTCAAGGACCAATGGAGTCAACGCGAATGTCGTGAGCAGCCCAAGTTGGAGCAATCGAAGGAATTGGAACCAGTGGAGAGTCAATGGAGTCAACGTGAGTGTTGTGAGCAACACGGATTGATGCAATCCAAGGTACTGGAACAAGTGAAGAATGGCTTCAATGGGATCGAGCTTAGTCGAAAGAAGATCGACGACTGGCTCCAGCGCCCCATGGGTAGAAAGCAGTTCAGACAACTGACGAAGGCGATCAAGATGTACACTGGGAAAGATTATGCAATCATCAATTCCTTTCTTCGAAGTGGAAGGATCCAACCCGGGAAGGAGAAATACATTGGCATCACTCAGCAAGCCAGAAGGGCGTTGAACGTTGGCCTTCGCTGGGAGAAGCATTTGAAGGTTTTTGACAGCGACAAGACATTGTACCGGGGATCGGGAAGCATCCCAATGAAGCTGGAAGTCGGAGGTACTTTGTGCGACAAGGGTTTCTTTAGCACGAGCCAATCGGAGCTCAAGGCTTCGGCCTTTTTGAACACGATTGATCGTTCCCAAACAAGAATCCTTTTTGCTATCAGCAGACATTGCAGTGGCGTGGACGTCTCGGAGTTTTCAAAGAACAAACATGAAGCTGAGGTTTTGTTTGCTCCGGACACTATGTTTCGCGTGATTGCGGTTGACAAGGAGAGAATGGTGGACGGAGTTGAGGGCACTGTGACAGTTGTGGAGATCCAAGAGATGGAGCAATCCAAGGTAGTGGAAAAGGTCCAGAGCCAACATGAGTGTCGTGAGCAACACAGATTGAAGCAATCCAAGGTGCTGGGACAAATCAAGGACCAATGGGAGCAACGTGAGAGTCTCGAACAGCACAGATTGAAGCAATCCATGGTGTTGGATCAAATCAAAGACCAATGGAAGCAAAGCGAATGTCGTGAGCAGCCCAAGTTGGAGCAATCGAAGGAATTGGAACCAGTGGAGAGCCAATGGAGTCAACGTGAGAGTTGTGAGCAACACGGATTGATGCAATCCAAGGTACTGGAACAAGTGAAGAATGGCTTCAATGGGATCGAGCTTAGTCGAAAGAAGATCGACGACTGGCTCCAGCGACCCATGGGTAGAAAGCAGTTCAGACAACTGACGAAGGCGATCAAGATGTACACTGGGAAAGATTATGCAATCATCAATTCCTTTCTTCGAAGTGGAAGGATCCAACCCGGGAAGGAGAAATACATTGGCATCACTCAGCAAGCCAGAAGGGCGTTGAACGTTGGCCTTCGCTGGGAGAAGCATTTGAAGGTTTTTGACAGCGACAAGACATTGTACCGGGGATCGGGAAGCATCCCAATGAAGCTGGAAGTCGGAGGTACTTTGTGCGACAAGGGTTTCTTTAGCACGAGCCAATCGGAGCTCAAGGCTTCGGCCTTTTTGAACACGATTGATCGTTCCCAAACAAGAATCCTTTTTGCTATCAGCAGACATTGCAGTGGCGTGGACGTCTCGGAGTTTTCAAAGAACAAACATGAAGCTGAGGTTTTGTTTGCTCCGGACACTATGTTTCGCGTGATTGCGGTTGACAAGGAGAGAATGGTGGACGGAATTGAGGGCACTGTGACAGTTGTGGAGATCCAAGAGATGGAGCAATCCAAGGTAGTGGAAAAGGTCCAGAGCCAACATGAGTGTCGTGAGCAACACAGATTGAAGCAATCCAAGGTGCTGGGACAAATCAAGGACCAATGGGAGCAACGTGAGTGTCTTGAACAACACAGATTGAAGCAATCCATGGTGCTGAAACAAGTCAAGGACCAATGGAGTCAACGCGAATGTCGTGAGCAGCCCAAGTTGGAGCAATCGAAGGAATTGGAACCAGTGGAGAGCCCATGGAGTCAACGTGAGTGTTGTGAGCAACACAGATTGATGCAATCCAAGGTACTGGAACAAGTGAAGAATGGCTTCAATGGGATCGAGCTTAGTCGAAAGAAGATCGACGACTGGCTCCAGCGACCCATGGGTAGAAAGCAGTTCAGACAACTGACGAAGGCGATCAAGATGTACACTGGGAAAGATTATGCAATCATCAATTCCTTTCTTCGAAGTGGAAGGATCCAACCCGGGAAGGAGAAATACATTGGCATCACTCAGCAAGCCAGAAGGGCGTTGAACGTTGGCCTTCGCTGGGAGAAGCATTTGAAGGTTTTTGACAGCGACAAGACATTGTACCGGGGATCGGGAAGCATCCCAATGAAGCTGGAAGTCGGAGGTACTTTGTGCGACAAGGGTTTCTTTAGCACGAGCCAATCGGAGCTCAAGGCTTCGGCCTTTTTGAACACGATTGATCGTTCCCAAACAAGAATCCTTTTTGCTATCAGCAGACATTGCAGTGGCGTGGACGTCTCGGAGTTTTCAAAGAACAAACATGAAGCTGAGGTTTTGTTTGCTCCGGACACTATGTTTCGCGTGATTGCGGTTGACAAGGAGAGAATGGTGGACGGAATTGAGGGCACTGTGACAGTTGTGGAGATCCAAGAGATAGTCTAGGCAGAAGGTATGGAGCAACAACCAACCATTGGCTGACTTGAGTGTGGAACTAAGGAGGAATGGGAGAATAGTTGGAGTTGGGAGATGATAAATTGATGAATGAATCGTTGGGAGTGGAGAGTTGGTGAATTCATTTGAAGACAGTTGAAAGATCGGACTTACCATTTTGTTGTTTTTGGGATTATGATTGATTGCAGGGGAAGCCTGACTGTACAGAACATTAGTATCTGTGGTCCATCAGCGATATCCGTGAGTCATGTGTACAGCTGTCGTTGCCATTGGCAACTTCGGCGGTTTCTGCAGTTTCGCGTATGATGGCACTGCTGGACTGAACGTCCAACAAAGGTTGCTTTTGTGTTTGTTCCTTCATTTCTATCCCCGAGAAAGTTTGTGGAACTACGAAGGAATGGGAGAATGGTTTGAATTGAGAGATGATAAATTGATGAATGAATCGTTGGAGTGGAGAGATGGTGAATACATTGGAGACAGTTGAAAGATGGGAGGTACTATTTTATTGCTTTTGGGGTTATGATTGATTGCAGGGGAAGCCTTACTGTACAGAACATTAGCATCAGTGGTCCATCAGCGATATCCGTGAGTCATGTGAACAGCTGTCGTTGCCAATGGCAACTTCGGTGGTTTCTGCAGTTTCGCGTATGATGGCACCACTGGACTATTAGTCGCACCACTCAGTGGTGGTTTCCTTTGCTTTTTTCCTTCATTTCTATCCCGCAGAAAGTTTGAATAGTTGGAGAGGAGTGCTGCACTTCATATTCTTTTCTTCCTTCATTAGTTAATTGTAGTGTAGGTGTTGATCGATACCATAGTAACGACTTTATCATGCTGCTAGATCAATTTCAATCGAGGCAGTCGAGTTCTAGCTCTCGTTAGTAGTAGCTAAATACTATAGTTTCAAGTTGAGGTTTATTCCGTTACGTTACACCGCAGTTGGTTTTAAAAATAAAAAAAGGGCAAACCGCAAACCCGTCAAAGATTTATTGAAATCAAGCTGAAAGCACGTCAACTAGGAACGTAGAATGATGGAGAACGAAGGAGCAGGACAACGAAGCGTATCCCGTATTCGAAATCCAGCAGGAAAGAAGAGCTGTAAATGTGTTGTTACCAAGAAGACTAGAGGAAAGAACGGCAACAACAAAAATGTTGCTGGAAAGCCATCAGCATGCGTCGGAAGGAACAACCAGCAGTACATTATGGTTGCAAAAATTCAGCGGGATGTTGATGTCAATACTTCTGCCGCCAACGGCATGAGCCACATGGGTCCTGGAACTGAATACTTTGTGACTCTTTTGAATTCCTTTGTGGAGAAATACTGGGAGGCCAGGTTGGAAGGAAAACAAAGGAAGCTATGCGAGAAGATTGTCAATACGATCCAGGGACGCGGCGGAGCATTCTATAAGAAAGCAAAGGGAGGATACACAAGACTGGATTTCGAATCAGCGCTAAAAGCAACCGACGAATCTCTCAATGAAATATTGATAGTGAAGGGGAAGAGCAAGAAAAGAGGGAAGGACGACGACATTATTTTCACCGCAACCGAGCGTGTGCCCAAGAAACATGTCGTGTACGGCACCAACAAATGGGAAAATTCACTATTCACACCATCACATTTGAGTCGTTATTCTGATCCCAATACCAGTCCAAAAGAACGAGGTACTATCATTCAAAGTATCTTCGAGGTACTTACGAATAAGTTTGAAAAAGTTCTCGATCCATTGTCCAGCAATCGGCTCTATGTCGTCTCTCCATGCAAGTGGAAAGAAATGATTATGGGTATGTTGGAAGATTACAAGGCCGAAAAGGAGAAGTATCCAAATCTTGTCATTGTCGACGCGATTCAAGACGATGATTTCCGGCCGTGGAAGATCGACGACTCCACAAAGGGAAGCGCAATTGTGATCTCTCAAGTAGCGAAGTACAATGACCCCAGAGCTAGTCAAACTGACAAAACGAACCTGTTGCTTAATGTTTCACGACGAATTGAAGCAGGTGGTGGAAAGATCTTTGAACCTCTGCTTAGATTCAACCAGTACCGAGAAATCGATCCCAGATTCGCAGTTGGAACACTGCAGCGATTTGTGGAAAGGCACACAGCTTTCAAGATGCGCATGTTACGCTCTGAGAAGTACGAGAACAACCTTTTCCGAGCCGAAGCGATTGGAGCGAAGGATGTCTTGTACGGCTCCGTTTTGTGAGAAAATCAATTCAGACAACCAGTAGTGAAACAGTACTCTGATCCGAATACGAAACAAAAACAACGAGATGACATCGTGGAGAGAGTACTTCGACATGTATTGCATAAGTTTGATAATGTTTTGGACTACATCCCTTCAAAACCTGAAGGCTGCCTTCTCGTCCTAATTGAAGAAGGGGTACGGAAGAGAATCAAAAGTACTTTTGACTTGATGCAGATTGCCACTCGAACTGTCGCTTCTGGATCACTATCAATTGAAGAGATGGATGCAGAGAAAGAAAATGACCAACTGAACGGTCATCAAGGCCTTCAAAGCAAGTCCAATATTCTCCAACCTAGAAGCACCGTGACTCGAGTCCTTGTAAAAAGTCGAGACGAGAACAACTAGTAGTTCCGGTCTGGCTGGGTGTTGCTTCGGCTTATGTCAAGAACGACAGCAAATGATTAGTAGCAAGATGGGAGTGTTGCTGTCGAATATTCTACCACCTTGACACACCCGAGTCTTTCATATCGAGAAAGAGGAGTCCTCGTGCTACACAGACACAAAGTCGAGAAGAAAAGAAATGGGCTGTCACTTCTTGTGTTTCAGCCCCAAATAGTAGTGTTTGTGCCTCACTTGGAGATACATAAATACCACTTCGGATGGTACCATAGCCCTAGAGCAGTAGATATCAAATGTGTCTGACTATAGACCACTTGCATTCATGATTCATTCATCGTTCGTACTCAGTGGTACAGTGATCAGCAGTGATGATCTCACGGTTTTATCAACTTTCAGTCGGGCCTTTATCAGTACGATTGTGAATCACATAGTCTGATTGATTGATTGATTGATTGATCCATTCAGATGGATTCTGAATGCACGCACGAGTATTGGTATAGTGCCTTTGACGCACATGCTTCCTTTGCTCTGTCATCTAAGCAAGCTAATTAGATACAAGCCATATTATTGTTAATAATCCTACAGAACTAAATGTCTAATTTTGGTGCGTGATGAGCCAGCGGTGGCTCTCATGTATGCGTGTGTTTGTTTTTAGTTTCCTCGAAGGGCACGGTTGTTTTGGTTGTTGGCGACATACTTGCTGTCGACAAGCTCTCGAGAACCATGGGGGTAAAGGTCGTCGCTCATGTCATCACGTTGGGACTTCATATCGGCGCACATCTTGTCGAAGGAAGAGGCAGAGATCATGTGGCACTTTCGGTCGACTTGCCAAGTGATGGGGGAGTAAGCGGAGCAGATTTCGTTGTCACGGGTGGTTCCAGTGGTGGATCCTGTGTACTTGGTGATTTGCTTTCCCATTTCTCCATCGACAATCATTCCACGCATGAGGTCGGGGTAGAAATAGTCTTCGTCGTTGACAATGGTGAAGACTTGGCCTTGGACACCAACTTGTTGAGGAAGACGGGAAAGATCGCCAAGAATTCCAACTCGGCAAAGGACACCATCATAGAAAGGGGTTTGGTATTGGTTGATGGTTCCACAGGCACCTGCAGCAGAGTGGGGCCAGTGCACTTCATAAGTCTCACCAACTTCCATCCCGACACAGTGCTGCCAGTCGTATTCCTTGGTGAACTTTTTGTCGTTCTCATCGTAGTGGCGGCAACGGAATCCACCACGGACCTCTTCATTTCCGGCAAGCTTTCGGCGCAAGTCTCCTGGCTTGGTATTTGGACCAGCACCCATTTCGTCGAATTCACCGACGGAAAGGTGCTCCGCGCCCAAGTGCCAGTGGACATTGACGGGGCACATGTCGTTTTGGAAGTAGGGAGTCTTGATTGGTTCGTGCCCGACGACCATTTCACCCTTGAATCCCATGGTGACGTTTCCTCCAGCTTGTGGCAGGACCTTCTCCAGAGCGTCAATCAAACAGTCAACATTATCGATTTGAATCTTCTTTCCTTCGCACTCGTTGGGACCGGCAACAGGAGGTCTAGCGAAGAGTTGGACTTCATCCTTGGTTGTGGTACCAACTGTGGCTGTGCTGCTGCCAGAAGTAGACCCACTTCCAGCGTTGATGATAATGGTAGCTCCCTCGGACGAAGTGCCGGCACTGGCAGGTTGGGCCTTGTTGGAAATCTGAACACTCATAGCAGCCATTGCGATGATGGAAGAAACCGTGACAACGCCACAGAAGGCAAGGATTCCGGCAACAAGCTTCTTATTGGAGCCCTCTTCCTTGTAAGTGTCTGTCGTTGTGGCAATGCCAGCCGAATTCACAAGAAGAAGAAGAAGTTTGTCAGAAGGAAATTCTCAGAGAATAACAATCAATGCACAAATGCGGTGTCGAATCAATCAATCTCAAAATGCTTACCACCGAGAATTTCTTCGTCTCCAGGTTTGCACATCTTGATGATTGGTGTATGATATCAGGTACTTTTGAAATAAATGAAAGAATAGGCGGTGTGAAAGTTGTGGTGGATAGTTTCAATTTGGTTTTTCTTCAGTGTCAAAATGCTGTCGACGTGGCCAACAAAGTGAGCGAAAATTAAAAGACCCGCAGCAACACAACTCTCAATGACCGCTAATTCGCCGATGAGGCGAGAGTGAGTGTCACGCGACCATTTCAATGACACCACGTTTGAAGAAAACTCCGATTCGACTGACTCAAAAATCGAGAGGCCCAAAGAGCCAAAATCAGAACACCACAACAACAAACCAAACAATTCTGTGAATATAAGCTTGCAGCTTCAAACCGAATGCGAAGCCATCATGGATTCTCAAAGCATCGTTCAGTCTCAAACATAAGCAATAATCATCATGATAATCGATTCAGCCCTACAAGGTCATAACGACGTCGTGTATGATGCGATACAGGCAGAATACAAAGACATGGCCAACTGGTATGACACCTTTTGGCATAGCTATACCTCTCGTGAGTCTATCTATTAGAAAAGAGTTCAGTTCTTGCCATTGAATCGTGTTGGATTAAGGAGACCGTCTCTCATTACAACAATTGCCGTCGTATCCAACATACAGAAACTCTCATTGAGCCAATACATCAGGTGATGGAACTCGGAGTCGGCAAGAATTCCAATGTTGTCGTTGATATCGCTTGTGGTACGGGAGAATTTTTTAGGCGATTGCGAAATTTGGACGACACCAACGGGTCTATTTCAGAGAAACCCTTCAATCGAAAGAAGAAGGCCCCTTGGATTGGGATAGAACCATGTCCGGAAATGCTGAAAAGGGCCAAGGAGAAGTTCCCCAAAAACGATCATGCAATTGCAATTGTATTGCACCAAGCACCAGCCGAATACCTGCCCATCAAAGACCATTCTGCCGACATTGTCGTCACAACGAATGCCTTTCATTTCTTTCGAGACAAACAACGGGCCTTGCATGAAATGAGACGCATCCTCAAAGGGGGTGGAACACTCATCATTACGGATTGGTGCAATGATTTTTGGATCGTCAAACTCTACCATTGGTTGGAACGATTGCGCTGGAATTGGAGATTTGAACAAAAATATCCAGGGCCATTGAAAAAATCGGAATTGTCGGAACTAGTAAATTCGGAAGGCTTTCAAGATGTGGAGGTCTCGTCCTATCGCGTCAGGGTCTTTGGAATATTTTTCTGGGGAATGCAAACGCTCAAGGCTCACCCTATCAGTGGGTCGATTTGACCCAGTTGGAGCCACCGATTGAAAGGTACCACTGACATTGGAAAAAAACCATTGAAGCTCTTTCCAAAGAGCACATTGCTCTGAATCATCATTGGGCTGCTTTCGATCAGCAATAGCTAGGTACAGACAAGGGGTCTTGCCTTTAACCAACACTTAAATATAAACCAATAGAGACGAGAAAAACGAACATGGTCACCATCAATATCGCGCACACCACCAATAATTCTGTCCTTCAGACGAACAAGATCAATAGGCTGCTGGACAGACAACAAGTATAGCCAGGAGGAGGAGTACTAGACGAGTCCGAAGAGATCAAGAAAACAAATGCAAGCATTATCGGCAAGCCGCCATAATACTGCTAACAATCTGAAAGACGTGCCAGTACTGTGTAGCGGAAGTAATAATACATTTTATTGATGTGCATATCTCTGCTTTTATATTGTGATTGGCAGGACGCTAAGTCACGAATAGCTTAATCACGAGGTGGAGGACCAACTATCTACCATGCTGTAGCCAAATCGCAACAACACAGTAAGATAACGAGCGGGTGCAAGATGAGATTGAAGATGCGCATGGTTGACATCAGATCATCATAATTGATAATGTTCCATCCTCCCAGCACTTTACTTTAGAATCAATCAACATCAGCATTACCATTACCACGTACCAGTTCAGCAGGACAATCTAGAATGATTCGAAGGGGTCAAACGCGGAGACTCCGCGAACACCGCTCGTGATTTTTGCCCCACACATCGCATCGTCTCCAACCGCACGGGCTGAACGTTTTGTTTTCACACACCTCACAACTTACATTATGAAATTCTTTACACCAACCAATACACCAACTACATCAAACATCACCATGACCAACACTATTATCAACTACATCAACTACATCACTACCATAATCGTCAATCAAGAATACATCATTCAAGCAGGCATCAGCTTCTTTCGATTGCCTGTTCGGATGCCTTTGCTCGTCACTCCAACCGTTCGAGAAACCATCGCAGCCGGTTTGGTTTGTGCAACGGCGCTATTCTTGCTTTGGAACATGGCGCTCGACCTATACCGAAGCTATCGAGGACTTTGCAAGCAACGGAGCTGCAACCAACAACAGCCTCCTGTTTCCATTCTTCGTCGTCCAGGAGGGTCGTCATGTCATCGCAAGAAAAACCGAAGTTGGTTTGGTGTGTTCACCAGAAAACCAAACCGTGTCCGTTTCGCCAAAATCTTTCGTCGAACCTTTTTCCCAAACAAGCAAGAGCTACAATCTCGCAGGGAATGCTGGGGTCTGATTCAATGGCGCATTCAACTTCACGACAAAGTAATTCCAGAGATAGAGAACACAGTGAGATTTGTTCCACATACTCCTGTGTCCATTCTTCGTCCTTCAAGAAAAGATTGGGGATCACCCAAACCAACCTCTTCAAATGGAGTCCAATTTGCCCTTAAGACTCGAAGGAGAAACTTCATTCCCGACGAGGAAGATCTTGAGTCCCGAAGGCAGCTAATTCATCAAATTGACCGCAAGGTCAAGAGACGGAATGCCCAACGCTGGAAGATCGATTTCAAACCTACCGTGCTTGCCACCATTATTGAAGATCCAGCAGAAGAAGATTTGAGTGACACTAATTCGTCTTTGAATACTGGATTTATTGATGGCAATGTCGACTCTGAAACCATTGCAATTGCGCTCGAGAACCATCGACAACTGCTTCGAACCGTCCTTGATGACATGCTCTCCAATATTCCCGTACCAATGGATTTGGATGATGACGGCAACGTCGAGCCCAGTGACATGCAAGACGAAGCACCACGATTGTCACTCAAGAGAACTGCAACTTGCTCCCTTGTTTCCTCCCGGCCCACCAAGCGTCGCAAATTGAATTCATCTACGGTTCCAACTTCTGCTACAGAATGGGCCGAACGAATCAATGAACGATTCACTCCTTTGCTACCTGTCATTATTGAAGATCCAGAAGAAGAAGACATCATCATGCGTACTTTTGACTTGTCTTTGGATGCTGGATTGATTGATGACAACAGCGACTCTGACGTATCAAGCTTCGCCAAAGGAGACGACGAGGGTTTCTTCCCCATGCACGACAAGGAAGAGGATTGGGACAGTCTGGAACATGTAGACTGGAACAGTATCCAACACGCTCCACCTACATCTACACCAACTACACCACCTGTTTCCATTCTTCGTCCTGCAAGAAAAGATTGGGGATCACCTAGAACCACCAATCGTGTCAGTTTCACCCTGACCAATCAGAGAAGAAACTTTATGCCAGACCAGGAAGATATTCAATCCAGAAAGAATCGAATTCGAGACATTTACAGTCAGATTCAATATCATGAACTGTGCAAGTGCTTTGAAGAACGAGTGCTTCCTCAGCTGTGGAGTACTGTGATGGCCAAGAGGAAGGCCAAGAGAAAGGCCAAGAAAAAGACAACGAAGATTGCTTTCAAACCTACCCTTCCTGTCATTACTGAAGATCCAGAAGAAGAAGAAGAAGACAATAACCACTTTGACTCATCTTTGGATGCTGGATTGATCAAAGACATTGATTTGGAAGGCCCAAGCTTCGCACTTGCGCTCGAGAATCACCGCCAAATGCTTCGCACAACCGTCCTTCATGATATGCTCTCCAATATTCCCATACCAATGGATTTGGATGATGACGGGGACGACGAACCCAATGACATGCAAGACAAAGCACCACAATTGTCACTAAAGAGAACCGCAGCTTACTGCCTTGTTGCATCCAGGCCCACCAAGCGTCGCAAATTGAATTCATCTACGGTTCCAACTTCTGCTACAGAATGGGCCGAACGAATCAATGAACGGTTCACTCCTTTGCTACCTGTCATTATTGAAGATCCAGAAGAAGAACAACAAGACAACTTTAACGATATTGAATTGTCTTTGGATGCTGGATTGATTGATGACGGCATTGATTCTGTCGAGGATCCTTTGGAGGATACTGTCATCGATGACGACATTCCGGCACCACCGCCCGAGGAATCTGACATCGCAGCTACTATTGATATTCCTCCTGATGGGATGGGATCGGGATGGACCGAGTCTGGAAAGCGCTACAGCCTTCGACGGGCCAAGCTTCTCATTCCAAATGCGGAGGATCCTTTCACCGAAGCTTTGGGATCTGGCATGACGGAACAAGGAAGACGATACAGTCGCCGAGTGGCAAATCGACGAAACGGTGCCAATTAAAAAGTACATTCTTGGTACGACTTTGAAATAGATGAAGGATGATAATAGTGTGCGACAACACACGAACAACCCATCAAAGAGTTCAATAGGATTCACCCCATAATGACAACTTTTGTCATGACAACGACGACGACGTCACTTCATTTCTCCTGGTACGTTTTCTTGACCTTGACCGTTTCAATTGCATCTACTTTCTGAACCATGGTCTCACCACTTTTTGTTTTCTTCTTTGTTCAACTATGATAATACAATTGCACAGCAAATCTGCAAGTCTTGTTGTGTCGTCGCACATTTATAAGGGATCCTTCGGCTGGCTAGTGTTTTCCTTTGTGGTTTCTAGTGGATTGGTCACTCACTAGGATTGCATCGGCGACGCGAAACCAGACGATTTCATGGCTTGCTGAGTTTGGATGCTTCCCTCCAGTCTTTGTTGAATGGATGGGCAGGCCGAGGCCCGTAAGCGCGTCCATGATCGGCAAGAGCCCAGATAAGCGGTCCCTTCAACTTTTGAAAAAAAAAGAGTCTTGAACTCTACCACTCTGTTATTGGATTCGAAAGACAAAGCGGAAGTCTCCCATGGAATATCAGTATCATGTGATCCATCACCCTGCTCAAATATGGGGAGCAAGCGATATCGGTTAGACATGTGAACAGCTGTCATTGTCAATTATATGTATTGTATAATTGGCAATGCTCGGTGGTACATGCAGTTTCGCGATGGCACTGGAACTGAAGGGAGCAGCGGCGTCTTCAACCCATTCAGTATCCTTTACTATGACATTGCCAGATTGGCATGTCTGGTACTGGTATTGAAAAATAACAACCAACCAACTTTGCAACCAGATTTATATGAAAGGACGACGGCGTTCGAATTCTAGGATGGACGACAACCATGGACAACGGCGGAAGCTACTTTCAGGATCAGCTGGTTGATTCTACAATACCAACGCGACGAAAGGGAAAGGGATAGAAACTAATTTGAATATATGATTATATGAATGTATGCCTATTAATACTGTAATGACTAGTCCTATAGCACTTCGATGTAAAAATAATATACTACTGTCTGCGAAAAAATGAGCACTCTTACTGTAATAATGATTGATGAACACCTTATCTTCGTGTGTCCAAGACTGTTACACGAATATTGGATGGACGAGGGTAATTTGCGACCACGACGAGTATTGTGCATTTGGGGAGCCCAAAGATGAATTGAACTTGAAAAAAGATGGAGTCAAAAAGTTTGTTTGTTTTTCTGTCTACCGGTACTACTGTTTGTGATGGAATTCTTTTTTAAAAAAGGGTCCGAAGATGGAGGGAGGTGGTTAATAAACAGGGTCCGAAGAAAGAGGGGGTTGTTAAGTAGGGATCCAAAGATCAGGGAGGTTGCTAAGAAGGGATCCAAAGATGAGGGAGGTTGCTAAGTAGGGATCAAAATCAAAAGATGAAAGAGGTTGTTATTAAAATTAAAATAAACAGGGTGTCGGTAGAATGGCGGTCAGATCTGCTTTTTTATCGCTTACAATATATATAACAACGAACTCGACTCACTCGATCGACCACTATTCTATCAATAATATTTATATGGCGGGAAATCATCAATCAATAAAATAGCATCCACTTCTACTCTCAATTTTGAATGCACCACAGCAAGAATGTCACCACCTCGACCTATTACAGGAAGAATTGGTAGTCGGATTAAGGTTGTACTTCCAGATGATGGAAATTCCTGGTTGCTCGTATTGGATCATGATGATGGAAACCGAGAGTGGCAGTCTCAAGATTGGAGATCAATTCCTAATGGATTGTCCAAACAAATAAAAATTGCAAAGCGAAAGGGAGAAATGTCCAAGACGTTGATTTCGGTCCTGATGATACGTGGTATGTCCATGGAGCCAAACCCGATGGTCGTTGGTCTGGTGGTTTGGATCAAGCACATTCCAGCGTTGTATACTGTAAAAACTGTATGTATTTACTGTATCAGAAGAGAGCTGCATTATAATCGATGCTCTCTTCAAGCTTTTGTGAAGGAATTTTATAGAATGAACTTTTGTCACCACATATTAATATTATTATTTAGCGTCCACGCATGTCGGACTACTTCGACCAATTGATTTTTGTGACGTGCCACCAAGGTGCCACGTGAAGCAGATGAGCGCATTTCAGAATTGACATCACCGATACCAGTCAGCATCCCTGAACAGCATACCCAATCCAAGGGGACATTCTCAGAGCATCCTCTTGCAGTAGCTTGCGCAATGGGAAAACGCAAGCCTGTTCCAAAACGAAATGCAAATCCCACAGTGTCCGAAGTTGTGCCACCAGTGCCTCCGGAGAATACGGAAGAGGAAAAGCAAAGGAAACGACGACGACTGATCATTGATGATAACGAAGATACGGTCTTTGAAGATCCTAATGATGATTCAGGGCATAATGAAGAAGTCGTTGTGGTTGGTGTCTCTTCGGACAATGAGAATGGGAAGCATGATAATGCTGCTGATACTTCTGAAAATGATGATTCAAGCGACAGTTCCACCATTCGACTACCACAGCATGAAGTCTTGGCGCAAGCTCTGAATGAAATATTCTCCTCTCATGTTCAACGATCATCCAATTGTTATGAGCAAGCCAATCGTTCACTTCGCCTCATATCAGACAAGAATCATCTTGAGATTTGTTTGAAGTGTGTTGTCTTTGAGAAGGAGTATGAGGGAAACTCCTCAGCTGTACTTTCTGCAATTATGGAACATGGTATGCTTTGCGTCCATGTCAGTCATAATGAAGGAAAAGGTATAGAGATACCGCCTAGGCGGCACTGCATTTTCCAGAGACAATTCCAGCCTCCTGAAAAGCTCAACGAAAGAACGAAATCCTATAGTTTGCAAATCTCAATAACAGATGCCGCGTTTGAATTGGCGGCACCAGGGGAAGTCTCTACCTATCTCCTAGGAACAAATTCTATCCGAATGCGAACACACAAGAGCCTTCGTAGCACACTTGCGCTTCGAAAAGCCCTAGCACAAATCTTTCCGAAATCCTTGATTCATGCGGTCGACAACGATCCATCGGGCAAGAATATGGAACCGATCCGGGCAAGCTTTGTCTACCAGCTAATTGACAATTGCCGTTTTGAACAGAGATGTAAGGAAATGAAAGAGAAAGGCGACGATGCCCCGCCGCGAGTTGTGGATGGATTACAGCCAGAAATGCGGGAGTATCAGAGTTTTGCTGTCGAATGGATGCTACGTCGAGAACAACAGGAGGCGAACAAAGATGACGGGATATGGCAAGTATGCTGGCTTGTCCTTTGTCATGATGGTGTGACACCTTTGACTAGATTTCTGGAGACACAAGAGGATAGACAAGACCAGCAGTTTGACCCGTTGGTATTTTTGAATCCCTTCACTGGTGCCTTATGCCGTAGCTTACAAGAGGCACGGTTAGCTTCAGTTGGACCCAAATGCGCTGGAGTGCGAGGCGGCATTTTGGCGGAAAGTATGGGTAAGTCCAGTACTGCAGGTTTCCTGTCATATCAAATCATGCTCCTATTTACACTTCCCTCTCGCCTTCACAGGCCTAGGAAAAACAGTAGAGGTAAGTATCATGTCCAAAGCAAGAACCTTCTTGTTTTCGAAGATTTATTCATGCCGACAATTTTCGTAACTCCAATAGGTTCTGGCATGCATCTTGTCACACCCGAGACCAATGGATGATACCACGAATGTGTCATTAGAAACAATACTTGCCGAGGAACAGGGAATTAAGGGTGTGGCATTCCAACAGACACTATCGGAGCTTCAGGATCCCTTGAGCTATAAAAACGATGTATGTGTCGCGTGCTCGAATGACGCTTCGCGACCGTTTGGATGGGTTCATTGCTCAGAATGCAAAGGTCGTTTGCATGCATTATGTTCTGGATACAATTCACTTGACCAAATCCCACTGTCTCGTCAATGTTCACAGCATAGGTGTCCCAGCTGTAGCGCTAAATCTTGTTCAAAGGAGCCAATTAAGTCACGGGGCACACTAATCGTGACACCTCCTGCAATTTTGGAACAATGGGCACGAGAAATAAGGAGACATTCATCTAAAACATTGAAGATTGTCATCTACCGTGGAGTGAAGCAGCTATGCGACGGCAAGATTGATGTGGAAGAGCGCTTGCTGATTCATCCACATGTTCTGGCTGATGCAGATATTGTATTGACAACCTTCCCAGTCTTGAATTCCGAGTTACCACACAGTGACAATCAATTCTTGAATGGAGGCAAATCCTTTCGAGCCAAAAAGAGGTACAGGGTGGTTCCGTCGCCTCTGAATAGTATACAGTGGTGGCGGATTTGTCTGGACGAGGCACAACGAGTCGAAGGAACTGCTGCTGCTGCCGCAAAAATGGCGCTCAGACTACATGCCAAGCAACGATGGTGTGTGACGGGAACTCCCATTGGGCGTGGAAAGCTTGATGACTTGTATGGTTTACTTCTCTTTATTGGCATCATGCCCTTTCAGCTGAAAGACTCGTTTCGACATTGTCACCACAGCTTTCTTCCTGGACTGGAGGAACGGATAAAGCACATGTTGTATCCTATCTTTTGGCGAAGTACGAAATCCAATCCACACATTCGAGTGCAGCTTGGAATTCCGGAACAGATCGAAAGGAAAGTCGTTCTGGACTTCTCGTCCATCGAGCGCCACTTTTACAAGAAGCAACTGGAGCAAACACTTCTAGTCGTCAACGAAGGATTGAAAGGAAAAAAGAAAATGGAACGGATATCCGGCGGATTGCATTCTCTTCGTGCCGCGTGTTGCCATCCCCAAGTTGGATCATCCGGAATACAAAAATTGGGACGAAGAGGTGCTAGTGGCCTGTCAAATCGAGTTCTGAGTATGCAGCAAGTTTTGGATAAGATTATCGACGATGCTCGGACAAAGTGTGAGGAATCGCAGCGCATTGCCACTTTGCACACAAACGCTTTGGCTTGCATATCGAAGTTGAAAGTCGAACTGAAGCAGTGGGAAGATGCCCCTTTTCAAGTGCAAGAGAGCGACGAAACTCTACTTGACACCAGTTCAAAGTTATACTCGGAGGCTCTCGAGCTGACTGACAAAAATGCAGAACCAAGTCCAGTTGTCGGAGAAGCTATTATTAGTGGATGCGAGTCATTGGAGGGTCAAACAGAAGTCTGTAGAGATGGTCGGGTCGTTCTAAGATGGAAACTCGAAGACCCAAAGAATGATTTCAGCACGCTGGACGATGTTTGGGCTAATGCAGAATTTAGCTCTGGGAAGAAGTTGACAGCGTTCAAAGTGAGACCGCTCGTTTCATCTTATGGCACTTCTGCGACACACATTATCCCAAAAACATGCGTCTTGCAAGTTGCGCTTGCTTCATTGGGTGGCTCATTTGTCGATGTTCGAAGGTTCTCCTTTGATAAACAAGCTGCAACTGATTGGCTGTCATTCGGCGGGATCAGAACAAATCGATCCAAGATCTGGCGTATTCGCATCGAAAGTGCGTTCTCGCCGAAGGCTCCAATGGATGGAAACAACGATTCCTCCATTGTTGGCTTGGAAGTCAATTTCATGGAGCCGTCAGTTGGGCAAGATGATCTTCAGCGGATGCATATTCTTCATAATTCAACGAATGTGGTCGACTCACTGATCCAGCTCAAGAGAAATTCACCCGATCCATCGTCTGGTGAAGCTCTGAATGGTCTCGAGACTAGACTTAAGAAATTCAACGGTGAGTTGACCACTCTTGAGTCCAACTACTTGGGCTTTGCAAAATCGAATCATCGCGCTTCGCAAGTTCAGCTTCAACAACTTCGAAAGCAACAATATCGATTGGAAGAAGAATTCTATAGACTTTCCGGCCAAGAAAAGCTGAAGAAGAAAGAAAAAGAACGATGGTGGCAAGACCTGCTGTCGCTACTGGCAGTCGATGTGGATGGCAAGAGACTTTCTTCCCATGCTAAGGATTACTTGTGCAATGTAGTTAAGAACGATCTCTACGAACTGTTCAATGGCGATTTCAGTCATGGTTCGACAGGCTTTCCTCAATTTGAATCCATCGCTGGTTTGCAAATGGCATTGCAATCACGTCTTGAGCGGTTGCATTCTTCCCGGATGTGGATGAAGCGCGTCGTTGAGTTGTCTGACGACCCGTCAATGGGTGAGATTCTAGAGAACTCGACGTGTCGCAAGTGCCGAGCAGATTGGTTTCAAACCGTAAGTCGCTTTTCATATTGTAAAGTATGTTGAAGATTTGTTTCACTGACACATTTCCGTCTTGGCAATTAATTAATACCAACTGTAGGGACCAGTGTGTCGTCATTGCAAGTTGGAGGAAACCATGTTGGAATACGAGACTGGTCTCAACGACCGTGTCTTTCTCACCATCCTAAAGTCTATTGCGCGGTGGCTGTCAGACGTACCATCGAAATATCATTTGGGACATGGACAAGTCCTCGACATGGTCGTTAGTTATCAGGATCAAGCAGATGCATACTTGAAACTTGTGGAATGTGAACGAAAAGAACTAGCTGCTGCCAAACGACATTGGCGAGTTCACTTTGATATGTTATCGGACTATGACGAATTGAATGCCTGCAAAAGCACGATGCGACTTCCACGGGTTGGAGAAAAGCTGAGCTCTCTGCCTCAACAAGAGCTGGACAGAATTGTGATTCCACGCAATATGCCAGCACTGGTAATGGATCACAAGGTAAAGCAGGCTAGTGCGCTAGCAGCGCTACGTCGTGACATTGCTTGCTTGCGGTATCTAAAGAACCAATCCGTGGAACAAGGTCGATCTACTGATGATGAAACGAAAAAGGAGAAACCGACATGCCCAGTCTGTCTCACAGAATTTGGTTTGGCGGATCGAGCCGTTTTGAAATGTGGACACTCCTTGCACACAAAGTGCATTGACGAAATATTGAAGAGAAGTTCTGGTAGCAGCAGTATTGTTCGTTGTCCCATGAAATGTCTCAGTATGACGAGCCGAGACGAAATATTGATTGCCGCCGCAGAGGATTCACTGAAACAGCAAGATCCAAGGAGCACTGTTATTGTTCACAATAATAATAAGAAGTTTGAAGGATCCTGGGGCACCAAAGTGGATCGCTTGATTGGAGATTTGATGGAAGTTATAGAGAAAGGAGAACGATGCCTTGTCTTTTCGCAGTGGGACGAAATGCTGGCCATTGTCGAGAGTGCATTGTTTGCGAACAAGATTGCATTTACGCACCCCAAAGGTGCCAAATCCTTTGGTGCCAGCGCCCAAGCCTTGCGGTCGACCTGCCAAGTCATGCTTTTAAATGTCAAGAGCGGTGCCGAAGGTCTGACTCTGGTCGAAGCGACCCATGTATTCATGATTGAACCCTTGATGGATAGTGGCCTGGATTCCCAAGCCATTAATCGAGTGCATCGCATTGGACAAACTGCAAAGACATATGTGCATCGTTACATTATCCAGAATACGATTGAGGAAAAGATTGACGCCATTCGAATGGATCGTCAAGTGACCTACGAAGACGAGGGTGAAGCTTCCTTACTTGTTTCGACGACGACAAAGAACTCCAAGGACAGCAAGATTCCAGCCGGAGGTTTGGATGGGGGACTCACATCGGAGGAACTGAGAGAAATTCTATCTTCGATATGATGAATGCTAGTGGTCTATTTTTTTATTAAAATTGTGTTGATGAAGTGATACTTATCCATACTTTTTCTGCGGATGTGTAAAATATTGGAACCAAGTAACAGCTAGCGGTCAAATGTCTTTTGATTCATTCGGCCCTGACCTATTTTAGGCAATGATAGTCTATGATGTCAGATGTATTGGATATCAAACCAATGGCGTCTGTGTCACAACAGTTCGAAACGCCTCAACCTGCATCTTCTGTGATGGAGTCTGTGATGTGTTGGATGACACTCTTCTTGGTCAAAACCAATGACGTCTGTACTACAAAGTTCCTCCGACACCAAACTAGCCACCACGAGCGTCTGATTCTGGTACGATTTCCACTTTCGATTAGAACGCCCCAACTTTGACACTCTTCTGACATCCGATTGTGTGATTGGCTAAAGAGATCGCGGAACCAAATTTGCACTCGTAAAACACAGTGTGCAAATTGACCTCGCTTAAGTAAAGGGTATCCTGTGTGGAACTTTGGAACTAGGTGTGCATTCTGGTTCGTCATTGTTCGTGACACGACCTTCGCGATGATGTTCTGTTTCGCAGAATTTTCAAATTGCCGCAATTCTGTTTTCTGCGGTGGGCAACGCCCCACCCGAACATCACATTTTTGACAACTGATAACCATCTGTCACACAACCACAAAATCACAAAGATAATACAAACATTATTATTAATATTAATAATAATAATAAACAATGCCAGCAGCCAGAAGAAGAAGTGAATTAGAACAAGACTTGAAGTCTGTCCTGGATGAATTGGATGTCTTTCAATCCAAGGTGGAAACCTCAGACAACAGCGATCAGGCGAATGCCAAACTGGAAGAGGACCTGCAGAAAATACTTCTGAATTTGGACGACTTTCAGATGAAGATTGAAGAAGCGGATGAAGATGATATCGGTGCTTTGAAGGATCTCCTGGGCGAACTGCAAGACAAACTGATGCTGGGAGAGGAAATGGAAGACATCCATCAGCCACCATCCGCACCAACATCCAACAGCACTTCAAACAATAAGCACAAGCACAAGAAGAATCGTGCACGAAAGGGAGCAACACCTGAAGCACATTTGGAACTCTACATGCAAAGAAGAGCCAGAAAAGGAACACACGATCTCCCACAAGCCATTTTGTTACAGAAAGTAATCGAACGAAAGCAACAAAACCAACCCAAGAGTTGGTTTCATGATTTTCTTTCGGGGAAACAAGAACCCATTGAATCCCGCCGCGCGGGCCTCTTTCCTTGTCAAAAGGTTTCCTTATGTCAAGAAGAACCCGCCTCCTCCAAGAGTACCCTCAAGGCATCCAATTCCAAACTGAAGGAAACCATCGTGCGTCTGGAAGCCACCATTGCGCAAATGGATCTGTCTTACCGATCTGATATCAATGCGCATCAAGAAGTCATCCAAAAGCTTCAAAGTGAAAACATGAAGCTGCACGAAAAAGTTTACTCTCTAAAGCAAAAACAACAAGAACTGGTAAGAAGAGATTCTGACGCTTCTGCCTATGAAGATATTGTCAATCAATTGCAAAAGGAAAATGTCCAATTGCATTACAAGGTAGAACTGCTAATGTCTCAACAAGAGGAGGATGGAGATATTCCTCCTGGATATTTATCGTCTTCCCTCGAAGACTCGTATTCGGAAAGTCTATTTTTGCAAGAAATGACCAGTCATCAGCCGATTTCCTCTTCTTTGTTGAAACAACGTGAGGCATCCAAAGTGGCAAGTAGTACTAGTGGTGGGGGTTTGCCTTTTAGTATAGTAAGAATGCACTAGTGAGGACACATGTTGCTTTTGGTCGAATGTGAACGAATTTGTGGGCGAAAATGTTACTATTGTAGTGTGTACATATAAGACATATAATTAGTCATTGTTGAGTATGATATTTGAAAATCTATATATTTTATAGTAGTATTACAAAGTACTGCGGTTGCCACTATTCTAGGCATCCCATCCACGTGTGTTGGAGACAATGACAATTGGAAATGCTTCACTGCACGCCATGACTTCTCTGGACGGGTCTTCTTCGTCCGTGGCCAAGAATACGACCAGGGAATGTTGGATGGAGAGCTTGGAGGCTTGTCCATCAAAGGACCGCTCCAAGCTGGTAGGCAACTCGTGGTGGTTGGCAAACAAATTCCATTTGGAAACCGATGTGGCTCTGCGGCCTTTGGCCAACCAGGTCACTTCTTGAATGAGTTGGATCATCCATACCCCCGACAGTTGACGACCCAACCAATCTGTGACGTTCACACATAGTACTTGTCCTACCGCAAAGCAATACTTGTCGTGTGGTTGTAGTGGGAGTTGACACTTTAGTGAAAATAGTTGATGGCTCTTGTCCAAAAAGACCTCTTGTTCGTCGTGCTCCTCGATTTCGGTTGTTCCCTTCTTCTTGGAGGCAACCGCCCTATTGACACCATAGTCGTCGTTGTCATCATACACTGTGCTGGTACTTCCACATTGAAAGAAAGTGCTGGCGATGGATTTTACTGGATTAATGACCGAAACGGACAGGGTGGACGAATCCAATGGAATTTCTTGCCGCGATGGAGGGGACACTGTAATGGATTGGCTGACGTGTGCCTTGGACGTATTCTTGAACGCAAATGCGGTTATCGTGTAGGAAGTTTTGTATTGAGATGGTAAGATTGGATCGGATCCATCCAATATGCAACGCATGGTTCCGGGGAGTCCCTTGGGAATGACAAACGAAAATGTTTGTCTTCTGTCGGGTGCTTCCGCTACGTCCACCAAGACTTGTTGGCTCGTCAGGACGTTGGTTTCCGAGGTATGTTTTTCCAGATATTCTAGTCCCATGTGGTTATCTCTTGTTTGCGTCAACGCCACGACAGTGTACTCGATCGCTTCAAAGACCAATTTGACCAGGGTTGTTGGAGCATCCTCCGTCATTTCAATAGATCCAGTTATGGTATCACCGACTTGGACGTGTGCGTTATCAACTCGTAGTTGAATCATGTCCTTGGATAGCTTTCTCTTGGAAGTTTTCTTCTTATTCTTGTTGTTCTTTGTTTCTGTGTTGGACATGCTGCGAAGAATTGACATGCCATTGTTTGCTCCATGGTAGTAGTTTTGTTTCGAATTTCTTGAATGATGGCTGCTGTATGAGCCCATATTGGTCAGCGATCGAAGTGACTCTCTATGTGGACTACAGATATCCTGAGAATGATTCATACTATGTATTTCGTGATTGTGAATGGATTTGAATGAATGATTGGATTCTCGGGGGTATTCTTGTTCGTGTTGTTCTTGGTTTGGTTGGTATATCGTTTGTTGTATGTTTTATGTTTCACTTTGTCTACGACATGGCCGCTTTTAATGATATGGCGGTCGAGCTGCTATGCCAGGCGATTGATTATTGCTGGTTGGTATGATGCAGGCAGGGATGATGCTACAATATGTTTTGCTTGCTACGAACCGAGGTTTCTGACCAGAAAAAGAGACGTTGGTTTTTGAAGAGTTTCGGCTGGCGCAATCATGCTGGCGTTTTCTCATTTTCTCCAAATCTCCACTGGAACTCCCTCCATCCCAAAAACAATTTCATGCAATCGCCGCCATCGCATCTATACCCTCTGTCCAATGTTGACACCCTCCACCTAGACAATGAGCGGTGATTTGCAAGGTTTAGTTTCCTCTGCCTTTGGTAACAACAATACGTGTCTCTATAAAGACGTGCTAAAGTGCTCACCAAAGGCAACTCCCTCCGCATTGCGGAAAGCATATCACAAGAGAGCATTGCTCTATCATCCGGACAAACAACAACAACAACAAAAAGACGCTTCCGAAAGCAGTAGATTTCAAGAAGCCACGCTCAAGTTTCAAGCATTGTCAGCAACCTACCAACTATTATCTGACCCCTCCCAGCGCGCTCTCTATGATTCTACTGGTCGAATTCCAACATCCTCTGCTGACAATGATGATCCTTATTCCGGTGGCACCTGCCATTCGAAGGGGCGTCGTAGTCAAAAGAACAAGGACGCTGATGAATGGGTACGATTCTTTCAATCCGTCTTTCAAGACATGATGGGGGCTGGAAGTACCTTTGATCGAAATGAATATTGTAGATCGCAGCAAGAACGGGAGGATGTCCTGAAATTCTACCAGCTTTGCAAAGGGGATAGGTCCAAGATGATCTCTTGTATAGTGCAGGCAGAAGACAAGGACTGCGATCGTTGGTGGAAGGAAATTTTACAACCTGCTATTAAACGGGGAGACATAGAATCTTATGAAAATGCTCCGTCCTCCATGAATATTATTGACAATGATGAGCCGCAAAAGAAGAAACGAAAGAAATTGAAACGAAAGCGCCCAGTCGAAAAGGTGTCAAAGCCTCAAGTGGAGAACACATCCGCTGCCGAGGGTGACGGTTTGGAGGACACTGATGATGATGATGATGAAAAGGAAGATGCTGTCAAAATAAGTAGTAGGACAATGAGTAGAAGAGAAAAGATGGAGTTTCGAGTTGCAAAGAAGCAAAAGGAGAAGCGGGAACGAGAAATTGAAATAGCTGGGATCATTCAATCGAAACAGTGGACTGCGGGTTCTTTTGGGAAAGCTGCCGCTGCGAAACAGGGCAAAGCAAAGAGGAGAAACCAGCACGGTTTGAGTGACTCTTTTCTTTCTGGATTGCAAAAGAAGTTTTCTTCCAGTGAAGCATCATCCGTACCTATCAGTCGAAAGAAGAAAAAGGGAATCAAACGAAAATAAGCCAGCGCTAACATCATTTTTACACTACCCTAACACATGCTTGCGGCACAATAGCTTCCAAAAGTTCTTTGCGACAATTCATTCAAAGCAGGCTTTTGTCAAACGGGTTCACGGAATGAATCATCATCATCGATGGCTACTATGGTGGGGTTCAGCCCGGTTGGAAGAACCAAAAATGATCCTATAGTCAAAATCAGTAGTCCTAATGAATCCTGAACCATTAAAATAGGTGGGCCCTAGTATCGCTCCGTGGATTGGTCTTGAAGTACCTCCTACGGTTGGTACTGTACCAATGTGGAGACCGATTCAGCTACGCAGCACACCAATGGGTGATTGATTCAATCGTTTGCTCATCCTTACATGCAGTGTTCCTCTACCCACAAGTCCCCACCAAAACTGTATTCCTCGTCGAATATTCGATTGGAAACTTGTAGATATCAACAGACCTTGTCGTTTTCTTTGGATTGGCTTGCTTCAGTTTCGTTCTCGTCGAATCTGCCCGAATGGCGCAAATAACTTCAATGGCTTCGCTGGCCAAAGTGATATCACCCTGTACTTCTGCCAGTAATTTCAAAGCTGCCCAGTCCTCATCAGGAAGTCCCAACCACTGTGAAACCGACCCCTTTCCTGGTATGGTCAAATAAGGATTCGAATTGAAGCAGCACGGCACAATGACAAAGCCGGCATCTTTATGAATGGCATGCGACAGGGCTACATCGGACAAGTGCCCACAAGCATGCAAGGCCACCACCACATCGGCCTCCACGTCTTCCAACAATGAGGCACTCGCATCGGCCAATTGAAATTCCACCGGAGTGTCAAGACGCTGAGCCTTTTTGGCTCCATTCTTGACGGCTCCTGCCGCAATGTCCACCACATGAATTTGCACATTTTGAATCGTATTTCCCAAATAATGAGCCAAGGCTCCCTTTCCACCACCAATGTCCAAAATTTGCAATGGTCTCGCACCAAAGTCTGGATGCGATTGGAGGACGTCTTGAATTCGTTGGCCCATCCATTCCAATTGTGGTTTCTTCTTGGACAGCCATCGACTTCCCGGCATACTCATTGGAATGACCTTGTTGTAGTTGTTGTTGTTGTTGTTGTTTTTGGGTCTACTTTTGTTGCCTATTTTCTCGTTGATTGCAGGTTCCTGTACTCCCTCAAATGGTATCTGTTGCTGCTGCTGCTGCTGTTCTTTAACAATATCAATCATGGTGGCCGGATTGGTTTCCAGCAAGTGCCTATACTTTTCCAAAGTTTCCAATAATTTTGGATTGACCACCACTTGTCGTTTGTTGTTTTGCTGCTGCTGCTGCTGCTGCTGCTGCTGCTGTTGTAGTTGAACCGCCAACTGATTTGCCTTCCATTGACGTTCCGTAGGATCGGAATTTTGTTGCACCTCCAAGGCTTCTTGGTAGGTAATCCCCAAGGCATTGGCCGCTTCTTCCAAATCCAATAGTTTGTTACCCTCATCGTTCGCCATTAGATCGAGCAAATGTCGAATCGTGGCGGGCCGCGCAGACGACTGCATCAAATGCACCTCTTGGACCCACAACAAGGCGGGTGGTCCTGGAGGTGGTTGCTTGCCTTCTTTTTCTTGCTGTTCTTGTTGTTCGTCGTCCTCTGACCTTGTACCACTACTCGTACGCACCAATTGCCCGGTCACCCACACCTTGGCTCCAACGGCCAGCAAATTGTGATAGAGATTGGCAGTCCCCTCGTCGTCCAAAAGTAGTAGTTTTGGATGAATCAAGCAGGATAACCGACGATGATGATTATCGTTTGTATCGGTGGTGTTACCCAAATCGTCCACCAAGGCTAGTTGGGTAATATTTCCATCGTAACGTCGTCGATTTTGGACCCATCCTTCCATGGAAATAAAAGTAGTAGAACTAGTAGACTGCTCCTTCGTTTCCTCTAAAAATAGTTGCAATGCGTTGGCAATGGATCCTGGCTCTTGGACCTCTTGTTGGTCTATTGCCAATACCTTGGGCGGAACGTTTGCCCATTCAGTCGGTACTGGTGGCAAGACATAGTTTTTATTTCCCCTTTTGGACATGGTCACTTGATCCGCGGCTTGCGGATAATCGGGATCCTTTGGCAAGTTGGCAAAGATTTGCTTGGCAAGAGTCTTTAGCGTCGCCTTCTTCGTCTTTGCTGCTGCTGCTGCAGCTGCACCAGAGGATTGTTCTATTATTCTGTTGAGATGTGTTTGCAATTCACTTGGTTCCATATGACACGCATTTGCCACCTCTGGTAGTGGTAAATTTCCCTCTTGACATTGCTGAAGAATGATTTGAATGTGTTGTGGTTGTCGTGGCAAACTTACGAGGCGAAAGGATTGTATCAATAACACAACATTTCCTGGATTCCGCGTCGGTGATGCGGTTCCCGTTACTTGTAATTTACAACCCTTTAACAAACAACGGTTGTATCCTTCATAATAATTTTGATTGTAGTCATTGTTATTGTCCTGGTTGTTGTCCTGGTTGTTGTTGTTGTTGTTGTTGTTGTTGTTGTTGTTGTTGTTGTTGTTGTCGTGAAAGTATTCTTGTCGCAACATGGCTTGACAGAGATCATTCTTGTTGTTATTGTTGCTGTTGCTGGCAATTTCAAAGTCGACAAAGACAAGTTGCTTTCCCAAAGTTCGTTTGGATGTGACGTATCCTTCAATTGTAATGGTCGTAGTCGTATCATTTCGTCCCAAGTGATCAAAGAGTATTTGTTCAAAGCTGGAGGTTATTGGAGATGATGCTGATGCTGATGCTGATGATGCTAATGCTGATGATGATATTGAGGTGGACGACTGAGACTCTTGAACAAGTGAAGAGCGACGCCAGCACTTGTTTTTCCAACTCAGCGACTGATGATGACTTATTCGATTCTTTTTATTTCCATGTTGATGTTGTAATGTCACAAATGCATCGGCAATTGGAATTGCGATGCATTCCACTAGAAATATTAATGGAAGAAAGAATTGCAGTTGCAGCTGCAGCTGCAGTTGCAGTCCAACCATTGGATGTTCCTATTGAGTTGACAAACAATATCAATAATGTGAGAAGTGATGGTTTTAATCGAACAAATCAACTCCATGTCCACCACAGCCATTCGTTCATTTCTACGGCAGCTTGGTACACGTACTCTACTCGTGCAGTACTCGTACTGTACAAAACCTACAATAAGATCCAAATCATCCTGCAGCTTTCCTCATCACCACAAATACAATCGTACTGTGCATCCATTGTTGTACAATCAAGCAGTTGTGGTGTTTGGCATACTGTATATCGTACAGTAGCAAGCCATGAACCTTGCCAAGTGCCACTGCATCCATTGTCCATTGTCCATTGTCCATTGTCCATTACTTTCCTTTCAATCAGTCGGTATTATTTTAAAAAAATAGCCATGTCATGCCATATGATTGATTGATTGATTGATTGATTGATTTTACGGTCCAACTAGATAACAACTACAGTGTAAGCCTTCTTCCCAGTTGCAACAACGACACCAACACAATAAACAGTATGGCAAACAAGAAGAATCCGATGCCGCCCGCATCACCCTCTTGGATCTCCCTGAGGAACAATCGCGCCAATAGCATGCCCGTGCAACGTCCTCGACGTGGCCAACGTGGTGGCAATGGTGACGGCGGTGGGGCTCATGGACGTCTCAAACTATGGGCGCAATCCATTCTCGAAGGAGTCGGCGTATCGTCTCCTTCTCCTCGAAAGGTTTCCCAGCGTGACCGAAGACGTTCTCTGCTTGCCGAACGGCAACGACAATTTCAGGTTCCTCCTCCTCACGGCAATCTTTCCTTTTCTTCGAGTCATCATCATCATCGCCATAATTCCAAGACTAACAAGGTGGAGAATATCAATCATAATTCGCCAACCCAACAAGACAGCAGTATTCCAGCCAATGTCCGAGTGGGCATTGTCCTCGTTCATTTGCAAGAACACTTGCCCGAATACTGTCAACTACTACAAGAACCGACCTTTGTCAATTGCCAAGAAGCCTGTCAAGTATTGGCCAAGGCAATTGCAAAATCCATGCCTTCCTCCATTCATGCTGGTGGTGGAAGTCCCAAGAATAACAATGGATCTCCCCACTCGGCTTCTAGCCCATCACGATCCACACCCTCGCCCTCAAGATCTCCACTCCGTTCCTTGTTTGGTTCCGGAAGAGACTCTTCTCCACCCACCCGCAGTTTGATTGTGGATTCGGCATTGGCCTTGGAACGAGAATGGGAACGATACACCATGCCATTGCAATTGTTGGCAGCCTCCGAGGCCCTATATGCCAATTTGCATCATGCTCAAGATGTTTACATGGCCAATCATTTGGAAGGATTGTATCGTTGGTTGGCGGACGATCTCACCTTGGTCAAGGAAACCTTGTGCGATTCCGTCCTGGCGACTCGTGGTGGTGCTGCTGCTTCTGCTACTAGCAATAGTAAAGCAAGTCCCACATATCATCACCGTCGCAAATTTTTGCAACAGACGGCCCAAAGGATTGCACCCATTTTGTTACTCCTTGCAGCCATGGCCAAACAACGTTCACGATTGATTCAATATCAAGCAACCATCTGGGACAATAACAACAAGAAACAATTTGGACTCTTGGGGGAAGCACTAGAAAACTTGGGCAAAGCATGGAACAATGAATGGAGTACCAATGTCAAGATTAGTGATGTACCAGAAACAAGCTCACTGGTAGAATCTCTCTCCAATGAATTGACCATTTGGAAACACTTGCTGGAGACGGCCAACTATTTGGAAAAGTGCAGGTATGTTTTATTTCTATTTGCTTGTTGGCCTGTGATTGTTGGTTTGTGATTGTTGTCCTTCCTCTTCCTTCCCCCCCCCCGCAACTTTTGTACTGCGAGGTCCTCTCCTTTCCATGAGAGCATGACCTCTAATCTACGTTGCGCAGAGTATACACCATGGCACACAAAAAGCACTAGTCGTGGCTGATACCCACGGTCCGGAGAGCCGTCGTCGTCGTCAACATTTTTTTTATGGAAGAAAAAAAAAAGAATACTCTCACACTAAAGTTTTTCATTTGTTGTTTCCCCGCACGCAATGTAGATTCACCGAAAGCATTTTGAGCAGTCGCAAGACCAAGGTGCGATTGAATCCTACCTCGACACTCAAAATACAACAGTGGTTTGTGACCACGCTGCAGCAAATGATTGCCTCTTCCTATCTGTATTTTGATCGAGTTCATACCTTTGCGAAACCATTGTATGGATTTCAAAATGCCTCCTTTGTGGATTCCGAAAACGCTGCCAACTCCAGAATGGGTGGCTCGCCCCATGCGCTCGAACACAAGGTCTTGGAGTTTCTGCACAAGCAACAAAAATCGGGGACCGCCGATGTCGCCGTGACCATTGTCCACGATGCGGTCCAAACCTCCAATCTGCACATGGAACGAGGCTTTACACTCATGGAATCAGAAGATGCATCATCATCGACAGTAACAACAACAGCAGCAGAAGAAAAAGACGAATCATCCTCCTCCAAGTACACGGAATTGGAAACCTCCCGATTGCATTGGCCAGCCGTCTACATTCGTTCCACAAAACATCACGGAGAAGCTCAAATTGGAGTGAGTTTGTTGGGTGTCAAACGACGTGCTGCTACCAGTCGACGACAAACCAAAGAAGACAACAGTTCCTCCTTTACGGATCATTACAAGCGATGGGGGTCCAATAACAACAAGGATGCCAATTCAAACGCATCCGGTCCAACCACAAACAATAAGGCTTCGAACGAAGCCAGTGAAGCGGCCACTCAACGAAACACCTTGGAGTATGCTCCCGCTCAAGGATCGGCCTCGTGGCCACACACCGAATGGGAAAGCATTGTCGGACTCATTACGGGGTCGGGTGACTTGCCGTCCACGGCCCGACTGGTGAGCAATCAAGCCGCTTCCACAGTGACGGAAGATCATGGATTCTTCAAGTTTTTGGGCCAAAGTACGCCTAGCTTGACGCAACTTGGCAAGGATCCACTACAAGTTCACATGGAATGCGTCGTTCGACGTTCCAACAATGGGCGGACTGCCTTTTGGTTGGCGGAACTAAGCGAATTTTCGTGGTTGGTAGTATTGACCAAGACGGAAGAAGAAAGTCGATGGCATCGGCGTCGAGGAAGTCGCTTTGATGATGTGGAAGAATTTGTTCAGCTTTTGGTTTCCAAATTGCGAGTGGAGAATTGCTTTCAGACTCTGCCAAAAGATTTGCAAGAGTTTCCATTCGAACGAGATTTGTTGCAAGGAATGGAAAGTGCCAATGATTGGAATGAAACGTCGGCCGAAGATTTCTTGCTTTCTGTCAAGTATTCCTTTGGTTTGAGTACGAGAAAACCCAAGGTAGATCCTCACAAGTACAATCGGCGGTTTCGGATCGGGAACAACAGTCCTTCCATTCCGCAACCACCCAAACCACAAGGCACAATGGATTCGAGTGCCATGGCGTTCTTTTTGGGATCGGATCTAATGTACGGTTTGGCTTGATTTGATTTTTTAAAATTTTCTTAAAAATATGATACCGGTAGAGCATAATGTCGTGGCTCTAGCCAATGCATATCATGGTCTACAGTATTACATCACATAAATAGTACTGCAGGTAGTATAGTAATACTGTAGTTATATATTAAAAGTACGAGTAAGTAGATAGGGGACTAATTCGACTACAGAGATAAAATGCCCGACAAAAACACAATCGCAGACATCCTATATCCGTAACGAAGACAACAATAACAAAAGACGATATAATCGGATTAACAGTGAGACTGATGCGATGGACTTTGAAATAAAACAGCTCATCACAGATTTTCTGGAATGGCAAGTGACGAATCATGGCAAGGGAGAAGGTGTCCTTGCTGCTTGGAAAGAAGTTTTCGCTCCAAAGGATAATAATGGTAGCGTCACTCATCCTTCATCCAGAACCATCCAGTATGTGGCAATGCGAAAGAGTAAACAAATGAAATCTGTCGCGCTTTTCTTTGACAAAAGTGATGTTGTCGCCTGTATACCTACCATTAGAGACTCTGAAGAAACGGATAGCATCTGTGTAAACAAGGAGTTCTCGTCCTTATTCCAAGCTCTCACGTATATGGCAACGATGAACTCCAGTGAGCTGACGACTGGACGAATCAAAGCGAATGAAATAGGAGCTTCCAATGAATTTTCCAACAGCAAAGATACGATGACAACTCTAGCTCAAGTCGATAAGGATGACAAGTGCTCCAACAATAACAATAATAATAATAAGCGGGATCTACAGGGTTCCTCGGCTAATGGCCACGTTGATACCTTGGAACCAAGCTCAAAGAGGTTGAAGACCGAGGGTAATGATGTTATGGAGAGCATGAATCCAGAGACACCCGAGAAGGATTCTTCAGAACCCGATGGAAACAAGAAGCCGAGTCAGTTTACAAAGATCAGGTTCAAGGAAAAAGAGAGGCAGTGGCAAGGAAAATTCGAAGCACTAGCAAGTTTATGGAAGAATGGGGCAACAATCTATCAACGAGACATTGCACCTTTCAATGGGCTCTCAAATTGGGTAAAACACCAAAGAAAAAGATTCAAGCAAAATACGCTACGAGAAGATAGAAAGAAAAAACTGGACTCGATTGGTTTCAAGTGGGTGGGGCGGAATACCATTGTTTTGTCAACAGAACCGAACAATGAAAAGGAACTTGCAGCTATGAAGCATGCTTACTTGACCTATGAAAGTCAGCAAAAGCAAGGATTGGACGTGGAAAAAGAAGACGGTTGGGAAATTCTTTGGAAACAACGGTACCAGGAACTCGTAGAATTCAAGAAACGTTTCGGCCATACAAAGGTTCCCAAGGAGTGGCCAGAAAACAAACAATTGGCTGGTTGGGTTCGGAAGCAGAGAGAGCAGGTAAGTTGACTGAATGAATGAATCACTGGTGCAGCGGACTACGTTTTGGCTTTTTTTGTTTTTGAATTCTTCTCTAAAACTGACTATCATCATGGTCAACTTTTTCTATTTCACACCATCACAAACCTGTTTCAGTCTCGCAGGCCACCAGAAGAGTCAATGCTCACGGAATCACGGAAACAACGACTTAATGATATTGGATTCGCATGGTTCTTGAGGCCTAGTCGATTGAAGCGTCCACCGCCACCAGATCTAACGCCGAAGCCAGACCCAAAGCCGGAGATGGCACCAGAGCCAGAGGAGCCCGCAGGCCAAACTTGTATAATGGGAAAAGAAGATGAGAGCCATGATGTCGAGCCTTATTCGGTTGACAAGAATGGTTATCTAATAATATAGAAGAATGAATGGGTTTCGATTCGATTTTATAATTTTAAAAGAACTAAATCATGGTCGAGGCTGGGTAATGTCATCTTCCGACAGATTGTGATCGTTCATAAACTCGGATATCTGATCGTGAAAGAATTGTGCCCAATCGCCCATACCATTACCAATGAAATAGACTAGAAACCATAACCATCGTTCGACTCCACCAATTTTGTACTCGCTCCAGCAGTACTCCCAGCTACAGCACTTTTCGTCTTCTAGGTTCGCTTGCAACTCCTTGTAATAGGCTTGTACCAGTTCCTTTTCACTGGCTCGTCGTTCGGCAGGGTCCATGTTCGAAATGACATACTGACCCAACTCTTGTGGTCCCGATCCCAATCCCACCATTTCCCAATCAATAATCTTGATTTGGTCATCATCATCATCATTATTGTTGTTGCTGTTACTGCCAAGAATCATCCACATAATGTTTCCCGGCCAAAAGTCGCCGTGGACCAAGGTCCAATGTCCATTGGTGTGGAGACGTTCCAGCTGAGACTCCCATGAAATTCCATTCATGGCCTTTTCGGTAGCCTTTTGGACTTTTGGGTCCCATTTGATGATTGCTGGTTGATCGGCTTCCAAGTAGTCCTTCCACCAATTTTGAAGCATTCCTTGAGATGCCTTCCAGCTGTCTTGCCCTTGTCCTTGCAACCAATCTTGTCCCCTCAGCCATGATTTGTCATTCGTCAAGAGTTTGCTGGAAGATTTCCAATAGGTGGCATGGACCTTGGCCATTTGCACAAAGGTGACCATGGCCACTTGCTTTGATGATGGATTTCCAGCCTTGGCCGCCAGGGTGGGCAAATCACGTTTCCAATTGTTGGGATTTCCAGGACCAAACAAGACTCCCGAATCAATGGCATTCTCTAAATCCTCCATGATCACACATTTTTCTCCCGTCTCGTAATTTCCATAACTGTAATGGATTTTAGGAAAGAGGTTGGCAGGAAGATCTTGGGACAACTGACTGTAAAACAAAGCTTCTCGGGCCAACCCTAATTGCTTGGACATTGCAGTCCCTTGACTTTCCGTAACTTGCTTGACTACTAGTGTGCTGGTGTTGCTGGTGTTGCTGCTGCTGCTGTTGTTTTTGTTGTTTTTGTTGTTTTTATCAAGGTCATCCAACGTGAGGCGAAGAGTGGCTCCATCTTTCACATCGCCTTTTGACTTTCGGCCTTCGTTGCTAATGTCAACTGCCACGCAGGATCTGCACGAGATTCCCGTTGCCTTTTCGACCCATTTTGGATCCATATGATTGCTGTCTAACCATTGGGGCATCGGGTGTTCCATCTTTTTGTGTGATTGTGAGAGAGAGAGTTGTGAGACAATCGTACTGTATTTTTATAATGATTTTGTCAGCGTATCGAATCTTTTTTGTGAACAGAAAAAGTGAAACGTGGAAGGAGCTAGGAAAGTCCCAAACGAAACATTTACGGTTGACGGCAAGGCAGGCTTCGCATGTTCAGGACGGCGGCAGTTGCAAATGAATCGTCAGTCATAATAACACATATCTTGCAAAAAAGATTCACCGCAACAACAACAGTTTCATTCCATTTCCATCTCCATTTCCTTCAATCTCTGTACATTAACGCACTACATTAATAGTCAGCCAACATGTCCGTCACAATTCACACCACCAATGGGGATATCAAAGCAGAAATCTTTTGCGATACATGCCCTCGTACGGCCTTTAACTTTTTGGCACTTGCCGCGGCCGGAAAGTACAATGGGACCGTCTTTCATCGGAATATCAAGGGATTCATGATCCAAGGTGGAGACACGGCTCATGTGACTGGCAAGAAATCCTCCATTTGGGGAGACGATGTCACCTTTCCAGACGAATTTCACAAGGACAACCAACATGATCGTCGAGGACGTCTCAGCATGGCCAATCGTGGTCCGAATACCAACAAGTCTCAATTCTTTATCCTTTATGAGCCACAACCTCACTTGAACAATATGCACGCTGTCTTTGGACAAGTCTTGGATGGATGGGATACACTAGATAAATGGGAACGAATGCCGAATGCTCACAAGACCACTCCGGTGGATCCACCAGAGATCACATCCATTACCATTCATGCCAATCCATTGGCGGACGAGGGCATTACCTACCCGACTCCCGATGGTCCACCAGAGAAAAAGTAGATATTAAACAGCGGGATAGATGGTATTGATGAACTAGCTAGTACATTACATAATATTATTTTCATGGTACAGTAACGAGTGGGTCTAGCTTTTGTCCTAATACATGGGAACTACGGGCAAATCAGACATTTTAAATTTATCATCTACAGTAGCTATATAGTATCAATCATACTACTCACTCATAGTGTATCATCATCACATTCTAGTAGCCAACTCTTGCTGGAAGTTGTCGTACAGACCCAGAACAGAGCTCGTGGTAGGCACCTTCCAAACACCTAGCCACGTCCGCGTAGGTTACTACCATCAACGACTTTCCATCACGAGACGACAATACAATCTTTTCTTCTGCAGAAGCATCCAACTTGTTCAGACAGGTAATGACATGACCCAGGTCCATTACTGGGTTTCCAGCCCCATCCGCTTGGTGAAATACTACATGATAATAATAATAATAATAAGATGATAAGACATAGTACAATGCCATGGAATATTGAACCATTAAATAAATGGGCCACTTTGCAGATAAGCAAGCACGTACCATAATCCCGAAACAAACTCAACACGTAACAGTCACCCGATTGCGCCCAGCGACGATTGGGGCCAAACTCGGGTCGTTCGTTGATAAAGCCCAACTTGAACAAGAGTCTCGCCATTCTTCCAGATTCGTATTCGGCGGCCAGTGTTCGTTCCATTTGTGCCATGCTCACTTGAGCAATGTCGTATTCGTCCATGATGCGCCCTGCCAAGGCCCGGCTCACTTCCGCAATGGAGGGTGGAGCAGGGCTCCGGATCAACGTCATGCACAAACTGTGCAAGTCTCGCGAAAAGTTTTGGGAACAAAAGTGTTCGCAATTCAACAAGATATTGGCATTCGTACTCGCGGTAATCTCAGTACTCGTCGCCATGCTCAATATCAAATATCCGAGCTGTCGCATGTCCATCATTTGCAAATCGGCCAACGGCTTGCGGGCCTCAAATTCCAAGGCATCCATAATACCAGGACAATTCACAATCACTTTGAGCCGTATAGAATCCATTTGCACCAAGACATGTTTGGGATCGAGGGTCCGCAAGGCCAATCGGGCTCCATGGACTCGTCGAATCAAGGTCACCAATTGACAAATGGCACTCCACAAAAGATTTTCCGACAAGTATTGATTCCCCATTAGTAAAAAGCGATCTCGGACGCTGACCGAACCACGAATGAATTGATGCACAAAAAAGACTGCCCGTTGGGAGAGAAAACACTTGTGCAAGGTCGCCAGGCTTGGGTGTTCGATGGCGGCCCATTGTTCCAAAACGGTAGCGGCAATTTTGTGTGACACGGACTTGACACTATCAAAACGTCGGAGACAATAAAGGTAACCATCTTCTCGGGATATGACTTGGAATGTTGCGTAAGGGTACCCAAAGGATGATCTGCTCTGAGATTGTTTGTTTTGTTGTTGCATATGAAGATGAAGGTCATCCAAACAGTATGCATTGCAGTAGGGAGGAGGAATTGCCTTGTGCCTTGGATCGGAAGGTTCCATTTGCCGTAGACTTTCCAGTGCAACATCGCGGTGCCACCGCCAAAGATCATCTGACATTCCAAAGGAGTGCATACCACGAAATGGTGGCGGTGACGGTCCAGCTGGAAGCGTAACCTCCAAATACTCTTGTTCGTGGTCCGCTTCTTCTACTTTTTCATGTAGTGGTGTTTCGTATGGGTTTTCTTTCAAGAAAAAGTAGTAGAGGCATCAGTCGAATGTATATCACAGCACAATGGTGATGGAAGCGCTAAGAAAACAAAACTCAATTCAGCAATGCGTTTGGCGTACCTTGTCCTGAAACTCCAGCATCTGATGCCTGTTGCAAGCCACTTGAGGACGCCACGCTCCATCCCTTCCCAGGAACAAATTCTTTTACTGCGTTTGCATTCAAATCTGATTCCACGCTAGTATTAGCACTTTGGTCGGAAGATCCTGTCCCTGTTCCCCGTGGAGGAGCCTGAGTCGTTGTTATCGTTGGTGTCCATTCTCTTGCCGATGTTGACAAGCGGTTGAAATCGCTATTAAGGCGGTCCATGACACGCTTGAATGGCTTGGTCGATTCCCCTTGTTACCAACAATGCTCTCGTTAATACAGTCGACAGGACTTTTGCGCTATCTGTCGACTTCTTGTTGTTCTTCCGCAGGTTTCTGCGAAGCAAAGCAACAAATATCCACAGATATTGGACTAAACCGATCTTATTGTTCGACCAGAATAATTGGACCAAACCGATCAGCCACTTCTGGCAGAACATCATACCGGACACCGGACACGTACCAACCATACTGGCTCACGCACAAGAGCTGTGTAAATTTTAGCAACGATCAGAGTAATGACTCGTATCACATACATGAACGTGCCAAAAAATAGTCGCAACATCCGACTTTTTTAGATGCAAAACAAGTTTGTGGGGTAGGTATTAAAAAGAAGTCATTTAGCTTGTTTACACTTTGAACTTGGATGTTCAGGTCATATATATAAGCAGATGAAAAAAGCAGAGAACCTCGTGCTTCGGAATCACTCTCCTGGCTGAATGATTTCATTCGGCAATGCGTCCATAAAGCAGCGGACGACTCGTACTAGCAGCAGCACGACATCGTGTGCCAATGGCTGGCGGGATGGATGATCTCCAGAGTGCAGTGAATGGAAGTCTCCTTGCTGGGGTGAGGTAAACCCCCTAAGAACGAGCATTGTTGTTTGACTTCATCTCCTCGTTGTAGTAGCTGAAGATGAGGTACTACTTGTAACAATGTCACTGAAGCAAGAAGGGACTACAGGAAGCAGTCGGCTAGCGCGAGACTAGTTTGCTGTCCTCTTGGCCTCAGCGTCAACCGGGGAGGGGGTGTTGCAGTGCTCTCAGCAAGAAGCCGCGTTCTTGGCAGAAGTGGCTGTTCTTTTTGTGGCTTGGTCAAGAAATCGTTGTCTGCTTCTCGAATGGGGATGAACAGATTGTTCTGTATCTGGAACCCGTTTGGTGAGTCGTCTGCATTGGAATGGATGTACGGCGTTACTTCGCAAGGCGGAGAGGAGGAGCTTTCCATTGAGGTGCGCGAAGGGGTCTCATGGTAGCAAACGGGGCGCCTCGATCTGGCTGCTGTCTTCTTGGCATCCGTTACTATTTGACCTCGAGGGTAGATAGGCGTCGGCCGCGTTGGGACGAGCTCTCGCTGTCTTGTTGCATCCAATAACTCTCTACTAGAAGAATCATGACTATAGAAATCTCGTGGATTGCGTATGGAAAGGCCATGATGGTTGTGCAGTGAGAAACGCCCCTGATGCGGTTCGGATGGCCTCCGTATCGCTTCTAGCCTATTTCCCTCTAGGAATGGAAGGTTTCGGCCAGTCTTTGGAAACAGCATTGGTAGTTGGCTTTCCGGCTCGGCGGAAGTATTGAAGTCAGGTATGACAGCAACTTCAGCATGCTGCTTGGTATGTTCTATTGAGAAAGTACGATCGAAATCTGGCAACGAAGGTATTCTACAAAAGAACTCGGCGCTACTGCCGTCGCTGTCCAGCTGTCGTGACATCGTAGACGCTGTTTGGTTTTGAAGTTTGTGGTCTGTTTCGCCGGGCAAGCACTTGCTGCTGATCTCCGGAACTCCTTGGGTGATGTTTGGGATGTCAGCTTTGAAGCTCAACGTTCGTTTTTGTGGAAGGTGGATGCGGACACCAACGCGGGCCGGTCATCACTCTGATCTTTGTATGCTTCCACAATTCTAAGTAATCATAATTGATAGATTCCCCCGTCCGTTGACGATAATTGGAGCTTTACTTGTCGTCCTTGCTTGGACACATTTAGCTCATCAGTGATCATTACGTGGTACATTTTGTACACGTATGGAATAATGACGTATTTTATGTCAGGAGGTCGCACACCGCACTAAAAGAATCATCATTGTGGCAAATTCTGACGCGCCAGCCGGACTTTGATCATTTGAGTCCTGTAGTCTGCATTTTCATAGCGCAAAAGTTCCGCGCGAGAAACTGAACTAGAACTAGTTTGACACCCACCACCAATCCAACAATAAATATCTTTGCGTGCGAAATCATGGGCAATGATGGAAATGACGATTTTGACTGGAGCAAAGCTATTTGCTCAACGCTAAAGTCATCAGATGTCAACGAAGTGAAGAAACTGCGAAAGCTTGTGCTTCTGTCTCTCCAACTTGATGAATCTGATAAATCAGCCAAGAAGAGTTTTAAGAAGGCTGTGAAGCAACTGGAAGAAGACGGCAAAGTCAAATTGGATGCTGATGGAGCAATTAAGCTGAAAGAGAAGAAACGAAAGCGAGACAAGGAGGAGAAGAAAAAGAAGAAGAAGAAAAAGGCAAAAAAGGAATCAGAGGACAACGAGGAGGAGGATGAAAAGAGCGACGACAAAAAGGAAGAAACTGGGGAAAAGAGCAGTGAAACCAATGACGACAACGGTGAAGGCTCGCAGTCTGTCGATAAGAATGCCCCTTGCGTCGGGAATCCACAGGGGGTTACCCGTCTATTCCTTGGCAACTTACCATTCTCCGTTGATGAAAGTTCCTTAGCGGCTTTCTTGCCCGGAGAAGTGACACACATAAAGTGGATAACCGACAAGGAAACTGGCAAGTTCTACGGCAGTGCCTTTATAGAAATGGATAACTCCAAGTCAGCAGCAGATGCGGTTGCCATGGCCGGATCCAAGCTGATCGGTCGTCCAATCAAGATCAATTTTGCTCCAGCTCGCGACGGAGACGAGTGGCCTCCCGTCAAGAAGGTTGTCAGTGGTGGGGGACAAGCCGGTGGATCAGGAATCAAAGCCATGAGTGCTAAGCCGGAAAACTGCTTGAAACTCTTCATCGGCAATCTGTCGTATGATATTGATGACGAGGGAATCACCAAATTTTTCGCCAATGTGGATGCCGAAATCAAGGCAGTCAGATGGTTGCATCACAAGGACTCGGGCGACTTTAAAGGATGGTAAGTTTATGATGATTTTGTAACTTCCTTGCTCAAACCACATATCTTCTTGTACTAACCAAAATGCAATCTCCTCTTGTTTGCAGTGGGTATGTTGAATTCTGGAAAACGGAAGCCTGCGAAAAAGGAGCCACTTTGAATGGAAAAAACCTATTGGGTAGACCCATTAGAATTGATTGGACTGACTAATACACTGGGCTTACATTAATGGTAATAAAAGAAACAAGTTAGATCAAGGTCTCTCTCTTGGGTGCTTCACAGTTTCTGGAGGATGTTGTACCGATTGATTCTTACTCAATAATATTTAATGCTGTGAAGGACTGTTTCTGTCCTTTTCCTCAGAATTGACTGGATTTGAATACAAGCACATTATATTTACCAAAAGACACCGGCACGGTCAGTCTGACCTCCACCTCCCACATCTGGTGAACCAAATCGGAGTGGAAGGACAGACCCATCAAATAATTCACGAATTTTCACAAGTTCAAATACTGCTTGTATTCAAATACTGCTTGTATTTTATACTGTATGATACGATAGTTACTATTTGTACTCAAAAGTCGGTAGCGGAATCGAAGCTTTTTAAAAACACCTGAAGACAAAGTAAAAGAGCTGTTGGCTCTACTAGATACGATTTGACTGTACATATACTATATCTAATATGATTTTGGTGCTGGTACCGGTACACTGGTCCCTCCGTCTTTGCAATGTGTCCACACAAATCAGTGTGGGGAATATGAATAATATCAAACTAGACAAGAGAGCAAAACCTGAAAAGCAACAAAGCAGTTGCCGCCTTGTAGAATGATTACATGTTGCAGATTGAAAAGCAGGTGCTGCCAACAAGGGACGAAGGTGGCTGAAGGAAGCCAATGAGCCATTCGAACAAGACTATTGAACCATCTCTGAATCATCTATGTGGTGGTGATGATGCAGAGCCGAGTATTGTTTTGCGTCAAATAAAGCAGACACTACATACACTGCTGTATCAATAGTAGTAGCAGATCCAGGTGATGACAATTTAAGGCAAAACATTGTTGGTGTCAGCATACACACACAAAACATAGGTTGAATGGAGGATGACCTATTCACCAAGATCCACAATAACAATGAAGACAACGATGACAATCATAATGACAATCCATGATAGCGCTCGCAGAGGCAACGCAGTGTATCAGGAGATGACGACAAGAAAGCTGCGGATGGTGGAGGCAACTCAGCATATCCTTACAAATGAAGTCCCAGTCTGACAAATCAGTGTGGGGAATATGAATAATATCAAACTAGACAAGAGAGCAAAACCTGAAAAGCAACAAAGCAGTTGCCGCCTTGTAGAATGATTACATGTTGCAGATTGAAAAGCAGGTGCTGCCAACAAGGGACGAAGGTGGCTGAAGGAAGCCAATGAGCCATTCGAACAAGACTATTGAACCATCTCTGAATCATCTGTGTGGTGGTGATGATGCAGAGCCGAGTATTGTTTTGCGTCAAATAAAGCAGACACTACATACACTGCTGTATCAATAGTAGTAGCAGATCCAGGTGATGACAATTTAAGGCAAAACATTGTTGGTGTCAGCATACACACACAAAACATAGGTTGAATGGAGGATGACCTATTCACCAAGATCCACAATAACAATGAAGACAACGATGACAATCATAATGACAATCCATGATAGCGCTTGCAGAGGCAACGCAGTGTATCAGGAGATGACGACAAGAAAGCTGCGGATGGTGGAGGCAACTCAGCATATCCTTACAAATGAAGTCCCAGTCTGACAATACCGTCTGACAAGACCAACTTTTGACCATTCCCAGAGTGCCGGCTCCCAACATGGTGAACAACATGGCTTGAATTGAAAATCTAGTGGCGGTATCATTGTCCCAGTTGTAACTAGTGTAGGAAAGTGTGGGGCCGCTAGAAACTGAGATGTCACCAGTCATAGTCAAACCCTAGCCCTCCTTTTCTTGATGACAGTAGCACAGCAGCATCCATACCTGCAGACGATCCAGCCATCTTCATTACTCCAATGCACCAAATCTCCAACCTGTTAAAGCGAGGACTTGGCACAACACAATGAAGCTTTTATGCTACATACTGTTTGTCACTCTGCGCAATGAAAGTTGAGGAACAGATATGTAAAAAGCTCAGTATGCAGAAGCGGATGAAGGAAGAACCCGTCTCTGAGGAATTGGAAGTGCCACTGGCTAGTACTAATGAAAGAAGAAGGAAGATTCAGCTTGTTCACGGATTGGGTTGGAACAACACAAAACAAAAGGACAGCAACAGTGCGTTCTGGTGGTGATGTTTTTTATGTGGTGATGTGTGATGTGTGTAATATTTTGTCTTCGCTGTTTCTGCGAGCAGTATTTCTGCGAGCAAGCCGGGTGTAGTCGTTGTGTTGGAGGTGGAGGTCAGACTGACCGTGCCGGTGTCTTTTGGTAAATATAATGTGCTTGTTGCACGATCAAATCAGCCAAGTTGAAAATTGCACAGGCAATAAGAATATTCGAAATGTTCTCAGTCCTGCCAAATCATTATCATCATCATCTACTATAGGTCTTGCATATTGTTACCATGGCAGCAGACTTAAGACTTCTCATACCAGGAGCAATATTTTTTTGCTATGTCACTTACTTGTCGATAAGCCTATTCCGATCCAACTGCAAACGAAGGGTGACTTTGCGAGAACAGCAGCGGGTGCGAGAAAGAGTTCTTCAACGACTGGAACAGGAAAGGCGAGAGGAGGCACAGAGAGACCGAGAAGAACTTCAAGAGAAGCTAGAAATTGACAAGACCCTAAGAATGGAACAAATCATGAATGCCTTGGAATTTGAAGTTCTTGCGGATTCGCAGGAGAAGCAGACTTCAAGTTATTCTGAGAGCAATTACGGTGCTGCTGATGATGCTGATGCTGCTGCTGGTGGCACGAAGTCGCAAAGGCATCAGGAGGACGAAGTCAATGCTGACGGAAACACTCTGTCAGCCCAAATCCGTTCCAGCGAAAGGAAAGGAAACAATCCAGAGTGCGTCATTTGCCTACAGTCGTACAATGCTGGTCAAGTATTATGCTCGGCAAGCACAAGCAAGTGCCACCACATATTTCATGAAGAATGTGCGATTGAGTGGCTCCAAGAGAGTAACGAATGCCCCCTTTGCCGGGTGGACCTGCTAGCAACAGGTCAACTATCTGTTTAACGAGCCAGTCGTTCAATGGAGATGTGATAGAATTAACGCAGCTAATCATCAATCAGATGAGGAGAAGTGAGAAATGTTGCCGATTTCACCAAAGGTGATGAAAGCTGACAAATATGCTCAGCAATCAATGATGACGAGAACCGACAGACGTGCAAAGCCACCAATGGGCTCAGGCTTCCCCAATACAGCTGTCTTGGTCGAGGATTGATCTCCTCAATGAACTACTGATCGACAAGCGTTGCGCGGACCCAAAGAAGATGTTAACAATCTAGTTCTCATATGCGCTGTGTATGGCATGCTGATGGCCAACACACTGTGACTTGATTACTTCGTTGGGCGGATTGTTCATAAAACAAGCAATGGAGCCAATTCTATTTTAATTGCATATTGCTTGCTTGCGGGCACAAATGATTGCTCACCTGGTACGGTTCAAGTCTGTATCAAATGACTAAGAATAACTATTGTAGATTGTCTCTGAAACAATATTCCTATTTCATCTTGGAAAACTATTATTGTTTTCTCCTTCAAATTAGTGTGGTGATCGACTACTGCGACTAAAAGTTAAAGAAACTATCGTATCGAATATAACTAAATCAATAGGTAGTTAGTCATAGAATACTAATCCAATGCGCCACTTTGATCAAAATATGTCGTTTTATTTCAACATGGTGCACATCGCCTAGCTTGCAGCAATAGTAGATAAACGGCCGAACTCTCTCTGCAGTTTCAGAATACTCAAACGTGTGAAGGACAGACATCCTGCGTCATCCTCGAAGTTTTCGAAGAAGATCAAGCACGCGATGATGATGATGGGTGTTACTTGATTGACTCATCATTGCGCTGCAAATCATTCATTCATTCCAACGGTTTCGATATTTAAAAAGAAAGCCTGAAACATGAAATTTGGAGAACAAGTTGCACTCTTTCTAGGTGCTCTTTTTGTGGCACAACAAACAACCGCATTCGTCCCAGCAAGTCGCATCCATAGTAGCAAAGGCCTTGCATTCATTCCGGAATCTTCCATTATGACATCCACTTCCCGTGCTGTTCCATCACTACAAGGTTCTTCCACCTGCCTCTTTGCCTACGACGACGATGATGATGAAGACGACGATGAAGAAGATGAGCTTAATCCTTTGGGCAAGGGTGTCGACTCCGTCTCGTGGTTGCCAAGTGTTGTTGGAAAGACCAAATCAGCCGAGATTTCAAACATTCAAGATGGCACCGAAGTCCTTCCCCTGTTTCCTTTGGGAGGATTCGTATACACACCCAACACAGAGCATGTTCTGAATATCTTTGAGCCAAGATATCGTCAGATGTACACTGATATTCTCATGAATGGAACCAAGCGATTTTGTGTTGTCACCTCTCATCCATCAGAACAAGGGAGATTTGCCCAGACAGGGGTTTTGTTTGAACTTGAAGATTTGAAGGAAGTGAGTGAGCAGACAGCAGATCAAATCAAGTACATCTGCAACCACAAAGTTACTGGTCGTGTTACAATTCACAAGGTTCTCAATCCTGAGGCTTGGGAGACCAGAGACACCTATCTGAAAGCAGTCGCAACCATTCACGATGACAGTGGTAAAGACGACGAAGAAACCGCGGAAGTAGCAAGTAATGACGTCTATGGTGCAGTTGCAGCCGCTGCCAAGGGATCACCATCTAAGGCCGAGGAAGATTTGAGGGATTCCTTCAGAGAATTGGTTGACATTCAACATGAACTGGAAGAGGATGTCCGTTTCACACAAGATGCCGTCAAAACCTTGGCCGTCAAGGATGGATCTAGTGCAGATGGGTTGTGGCAGACAGTTCGTTTGTGGCAAAGCTTTGTGGACCAACGGCTCATGGCGGCACAGAACGAATTGCAAAAAGACTTTCAAGAAAGGCTCCAAGAATTCCTCAAGAAGGAAAAGGGATTCAAGAATGATGAAATTCCAAGGTATGTTCATTCTAGGATGTTTTAATTTCACCTTTGGATATTCATTCTAACCTCTTTTGTGTTGGCGCAACTATTTTTTTCCAATCCACAGTGCCATTGGCTTTTCAGATTTGTCACCCGAGCTTCAAGATGAGGTTCAAAAGATTCAAAAGCGCATGGAAGTCGAGTTACGACCCCTATTGTTGGAATCCTCTTTGACGATGCAAAAGATTCTGGAAGCAGATGGGCACAAAGAACGACTAAGTCTCTTGAAGTACTTTATGAATGCTGAGACCAGACGGCTGCAATCCAAAAAGACGCTCAAGGGCATCTTTTCAGGAGACAGCAGCAGCGTCACAGCGGAGGAACCAGCTGCTCCACCTTCCAAATCAAAAGAAGAAAAGAGTTCGAAGGATGGCTCAAAGTCTGAGGACGAATCAAATCCAAGCTTCTTCGACGAGCCCGATGCCTTCCAGTAAAATAAATGCTGATTTTAAATAAAGTGCTGGAGGGAAGGAACATTATCAATTATGATGATCTGATGTCAACCATGTGCATCTTCAATCTCATCTTGCACCTGCTCGTTATCTTACTGTATTGTTGCGATTTGGCTACGAATGGTAGTTGGTCCTCCACCTCGTGATTAAGCTATTCGTGACTTAGCGTCCTGCCAATAGATCGGCAAGACGGGAGACGTATGGGCGTTTCTAGCTCTTCCTTAGTCTCAATTTCCGTCGTGTCGATTACGGCGCGTCGCTTCAGTGGAGTACACGGTTGGCGGACGGAGCGAAGAGTGTCGACGAAGAGGACGGAAGATTTGGAGAAGACATTGTTCGCAATGGGAGCTTGTGGGATGATGGAGGCGATAGAAGGAGTTTAGCTGCTCGGTCAAGACCGTCAGCTCTTTTTGCTTTTCCCGCCCTCACCACCCTCTCTCTCATTTGCACCATAGCTCGGTACCCCATTTGGTCCGGGTTTGTCTGTCAATCCTATTGATTGTCCTTTTCGAATCCTATGATTCGACCTCGGTGCAAACCAGTCACTAACCTAGTACCTCGCTACTGTGCCAAACCTACTCGCTTCTCGTATGTAGCATCGGGCTTTTGCCACAGTTTCCATGGTAGCATACGTGCGCGATCTCTCCAGACAAAGACTACATCATGCGATTCAAGCCCAGGAGTGGAGGCGGCGCCGGGTAATCTTCGATTATCACAATAAGCAGATGCACATCAATAAAATGTATCCATCATCTCAGAAATAATTCCCCCCTCGTTCAATGTTGCTCACCATTTGTGCTGCCGCCAATATTATTGCCATTGGCATCAACGTCATTGGTATCATCATTTCTCAACTTGGATGGGCTTAAGAAGGTCGATTTCATTCTGGCAAAGAGTTTGTGTCGTGCCGATTCTTCTGTTTCAGAAGAGGAGATATGGGTCGATCTTTTGACATCTTCCAACACTCAAGTGGCTACCAAGACTCTTCGGACCCTTTTTAAAAAAAGAATTCCATCACAAACAGTAGTACCGGTAGACAGAAAAACAAACAAATTTTTGACTCCATCTTTTTCAAGTTCAAATAATCTTTGGGCTCCCCAACTGGTCGCTGGACAATACACATACAGGTACGCAAGGATGCACAATACTCGTCGTGGTCGCAAATTACCCTCGTCCATCCAATATTCGTGTAATAGTCTTGGACACACGAAGAGAAGGTGTTCAACAATCATTATGTTACAGTAAGAGTGCTCATTTTTTCGCAGACAGTAGAATATTATTTTTACATCGAAGTGTTATAGGACTAGTCATTACAGTATTAATAGTCATACATTCATATAGTCATATACTCAAAATAGTCTATATCCCTTTTCCCTTCCGTCGCGTTGGTATTGTAGAATCAACCAGCTGATCCTGAAAGTAGCTTCCGCCGTTGTCCCTGGTTGTCGTCCATCCTAGAATTCGAACGCAGTCGTCCTTTCATATAAATCTGGTTGCAAAGTTGGTTGGTTGTTATTTTTCAATACCAGTACCAGACATGCCAATCTGGCAATGTCATAGTAAAGGATACTGAATGGGTTGAAGACGCCGCTGCTCCCTTCAGTTCCAGTGCCATCGCGAAACTGCATGTACCACCGAGCATTGCCAATTATACAATACATATAATTGACAATGACAGCTGTTCACATGTCTAACCGATATCGCTTGCTCCCCATATTTGAGCAGGGTGATGGATCACATGATACTGATATTCCATGGGAGACTTCCGCTTTGTCTTTCGAATCCAATAACAGAGTGGTAGAGTTCAAGACTCTTTTTTTTTCAAAAGTTGAAGGGACCGCTTATCTGGGCTCTTGCCGATCATGGACGCGCTTACGGGCCTCGGCCTGCCCATCCATTCAACAAAGACTGGAGGGAAGCATCCAAACTCAGCAAGCCATGAAATCGTCTGGTTTCGCGTCGCCGATGCAATCCTAGTGAGTGACCAATCCACTAGAAACCACAAAGGAAAACACTAGCCAGCCGAAGGATCCCTTATAAATGTGCGACGACACAACAAGACTTGCAGATTTGCTGTGCAATTGTATTATCATAGTTGAACAAAGAAGAAAACAAAAAGTGGTGAGACCATGGTTCAGAAAGTAGATGCAATTGAAACGGTCAAGGTCAAGAAAACGTACCAGGAGAAATGAAGTGACGTCGTCGTCGTTGTCATGACAAAAGTTGTCATTATGGGGTGAATCCTATTGAACTCTTTGATGGGTTGTTCGTGTGTTGTCGCACACTATTATCATCCTTCATCTATTTCAAAGTCGTACCAAGAATGTACTTTTTAATTGGCACCGTTTCGTCGATTTGCCACTCGGCGACTGTATCGTCTTCCTTGTTCCGTCATGCCAGATCCCAAAGCTTCGGTGAAAGGATCCTCCGCATTTGGAATGAGAAGCTTGGCCCGTCGAAGGCTGTAGCGCTTTCCAGACTCGGTCCATCCCGATCCCATCCCATCAGGAGGAATATCAATAGTAGCTGCGATGTCAGATTCCTCGGGCGGTGGTGCCGGAATGTCGTCATCGATGACAGTATCCTCCAAAGGATCCTCGACAGAATCAATGCCGTCATCAATCAATCCAGCATCCAAAGACAATTCAATATCGTTAAAGTTGTCTTGTTGTTCTTCTTCTGGATCTTCAATAATGACAGGTAGCAAAGGAGTGAACCGTTCATTGATTCGTTCGGCCCATTCTGTAGCAGAAGTTGGAACCGTAGATGAATTCAATTTGCGACGCTTGGTGGGCCTGGATGCAACAAGGCAGTAAGCTGCGGTTCTCTTTAGTGACAATTGTGGTGCTTTGTCTTGCATGTCATTGGGTTCGTCGTCCCCGTCATCATCCAAATCCATTGGTATGGGAATATTGGAGAGCATATCATGAAGGACGGTTGTGCGAAGCATTTGGCGGTGATTCTCGAGCGCAAGTGCGAAGCTTGGGCCTTCCAAATCAATGTCTTTGATCAATCCAGCATCCAAAGATGAGTCAAAGTGGTTATTGTCTTCTTCTTCTTCTTCTGGATCTTCAGTAATGACAGGAAGGGTAGGTTTGAAAGCAATCTTCGTTGTCTTTTTCTTGGCCTTTCTCTTGGCCTTCCTCTTGGCCATCACAGTACTCCACAGCTGAGGAAGCACTCGTTCTTCAAAGCACTTGCACAGTTCATGATATTGAATCTGACTGTAAATGTCTCGAATTCGATTCTTTCTGGATTGAATATCTTCCTGGTCTGGCATAAAGTTTCTTCTCTGATTGGTCAGGGTGAAACTGACACGATTGGTGGTTCTAGGTGATCCCCAATCTTTTCTTGCAGGACGAAGAATGGAAACAGGTGGTGTAGTTGGTGTAGATGTAGGTGGAGCGTGTTGGATACTGTTCCAGTCTACATGTTCCAGACTGTCCCAATCCTCTTCCTTGTCGTGCATGGGGAAGAAACCCTCGTCGTCTCCTTTGGCGAAGCTTGATACGTCAGAGTCGCTGTTGTCATCAATCAATCCAGCATCCAAAGACAAGTCAAAAGTACGCATGATGATGTCTTCTTCTTCTGGATCTTCAATAATGACAGGTAGCAAAGGAGTGAATCGTTCATTGATTCGTTCGGCCCATTCTGTAGCAGAAGTTGGAACCGTAGATGAATTCAATTTGCGACGCTTGGTGGGCCGGGAGGAAACAAGGGAGCAAGTTGCAGTTCTCTTGAGTGACAATCGTGGTGCTTCGTCTTGCATGTCACTGGGCTCGACGTTGCCGTCATCATCCAAATCCATTGGTACGGGAATATTGGAGAGCATGTCATCAAGGACGGTTCGAAGCAGTTGTCGATGGTTCTCGAGCGCAATTGCAATGGTTTCAGAGTCGACATTGCCATCAATAAATCCAGTATTCAAAGACGAATTAGTGTCACTCAAATCTTCTTCTGCTGGATCTTCAATAATGGTGGCAAGCACGGTAGGTTTGAAATCGATCTTCCAGCGTTGGGCATTCCGTCTCTTGACCTTGCGGTCAATTTGATGAATTAGCTGCCTTCGGGACTCAAGATCTTCCTCGTCGGGAATGAAGTTTCTCCTTCGAGTCTTAAGGGCAAATTGGACTCCATTTGAAGAGGTTGGTTTGGGTGATCCCCAATCTTTTCTTGAAGGACGAAGAATGGACACAGGAGTATGTGGAACAAATCTCACTGTGTTCTCTATCTCTGGAATTACTTTGTCGTGAAGTTGAATGCGCCATTGAATCAGACCCCAGCATTCCCTGCGAGATTGTAGCTCTTGCTTGTTTGGGAAAAAGGTTCGACGAAAGATTTTGGCGAAACGGACACGGTTTGGTTTTCTGGTGAACACACCAAACCAACTTCGGTTTTTCTTGCGATGACATGACGACCCTCCTGGACGACGAAGAATGGAAACAGGAGGCTGTTGTTGGTTGCAGCTCCGTTGCTTGCAAAGTCCTCGATAGCTTCGGTATAGGTCAAGCGCCATGTTCCAAAGCAACAATAGCGCCGTTGCACAAACCAAACCGGCTGCGATGGTTTCTCGAACGGTTGGAGTGACGAGCAAAGGCAATCGAAAGAAGCTGATGCCTGCTTGAATGATGTATTCTTGATTGACGATTATGGTAGTGATGTAGTTGATGTAGTTGATAATAGTGTTGGTCATGGTGATGTTTGATGTAGTTGGTGTATTGGTTGGTGTAAAGAATTTCATAATGTAAGTTGTGAGGTGTGTGAAAACAAAACGTTCAGCCCGTGCGGTTGGAGACGATGCGATGTGTGGGGTAATATGAGCGGTGTTCGCGGAGTCTCCGCGTTTGACTCCCTCGAATCAATCTAGTACTACAGTACGAATAAATACTGCGTAGTCATCCAAACATGAATGAATCATTCGTCCCCATCGGTACAAAGCAGTATGATTGCATATGATTATTATGGATATTGTACAGTATAAAGTAAGCTTGTAGGCATTCTTTCTTTATTTCTAAGGTATATTACAGTAATTCATCATAATTCATCTTCTTCCAATGGATCAATTGCACCATTGTCCATCAAGAACTGGGTAATGGGATGACCTTCTTTCAGGAATTGTCTGGCAATGCTCAAGGCCGTAGCTCCGTCATTCACCACACTGTTAATGTCTACCTCATAATCTATTAACAATTCCACAGCTTCCAAGTGACCCGCTTTCACTGCCAGGTGCAGTGCTTCCCACCCAAGGTCATCCTTGTCCTCGAGATCGTTTGGATAGTTTTCAGCAATTGTCTCAAGGACCACCAAGTCTCCTACGTTTGCTGCCTTTACCACGTCAAAGGTTTCCTCATACCAACCCTTGGTGTGCTCCTTCCTCCATTGTGTTACCCATCCACTCCCGGGAATGAGATACGGTGGAAGATCTAGATCGGGGTCATAAGTTTCCAATGGTTCGTCCTTGGGGCCTAGTGGTTCAAAATGAACAAAAATGTTCTGTATCACGACAACGCAAAACAGTGGTGAGCTTTCTTTGCCACACTAGATACTATTACAACACAGAACAAAACAGGATTCTGTTGTAACGCACGTACCGCATAAAAGTCACCATTCAATGGGAAAGGTCTTCCATGGATAACGGAATGGCTCTCATACAGGACCATGTCTCCAGGTGCCATGGTAACATTTGTGGCAACCCCATCGTGTCCATACACTTCCAGAGGCCATTCCTCATTCACGTCTTGGGCCACATTTACTACATAGATTTGCGAAACAAGAAACAAAGTGGTGAGTCAGTCTACCTACTGTTGTCAACACAATCCATTCAACCTTCCGATCAGATCAAATAAATAAAAGACTTACTAATGGCAGAGCTGATGAGGGGGTTGCGGTCCACATGAGGTGCTAGAATCGATCCATTGTGATATAATCGAATTCCATAGAGTGAGACTGGTCGAAGTTCTTGGCCAGTCCACTCTTCCACGACCTTCTTCGCTTCGGCAAACAACTCATTCATGAGTTCTTGACCACCCCCTTCGTTGACATCCTCATTCAGTAGAGTCACAGTCGGCGGAGAATCCCACAAATTATGATAGGTTGTAAGGTGAGGCCATTCGGTTTTGTCCTTTCCTTTGTTGGCATTCCAAAATTTGGATATCAAATCAAACATTTTCTTGGGCGCTCGAATTTTGGCAAAACCATTCTTTGTATAATTGTGCATGCTTGGTGGCTGATATTTGTTCATGTACATTCGATATTCTTCGTTTTCAGAGCACAACTGAGGGTCCTCTTCCTTGTGTTCGGCAACTGCCTTGTGGCAATTGGCAATGAAATCATGGTAGAGCTTTTGTTTGTGTTGTCCAATCACAGTCGTCACATTGGGAGTATGAATCGCCCAAGAAGCATCATCTTCGGCAGAGTAATAGTTTACAGCTCGGATAGTGTCCACTGTTGATTCAACGGCGTGAAATTGACATCCAATGGTCAATAGCACAAGGCAGCAGAGCAACGAAGAAGAAGAAGACGGCACCATAATGGTCGGCTGATTTGAGTTTCTATGAAAGACTTCTTGCTTTGCTTTCAATCAATAATCAAGTAATAAGCGAACTGCTTTGACAAATGCGATTCCAAAAATACCGGGAGTTGGCCAAAGCGCCGTTGGCAGGGCTGGCGTGGAGATCTGCTTGTTGGAGTTGAAAGGGGGATGATAAAACCTCTTGTGTGAATGTATTTTAAAAGGGGATAGAAATAGGGGAATGAAGAAGGTGAATGATACTCAAGTTTTCAAACTGCGTCGTTTCATTCCATTCATTCAACAGTACAACCATCATGGCGGCCATGGCAGGAGGTCACTCTGCACCAAGAGCTCCAAGTGAAGAGGAGAAAGCCTTTTTGACATCCCCACCGATCCGAAAGTTGGTCGAAGGTGCTATCAAGACGAATGGAGGTTCCGACTTGACAATTTCGGAATTGGATCCGGTTCTCATGACCACCCAAGTCGTGGCTGGCACCAACTACAAAGTGAAATACCATATTGGAGACGAAAAGTATGTGCACGCCAAGATATTTGAGCCTCTGCCTTGCTATGCGGACGAGCAAAAGCCAGAAGTGTCCCATTTTGAAATGAACAAGTCTAAAAAGGATAAACTATGACACTTTTGTGTATTGTGTATCTTATATAATTTGAAAATAAAATCCTTGCTGAATGATTGCACAACAAGATAAATACAATCCAGCATTATGCTTGTCTAGCAACAACGTCATCTTCGTTTCCCTTCTGTTGATCCTTCTTCTCCTTTTCATCGAGTACCTTTGGCTGCAAGGATAATCCACCGTATTTCTTCAACAGTTCAATGGCTTCCTTGTTCTTCTCGGGCTTTTTTTCTGCCCACCACAGGGGAGTCCCTCCTTCTCCATTATTCGTTCGTTCGTTGACCTTGGCTCCTTCCTGGAGCAAATATTCCACGACTTCTACATGTCCGCTTCTGGCAGCCTCGTGAAGGGGCCTCCAGCCATTTTGATCTCGCTTGAAAAGATTGGCTCGATCGACATCGGCCAAGGTTTTGAGGGCATCCAAGTTGCCACCGGCGGCGGCATTGTGGGGAGTGACAGAAACCAAAACTTGTCGCATTGGTTTTGGCGTGACCTGATGACAGAGATGATTGCAAGAAAGAAAAAAGGGAAAATTTGTCAGTGAAAAAATGCCAGTGAATGACAGAAGAGAATGGAAGCATTCAACAATTGATCCACAAGCAATTCACGCATACTCACCTTTGGTTTCTTGTCATAATCAAACAGCTGCTTCCATCGCGCTTCCTTGTCTGGATCAACATAGTGTGGCATTTCGCAAGATCTTCGTTTCTTCTTATTTTCACGACCTTCTGCATGCATTTGTTGTTCCATTTGAAAGGCTCTTTCGTAAGCAGCCTTGGCATTTGCTGCTACTCGTTCCGAAGCTGCCATTGTAGGTGCTTCCATTTCGACGTCTTCCAAATCGTATTCACCTTGCGTTTGCGCATGCCGCAGTGTATGTCCCAATGGTTCAAAGTGGACAAATAGATTGGCATAAAACTTTCCTTTCAGTGGATAAGGTCGCCCATGGATGACCGAATGACTCTCGTACAAGACCATTTCACCAGGTTGCATGGTCAAGTTTTGCGCCTGTCCATTGTGCCCAATGACTTCCAAAATCCATGGTTCCTCTTCGTCTTTGTCGTTTGGATCGAAACTACTGGCAATGTGCAAAATGGCCGACGAGACCAGTGGCAATCGATCGACATGAGGTGCCAATATGCTTCCTTCTTGATAAATTCGAATTCCATACAAAGACGTCAACACCAATGGTGACTTGGTCCAAGCTTCCAACACCTTTTGAACCCCCCGGACCAATTCCCATTTTTGCTTGGGCGAGAGCGGATTATTCACGGAAGTAGAAGTCAAATCCAAAATCTTGGTGGGAGACTCCCAATGATTGACATAGGTATTGGATGGATCCCAAACCTCATTCTTGGCCTGGGTCTCCCAATCCTTGTTGGCCTCCCAAAAGTCTTGCAAAATCGTTTGAACGTTTTGTGGAATGTCCAGTTTGGCAAAGCCTGCGTGAGTGTAATTTTCTGTAATATATACATATCAATCACAAAAACAGCATCATGATTATATATATATATATATATAAAGTAGTACCAGACAGGATGCGATATAAGAATGAATGTGAGAGGTGACTATACTAGGACTACCCGTAGGTATACATTGAATGAGCAATGCATTTGATTGACTTACCCATCATTCTTGGTTGATTCAAGTTCATATCCATTCGATCTTGCTCATACTTGTAACACGTAAATCGTTCCCTTTGATTGACTCGATTGTTGTAGTAATAATTCGCGTTTTCCACGGAGTACGTAGTCTGAATCTGTTGGTTGCAACCACCGACGTAATTCAAATAGGCTTCCTTCCGGTATTCGGGAAAGTGTTCACTATCATGATGATGTGTTGGCCAAGAATGATCGACTCCCGGCAAATAATTGATACTGGAGTCTAATGATGAAAATGAAGACGACCCCGAGGTGGTAGATGCACCGCTTGTAGCAGTAGTAGTAGTCGTAGTAGAAGAATAGACTTTGCCATTCGCGTCAATCTCGACTTGAGCTGTTTGGTGTGCAGCAGTTCCTCCATCGGCAGCAGAAGCTTGCACTCGGCGTATGGATTGACCAAGTAGGGTCGAACCAATAAGCAGCAGCTGAAAAGGCTGACGAATGGAATGTGAATGATGCATGAAGATCGAGTTGCTGTACAGTTGTCAAAATATTGTTTTTTGTTTTCATGGAGAGAGTGGGACGAGCTTGGAGCTGAAAAAGACCCGACGAATACATGTATATACCGGTATACGTTCTGCTGACTTCATGGCATACACGTGTACCGCACAGGTACAATACTTCCGCACCTGATACAAAAGAAAAAAATACACATATCACCAAAAGACAAATTGCCTTGGTATGAAGTCTACAATATTTGCAAAAGTTCTACATGCTATGACATGTTGATATAAAACCTACAGTACAATGCAAGTTGCAATCTATTGTAGGCCGCCCAGATCTCATCTTCATTACCATCCAATGACCATTCCAGGAACGTCTGTATCCATCTGCTCTCTTCTCATGCACATAAGGTGTTCCTGCTGGGATTCCATTTCCATGAATATTCTCTCGGACATGTCATCCTCTTCTTCTTCCGCTCCAGGAGGCAGCAATCGCTGATGATGAGCGGCTGCCCAGTTGTTGGCCGCTTTTGCGATCAGCAGCATTGGATCCGGGGCTCGATGCCCTACATGACTCTTACCTACAGCGGCATTGCAGCTTTCGAACGCAATCTTTCGTACTCGCAAATGGTCCTCCGCATTGCTTCTTTTCATGGCGGAGGGCACCCAAACTTGCTTGGGATCTGGTGGAACAACACGACTGTTTTTCAATTTTGACATGGCACTCCTTTCCTGTTCGTTCCAGTCGTATTTGTACTGTTCGGCATCCCGGATGACGCAATGCGCTAGACCGAGTACTGCAGTTTCTAGCAATTTCCGGGCAGTTTCAATTTCCTCTTCACTTGCCGTTGTTCCCTCCTCCCACAAGGTTACATTAGATGAGACACAAGAAATCATGCCCTTACTATCGAGCACGTCCTCATGATCGAGACCTTCTGAGCGATTTCCGTCAAATGGAACGGTATTGCATCCCATTTCGTTTGGCGGTTTTGGCGTTCCAATAATGAATAGCGCTTCGTAGCCTTCTCCTTGCCACGCAACCGCATTTTTACTTGAAAGAATTGGGACTATCAGCAGATAAGGATCTGTGTCGAAAAACCATTCTTCTTGGCCTTTCAATCGAATCATATTCGTTGTAAAATGCTTCGTTCCAACTAAGTTCACTTCGCTATTGTTTCTTC